ATCCAGAATACTTTAATTACTAGAGGCCTACTGCATTAAATACATGCATGGGTGTGTGTGTGTGTGCGCGCGCGTGCACACGTGGGGGGGGGTGATCCTCAGCCCAGCCTACACCCTCTCACAATTCAGGACCCCTCTGGGGATGTCTGCCAATTTAGGCCTGATACTTGTGGGATTGAGCTTAAACCCATAGTTACTTTCCCTCTCACAATCCAGGACCACTGGCTCCTAACTGCTGGCCAGCCTGCCTGCCTGCCTGATCATCCCTAACTATTCATCTGCCTGCCTTAATACCCCTAATCACTCTGCCTGCCTGCTTGATCACCACTAACTCCTCTGCCTACCTGATTGCCCCTAATCACTCACCTACCTGCCTGATCACCCCTAACTGCTCACCTGCCTACCTAATTGCCCCTAACCACATCTGCCTTGACCACCGGAGCCCTTGGCTTCATCCAGAAGGACGTTTGAAATGACATCCAGAGGTTGTTCAGCTGTCCGGTCTAATTAGCATATTACATTTTTATTATTATAAATGTTTTGCTGCACAGAAGTTTTAAATGTCTGTGTAATCAACTCTACAATCTCATTATTTCTGTGCTTTGTCCAGTTTAGGAAGGTCTTCACCTAAAAATTTATTTAAAAAATTATCTTGTCTTCTAATACAGTATTTTAGGTTTTTACATTTGGATTTTTATATTTACAAAAATATCATATTTTTGCAGAAGGTGAAAAATGAGGGTTGATATTTTTTTCTAGAGTTCTGGGCAGTTAACCTAATAAAATTTATTAATTCATCCATCTTTTTCCCCACTTACTTGAAATTCTGTTTTTATAGTGAAATAAATTCCGATTTATACAAGGGTCTGTTTCATAACTTTTTTTCTGTTTCACTGATCTTTTTTTTATACTTTCTATGTCAGTATTTTCCTCTGTTAAATTCTATAGCTTTTACAGGGTGTCTCCCCAAAATGGATACACACTTTAACAGCTGACAACTCAATTTTGAAAATGAAATGTATTTTAATAAACCCTACCTTTATGGTTATTCAAAGTGTGTGTATACCTTTTTTGGAGGGACACTGTATATTTGTACCTATTTTTAAAAATTTTGAAAGGACTCTTGTACATTTTCTCTTTTTATTAAACTTTATAGATAGCTTGCCAAGTTTAATAAAATCCCATTGGGATTTTTCTTAGTATTTTCTTGGATTTATAATTGTTAGTAAAGTATATGATATGTCTTTGTGTACATTCTGAAATGAGCTCTAAGCCTGGAGGAAGCAGCATGATGTGGGTGGGGCAGCCCTTTGGGGAGTGACTCACCTGGTTTCCAGCTTGTGTTACTAAGTCAACCTCTGTCAGAGTTACTTTAACCTTCTTAGCCTCAATGTCCTCATATGTGTGTGGAGATAAAGTCAGAGTCCCTTTCATAGGACTGTTTTGAGAACAAATGCATGTAACTCACTCGGCAAAGTGCCTGGCAGAGACTTAGCTTCCCATGTGCTAGTTGGGATTGTTACCATAGCAGGAAATGGTAAACATTTTCCATTATAGATCGATAGTCTCCGAGGAGACAGAAGTGTGCCGTAAACATTGAATATATCATGTTTCTCAGACTTCAGTGAATCGCTTGGGCAGCTTGTTGAAGAACAGGTTTTTGTTCAGTAGGCCTAAGATCTGACCTAATATTTGCATTTTTAACAGGCTCATGGGTGATGTCAGTGCTCCTGGTCTTTTGTCCTCCTTTAGAGTATATAGTCTTCCCCTGATAGTTATGATTACTCTGGTAGCAGTAGTATTTCCTATGAGGATAAGTGTGATGAACAGGAAATATAAATTGCTCTCTTTTAAAGTTATATGCTAAAGAACTACATTATAGTTGTTTCCTTTCTTCCTCTTTCCCTTCCTTCCTTCCTTCCTTCCTTCCTTCCTTCCTTCCTTCCTTCCTTCCTTCCTTCCTTTTTTCCTTTATCATCTTCCTCCTCCCCTCTCTCCTCCTCATCCTCCTCATCCTCCAAGAAAAGAGGGTTAGTGAGAACACTGAATATAACAGCAAGTTCTACTCTTAGATCTGAAATCTTTGATTGAAGGTTGTGGTTGGAGGAGTCCCATATTGGGCCGAAAAGGCTTGTCTTGAATGGAAGCAGCTGGGGGATGAGGGCTTGGTGTGAATGTGCAGATGGCCCAGCTGTGCAGTCAGTGGGTCCTCCCGAAGGCACACCTGGGCACAGCAGCGTAGTCACCACCACACTTCTCTTCTAGAGATGGTTTCCTGTGCACACCCGACCTTGCTTTTCCATTTGGTACATTTTGGACATTCTTCCATGTCAGTTCATGTATTATTTCATTCTTTGTAACAGTTTCAGAGTATTCCTTTGTAAAAATGAATAATTATATATTATACCAGAGGCCTGGTGCATGAAAATCATGCAGTTGGTGGGGGCCCTCAGCCTGGCCTGCGCCCTCTCACAGTCCGGGAGCCCTCGGGGGATGTCCGACTGACGGCTTCGTGGGGAGCGGGCCTAAGCCGGCAGTCGGACATCCTTAGTGCTGCTGTGGAGGTGGGAGAGGTTCCTGCCACCGCCGCTGTGCTCACCAGATGTGGTGATGTCATATGCCAAGGCTGTTTGCAAGAAAGAGCCACGCTGTTCACCCAGCACACATGCGGATGTGCCCCTGGAGAGAGAGGCCGCAGTATGAAACCCAGGAGTGACACAAATACAGATGCCACACTGATTACCTGCTTTAAAGACCCTAGTGCTCTAGCTGGACCAACAACCAGCAGAACAGCAGCTTCAACATTTAGGGAGAAGGGTCCCCATCCCTATTATGTAAGAAGCCCTCAGAAGTCAAAAGAAAGAAAAGACAGGCACCCGTGCGGGAAACCTGGCAAAGCGCATGAGCATGTAATTCATATAAAAGAAGGGACTATTAAGAACCAAAGGAGAAGAAAGGAAAACCGGGCACTATCCCTGATAAATAAATGAAAATCAAACCAGCCATTGTGTATATCTCTGAGTAGTGTTCTATTGGGAAGTTCAAAAACATTCTTGAAACCTAGCGTGGGTTGGCGTTTGAAGACGTAGGCATTGTTACTCACTAATGATCAAAAAGTATAAATTTATCACTGTCAATTTGGCACTATCTAATAAAATTTTAGTATGCATTTCCTTTATTCAGAGAGATTATTTCTAAAGTTTTGTGCTATAGATAGTATGTGTCTGTGGACGTTGTAAGTAGAGACTTTAGAGACCGATGGGTGGCCTGTCGGCCAAATGCAAGGAGCAGAGAGCCGTGCTTCAAAGAATGTAGACAAAGCTTGTCGTCTCTACGGACTTCCGCTTCCGTTGCCATTGGGCTTAGCTCACCTATAGGCAGGTTTGACAGCAGTGGAGTCATGAAATGTTTGGTTTACCCTCTTCCGGTCTTCACTGTTTATTCCATTTACCTGTAAATACTATTCAAAAATAACTAGAGCCCAGCAGTGGCCCCCAGTGGTTGAGCATCAACCTATGAACCTGGAGGTCATGGTTCGATGCCTGGTCAAGAGCACATGTCTGAGTTGTGGACTCCGTCTCTATTAAGGGACGTGCAGGAGGCAGTTGATCAATGATTCTCTCTCATCATTGATGTTTCTCTCTCTCCCTCTCCCTTCCTCTCTGAAATCAAAAAAATACATATTTTAACTAGAGAGTGTGGGTAGTGAGAATTGGTGGTCTGTTCATTGACTCTCCAGAGTTTGCTGAAAGCCCGGCGGCCAGACAGAGGCGGATTCTGACCCTGCACTGTCCCAGTGCTTCTCTCCGCGATGAGTCAGAAGTGAAGGAGGAAAGGGAAAGTCAGTGCTTCCCCTAACACACTTATGACTGAAGTAAGAGCACACTGACCTCTCGGTGTCACCCAGGCTCGCTCTCGTGCCCTGCTTGGCCTGTGGTCAGAGGCCCTGGTGAATCAGGACTCTTGGCCGCAGTTAAAACCCTCTTCCTAAGGCCAGGGGAATGGGAACTTGTTAGGAACAGTGAAGTGCAGTCTCCGTAGGTGGAATGTGTTCGCTCTTCCCAGGTGTGACTTTACTGAGGGAGACGGGGAAGCAGACAGTGAGTTCCTGATAAGTAGTTCAAATTCAGCCCTGTTGAGACTGGACTTCATTCTCTTTCTAACCAGTGGCTCTTTTATATTTGACTTCTGTTTTCCTGCTTTGCCCTTCTTTAAAATATATATATATATATGTGTGTGTCATTTTTTTTTTAAAATTATTTCAGAGAGGAAGGGGGAGGGAAACGGGGAGGGAAAGAGAGAGAAACATCAATGATGAGAGAGAGCTATTGATTGGCTGCCTCCTGCATGCCCCCTAATGGGATCGAGCCCACAACCCAGGCACGTGCCCTTGACTGGAATTGAACTCGGGACCCCACAGTCCACAGGCCGATGCTCTATCCACTGAGCCAAACTGGTTAGGGCTGCTTTGCCCTTCTTTGAAGAAATTGGTGGGTAAGTTAGCTCCTGCCACAGAGGGTGAGTGGCAGACAGCTTGCTCTCCAGTCTGGGATCAACTGGTGGAGGCTGGGCGTTGTGGGCCTCAGCTGGTGAGCTGGGCGGACTGGCCCAGCTGGGGTGACTCAGCTCTGCTTCCTGGTTGCTTATTCTCTTCCTGGGTCCAGTGGGCTAGCCCTGAAATGTTCTTCTCATGCCAAAGGTGGGGAGGAAGAAGAGCAAGGAGAAATCATAGGTCTCTCTGGGCCTCGCCTCCAAAACCACCCCATCCCTCTGGCTTCATTCTGGCCAGAGCAAGTCACGTGAATGGAGACATGTGCCCTTCTTGTTGAGTGGGAATCCAGAGTCACATGACAATGGGTGTGGGCACAGGGAGGAGAGAAGAATGGCCACTTTAATGAATGCCATCCTCTATCACCGTTGGCTCAGAGAAACTCGCCCGAGCCAAAATTACATACAATTTTCTTTCCTTGTGGGTTATGTTTTTCAGGAAGCCAGGAACTATGGCGCCTGTGGCAGTCTTTCAGGCAGCATTCCTCTTGGCATGGCTGCCTCTGAGCACTTACCAGAGCGAAGCAGGTAAGTAGCAAGCACAGTCAAGAGAACAATCACAGAGGCAAAAGGAGGTAATTGGCTGCCTCGGAAGAGAGTTGCACAATTCTCTTTCCTTTGGAAATTGCATGGAACTGGTGAGCAACCAGTTACCTTAATCATGAGCTTCCTGATCTTGATGACTCATCTTACTGAGCCACCCTTGACCCTGAGCTCCTGGCCATGGGGGCATTTGTGAGGACACCTAACCCTGCACAACTTCACAGCTGATGCGTTGGAAATGGCCATCACCAGAGCGAGCTTTCTGCACCTCGCTGCTGCGGAGAGGCGGAGGGGCTGCCCGGCGCTGGCCACCAAGTCAGAACACGTCTGTGCCCCTCGGCCACGTTCATCCAGAAGCTGTGAGCTGACAGCCCTGCTCCGTGCTGAAATGCTCTGTGTGGATTTAAGAAAAGCGTTTGTCACTTAGCTACTTCCCCCGGGAGGGTACTTTGAAATACATTAACTTTATAAACAGAGTCAGTAGGAACTCAGTTCCTCTAAAATGTTTATGGGTACTCGTTGAAGAGTTTGAAGGTGGATTCTTTGAGCTGAGAGCGTTTCCGTTGGTTTATAAAGTGTGTGTTGCTTCCTCCTGTATTTTACAAAGCTCTGATTGTTCTGTTTGTGAGTTTACTTTTCTCTGCACACCCTCCTAAGACAGAGGAAGGCACATGCTCTCTGTCACTGCCCTAACAGCTCCTGTCCGTGGATTCATGAAGAAGACATTGGCGGGAAATAGCCATAGAATTCTGCAATTTTCCCTTAAAACTGCATGAAAAGATATTTGGAAATTTTAGAAAGGGAGATTTTGTTCTGATGAAAGCTCCGTAGGTGGCTCTGTCTTCTCTCTGAGAGTCTTTAGGTCTGGCTTCAGTTCTCTCAGCTTCAGGGCATGTGGGGAAATGCCACTGAGGCTTGTTAAAAATCATAGTCTGACTGTGGGTGTCTGTCTCTCCTAATCTGGAGTGAACAGTAGGAATCAGGAATTCTTATCTGTAGTGTGTCTCCCCCTTCCCCTACCTCACGAATATCTCAGGGTGACCCCGCTGGCCCAGGGTCCCACCTCCAAAGAGTCCCAGGCACTTAGCCAAGCCTCCACACCACACTTCCCTGGCAAGTTCATTATCTGACCCCGGCTATTCACTGTGTGCCTTCTCCTCACAGACCTCTGCTCTCTGCTCCCTCTCCGCTCCCATTGTTTAGATCAGACGTGTGCCTGCCTGTTCCTCTCCCACCAGCCGTGCTTCTGTCTCCAGCTTTCTCAGCCGGGCATGCCCGCATTGCTAAGGAATCCTGTGTTCGTCCTCACCTGCACTGCTTGCATTTCTCGCCTCCATTTCTGCTGCATCTGACCCAGTACCTACTAAGGCTCCCACTCATGCTAGTGGCCTCCCACCAGATCACCCACCAGCTCCAGTGTGAGCTTTTTTTCAGATAAAGTAGCTTCTCCTGGACAGAGGGCAGGGCCAAGGCTTACTGCGCTGGCCCCAGCCCTGGGCTCACGTCTGCATCACCAGAGGCTAGGATGGAAGCCTCTGGATGTGTTTTCTTCCAGTCTCCTGTGTGTATGTACACACAGACAGAAGTAAAGATGTAAATGTGTAGGCTTTTTATAGAAGTGAAATTATGCTATTTATACTGGGAATATTTATACTTAAGTGTGTGTGTGTATATATCCTATCTAATTAAAGAATAATATGCAAATTGACATCACTCCAACACAAAAGATGGCTGCCCCCATGTGGTCAAAATGGCTGCCCCTATGTGGCCACAAGATGGTCACCACAAGATGGCCAGCAGGGGAGGGGAGTTGGAGGAGACCAGGCCTGCAGAGGAGAGCAGTTAAGGGCAAACAGGCTGGCAGGGGACATATACCCCCTGTGCATGAATTTCATGCACCGGGCTTCTAGTATATAATATTAGAGTACATATACTTATGTTAAATATATATACTTATTAAAGTACATAGAGTATATATTATGTATAGCTTAAGTATGTATACTGAGGAAATATATTCTATACAGCAGGGAGAAAAGTAGGCTTACAGTTGTTTGAATGGAAAAATATATAGTACAAGAGTAAATAATAGAAAAATAAACTCTGTTGCATGTACTCACAGCTGTAGGCCTACTTTTGCCCATCCCTGTATACTTATGAGTATACGTACTTTAATACAGTATATCCTTATTAAGATGATTAATTCAACATACAATGAGTTTTTACCTTTGAGCTTAAATGTTCTAGAAATCACATTATATTAAATGGCTGCATCCCATGTTGTGAATGCACCATAGTTTATTTCCTTAAGTGGTGTCGGGACCAGCCAGCCAGAGAAACTGCTTGGGAAGGTGGGAGGAGCGGCTGTGATTGAACCAGGTCAGTCTGATTCCCAAGCCTGCCATTCTGGCCGTACTCCAGGGCAGCGTTAGGGAAAGAGCGCTGGGCCCAGGGCCAAGGGCCAAGGGCCTTGGGTTCTGGTCAAGTTGTGTGGTTTTGGGAAAGTCACTTCCTTTTTTTTTCAAACCTCAATTTCCTCTTCTGAAAAACAATGAAATTTGACTTAATCTCTAAATCCCTTTAGCTCTCCGACTTCACTTGGCCTTTCCCACTCTTTCCCAAGAAAGTCCTAGATCGCTTTTGACCACATTTATTTTGATTGATTGATGACTCTCTAGTATTTGAGTCACTCAGCACTTGCTGATGCATATGCCAGTCTACGGACTTCCCCTTCCGTCTAACACATCATCCAGTAGCTTTATAGAGTTTCCAGAACTAAAGCTGATACTGGTAGTGAACTGGCTCAGTCAGCAGCCACTCACTGAGTGTCTGTGCTGGGACAGGTGTGGTCATGGTCTTGGCTTCACTGAGCTGAGTAAGTCTTGTCTCACCCCTGGTTAGCTCGCAGTCTGTGGAGAGACAAAGACACAACAGACTTTTACAGCGCCTGTGATCAGTGCTCAAACAACGGTCTCTCGAAGCAGCCACAGGGAGCAGAGAACACCGGGCAGGACTCATCGAGGTGTTAGTGAGGAATGGCTTGTCAGGCACTGGGGCTATGAGTAAGACATTATGCCAAGTGCTGGGGACAAGAGTCCATCCAAAGACACATAAGCATCAACCTCCGTCCTTCAGGGAATTTGAATCTAGAGTGAGACCAACAACAACAAACAGGAAAAATGAAATGAGGGCTGGGAAAAATGGGGGGATTTTGCATGCACCCTGCTTTCTCTAGTGCCATTGGTTCCACAAGGATTAAAAACATGCCCCTCCCCTCCCCAGTTCCATAAGAGGCCAGCTCTTTCATCTTGCGGAGTCTCCTTTTAATTAGAATGAATGCTTAGAAGGTGGTGTAACTCCCTCCCTCAGAGTCTATCCTGAACTGGCTATTTCCTGAGCCCACTGGCCTCTGCAAGTATGATTTGTGTTTGAAACTCTATTCTTTCACAGACTCAGTTACACCACTAACCTCTCTAAACCTGCAGACTCTCATTATTTCAAGGTTCATTCCTTGAGCTAGGAACCTTGTCATGATTATTTCACACCAAATGCCTCCTATGTTGCTGGTACTACTCTCCTCCAAAAAGTTCAGTGAATTCGTGCCAGAGGTGTTTTAAGTTCTGTGCATCGAGATGGGCTATTTCCCACTTCATAGCTATATAATAAATAACAAAATACTGACTTTCAAAGCAAGCTTTCATTTTTGACTTCCAGAAATATGAAACAGATAGCAACTAGTCCTGTTGCTATCCAAGCTGTAAATTTCCAAGCCAGTTATATTGTCCAGTGAAGTGTCCTTTATTGTTTCATTGTTAAATAAATCCATGCAATTTGTTTAATTTAGTTATTATTTACTAGAGGCCCAGTTCGCAATTGAAATTATGAGAGGAGGTGCCCCGCCCTGCCTCCTGCCATGGAGGAGGCACCCCACTGGAGGCCGGGACCTGGGCCTGACTCACAGCGTCCCTGATCCTCCTCCTGTCCAGTTGTGACCCGTTATGGCGTCCTGGCCTAATTTGCATATTACCTCTTCATATATATATATATATATATATATATATATATATATATATATATAATATATTGATAAACAGTGAAACAAACAATACAAAGTATATATATATATATATATATATATACTTTGTATTGTTTGTTTCACTGTTTATCAATATATTAACTTGCTATGTATCATTGAGCAAATCATCTCATTCACCTAAGTCTTAGTTTCTTCATCTCCAAGTGATTTCTAAACTCCCAGCTTTTCAAGGTGTCTGACTTTAGGATGCTCCTGTGAGCTGTACCTTTCAAAGCTGAACACTGATGATGTTGAACAATATGGACCTGTGGCTGTTCAATCCGACTCCTATTAAGTGTCATTTCGTGTCTCGTTTTGGTCTTTCAGTCTTGTCCGAACCTTTATCGCTGAGTGTGCACATCAATTCCACACAGCAGAGTCTGCATCTAAAATGGAGTGTCCACAACATGACTCATCCGGAATTACAAATGGCTTTTCAGATCGAGATCAGTAGAATGAACAAATCCAATGTCATCTGGGTGGTAAGTTTTGTTTTGCTTTGTTTTGACTATGTTTTAAAAGTCCGTTTCCGGTGCCATGAGTTTGCCTTTATAACATACCGAAAACCCCAGGATGGAAACACACTAGCAACTCAAAACAGTGTTTCTAAACAGTCGCATTTCTGTGTTTTTAGTGAAAAGGATCGGGACAAAGTGAAATGTGACAATTTGGTTGGGCAGTTGGATGGGATACATGAATAGCTCATGTCTCCCATCCTGCTGGGCCCCTCAGAAGGCTGTGGGGTCAATCCCAGTGAGTACTGACTCCCTGTCTATGAAGATCAACCAGCTTAGTCCTCTTCCGGTTCCACCAGAGATTTTGTAAATGAGATGTCATTTTGGCAACTTTTTCTTGCCAGCGTGGCTTCCAGCCAGTCTTTGCTTGCGCTGTGCTGACAGGTAGGAAGAATGAGACTGGCACCTTCGTGTTCTGGCCGGAAAGCACTCCATGGTGGCCTTGGTTACATCCCAGGTGGCTTTTCCGGTAACAAACTATGTGAAGAAAATCCTGGTGACGCACTTTTGCTTTTGCATTCTTTGGATAGATTTTGCCTTGGTCTTGATTCCTATCACGGTTGTGTCTGATTTGCCTGATGCTTCCTGGTCTAGTGCAGCGGGCACTTTGGTGGTTTCTTTCAATGGTCCTTGATGGTCTGGGGCACCTACATAACCTGTCGGTGCCCCTGTTCCCTCATTGTCGGGGAGTGGAGGACGGTGGGATGTTTTCTCGTTGGAGGAGAATGGAGGAGCTGCCTGGAGAGAAGGCAGACACAGGACGTTGCTGGGATCTCCATCTACTCAGTGCAGGGCCACTCCTCTAGGGCCATGGAGGTCTGGATCCTGGGCTCTTGGGGAGGGAAGGCCTCAGCAATTGCCAGCTCCAGGCTGTGCGCCATGCCATTGCTCCCCCTCCCCTCACTGCAGAGGTGCCATTGGACGCAGGGCCCTGGACACAGACTCGGTTTCCCCAGGGAGCACCAGGGGGTTGTTGCCTCCATCTCCCAGTGGTGGCGCCAGAATGCAGGCATTCTGGAGGCCCGCTGCATGGACGCCTGGAGCCCCAGTGTGTGAAGATGGCAGCACCCCCCCCCCCCTTGGGGCCAGGAGCCAGGAGCACAGCCACAGGCGGATGCAGCAGCTGGCACAGCGTTAGGAGAGCAACCAGAGGAAAGAGCATGGAAGGCTTCCTGAAGCGGTGGGGCGGGGGGGGGGGGGGGGGGGGGGCGCTGAGCCCACACGGAGGTGGGAAAACAGCGACTTATTCCAGAACGGGGTGAGCCACTGTGCCCAGAGAGGATTCCTGCAGGGGAGGCGGGTGGGGTAGATGGCAGGGGGCCTGGAATGACGGGTGAGGTGCAGAGCAGCCACGGAAGCCCAGTGACTTAGAGCAGAAAGTCCCAGCGTCTCAGGAAGCTGAAGATGGAGGCTGTGCGGGGTGACCAGCTGCAGTCCTGTGTGGGCGAGCCTCCCGGGGAGCAGTGCGGGCCAGTCCTGGTGGCTGACATCTCTAGGAACTAAGAGTTGACAGATGGAGCTTGAGGGAGGGGATATGGGCCATGTGGCCACCATCTCTGAGAAGAGAAGGGACAAAAATCTAGGGGGACACGGGGAGCCATCTGTTGATCTTTGGGAGACCTTTGAACTCCCGGCTCCATGAGAATTGTTTTCCCTACCGAGACTTGGCTGAGTGATCAGGCCCTGGCCTAAAAGGAACACGAAACCATCCCCATCCATCTCGCTTACCTGGAAAAGCTCGACTCAAGTAACTCTCTACTAGTGGGCAGTTTTCTTAGCAGGCCCTGTGTGTCCAGCACCGTGAGCACTGCATCTCTGGTCTCTCCCTCCAGACTTGAGCTGCTTCCATTTCCTCTCACTTGCTCCACTCGGGCCCCCTGGAGTGGGAGATCCAGAACGGTGGGAGCCGAGGTTTTTGTTTCTGTTTTTTTAATATATATTTTTTTTATTTCTTCCATAGAGGAAGGGGGAGGAATAGAGAGTTAGAAACCTCGATGAGAGAGAAACATCGATCAGCTGCCTCCTGCACACTCCCCACTGGGACTGTGCCTGCAACCAAGGTACAAGCCCTTGACCGGAATTGAACCTGGGACCCTTAAGTCTGCAGGCTGATGCTCTATCCACTGAGCCAAACCAGTCAGGGTTGGGAGCTGAGTCTTTGAGGAGCAAGAGGCTCTGGCTGTTCCTCGCTGAGTGGATGGAGCAGGGGGAGCTGGCCGGGAAGGATGGTGGGTCAGGCTCATGCTGTGGAGTTGGGGAGGGGGGGGGAGCGTGCTTTGGGATAAGTCCAGGCAAGCCCTTTCCCAGGACAGCGTGGCTGCATTCCCAATTGTTTCTCCCTCTTCCAGGAGAACTACACCACCACTGTGCATCAGGACCAGACCCTGCGCCGGATGTGGAAATCCGAGCTGCCTCTGGAATGTGCCACGCACTTTGTAAGGATACGGGGGAAGGAGGATGATCCCCGGATGCCCCAGCGGAGGGTCTGGAGCAGCTGGAGCTCATGGGTGAAGGCAGACGGTAAGAAGTGAGGTGATGCCCTAGTTGTTTGGCTCAATGGATAGAGAGTTGGCCTGTGGACTGAAAGGACCCAGGTTCAATTCGGTCAAGGGCACATGCCTGGATTTCAGGCTCATCCCCATTGGCGGGGGTTGGGGAGAGAGTGTATAAAAGACAGCCAATCAATGATTCTCTCTCTCCTTTCCTCTCTGAAATCAATAAAAATGTTTAAGAAAAAAAAAAAAAAGAAGTGAGGCGATGAAAGAGTGAGTTTAATGTAATACCATTTGGGGATCAATAGTCCAGTGTGGAGGTCTTCTGTGAGGCACTCGGAGGACACCAGTCATTTCCTTTGGCTCCCAGTGGACCCCAGGAGAGAGATGTCCGAGATTTGGCCTCTGAATCTATTCATTGAAATAATTATGCAAATCCAGACCATTTTTATTTAATTTCCAAATGTGTATGGAAGGCTAAGGGAACCAAGCAGAACACAAGCTGTACATGTTTGTATTGGAACGACACACACAGTGTGTGTGCAGATCTGCCACTGGGTCCTTGACGCAGTCACAGGCAACATGGAAATCAATGACAGTGATTGTTTTCCAATAAAGCTTTATTTACAAAAACAGATGGTGGGCTGGCGTTGACCCCTTGGTTAGTTTGCCAGTACCTTTAATGTAGAGAGAAGGGAGGGACATATGGAAAAATGAAAGCAATTTTTTGAGTAATGAGACTGTAAATAACACTTTAAATATCACTTAATTTTGATGATTTAACTTTGTTGTAATTAAAATTTACAGTGGGTATGCCACCATTTCTTATGATTCAGCTAAGCAACGTCATTTGGTTCTCTCAACTATATATCCTGCCAAGTTATCTGGAATGCCGAACAACAGAACCATTTCTTTGTTAAGTGTTTATACCGGTCTATGAACTCAAATGGATAACACATTAACTCACGAGTAGCCTAGGGGTTAGTTTAATACTAAATAATAGAATTAAATCTACCTTCTTGTCACTGTTTTAAGCACTATACACACTGAGTCCTCACGTCTGCACATCTGCACATCTGTCATCTTCACAGGTGAGGAGACTCACTGTGTTACAAAAACCCAGACGAGGTCATCAGTCCACCAAGGGGTGTAGCCATATTCCAACCCAGACCACTGAGGCCCAGAAACCCAGAAACCATTGCATCCTACAGACAAAACAGCAATTAAGAAAAAACCCAAAAAACAGTAATGAGAATGAACTTTATAAACAACATCTATTTTGATTTAAAAAAAAAAATACACTATATTTCTCCAGACTATTATCTCCAAACTAACTCAAGAATAAAGGGGAAACCCTGATTATTCCTAACCCCCAATGCACTGGTTCCCAACCATCGTCACACGTTAGAATCACCTGGGGACCGTAAAGCACACCCACACCAGGCACTCCGCATGGGTGACATAAGCGATGGTAACTGGGGTGCCTCCTAGGCCAGCAGCAGGACTGTGGTGGGCTTGGGAGTGGGGGGAGGGACTCTGAGCAGTGGTAAGCGCAGGCAGCTCTCCAGGGAGGCCAGCTGTGAGGGCCAGTGGGGAGGAGGCCAAGGCATGGCTGGGGAGCGCAATGCTGCTGCTTACAATGGGAGAGCCAGGAGGCTCTTACATGCAGGTGGCTTTACACAGGGAGGAGCTGGTGCACAGGGAGATGGCTGAGAGGCTGGCATTTCCGAGGAGGCAGGAGGCGATGTGGGGGCCAGTCCAGGTTAAAGATTGTGCAGGACGCGGCTGTGGGGCTGGCCAGACCTAGCCTGTGTGGCTGTGGCTTTGCTTTTCGAGTGAACTTGAGCTCCGTCCTGCCTAACCTCTGGGTGGGAAGGGGGAAGATGGCCTGAGATAATGGACATACCACTCAAGACAAGGCCTCCCACCTGCTAGGGGCACAGAGCAGCCATGGTCACCCCCACGAGCAATGACCCAGCAATCCTCAGAGGCCACAGTACAGGGGTCTGGACACTGGGAGCCCTGCACCCGGGACTGCGTTGTGTGCACCCACGTTCCTAGGTTTGCTGCGGAGATGGAGGCCCCTGTCTCCTCCAGAGGCAGAGCAGCTAGCGTCACTGCGGAGAGCGAGACGGGAGGGGCCGTCTGGATTCTGGGTCTCTTTCTCACCGAGATGTCTTCTCTCCTCTTGCAGCTCAGAGTTGGCTTGGACCAGACCCGCTTGTTTTCCCCAAAGAGAAGCAGGTGGAGGAGGGCTCCGATGTCACCCTCTGCTACGTCTCCCGGCACGTCCAGAGTCATGTAGTCTGTACGCTGAATGGCATCCCGGTCCCCGGAGAGCAGCTGGACCCACACGTGTTCGTGGTCACCTTGAGGAACATTTCCTTCGTTAGGAACACGGGATCCAACTTCTTCTGCGAGGAAGACAGGAACCACACCCAACCAGGCCTCGTCATCTTTGTCGCCAGTAAGCACGCGCTGTGTCCCTGCCCTCTCCCCGCCGCCTGAGTAACCGGGTCCCCTTTACCAAAGCACGGTCCACATTTCCCCTCGTGGTCCAGTTTCCCTGGCCTCCCCAGTCTCCCAGGAGGGACTCGGGAAGGGAACCCTGGAGCAATCCCAGCGGGACTTCCTGCCACGCCTGGTCTTTGCTGGCATTGGATGCCAGAAACCAAGAGTGTTAAGGGGAGAGAGCGCAGGTCATGACCTGGAGACATCCCCATTGCCTTCGCCCCAAGGCAGCATGTTCCCTGTATGCACAGGGAACATGTCCCGGCACAGGGGCTGACTCTCTCCCGTGCTGGGCCTGCCAGGTGGACCAAATTTCTTTCTTTCTTACTTTATTTATTTATTTATTTATTTATTTATTTATTTATTTATTTATTTATTTATTTTAATGTCCAGCTGCTCTCCGAGGACCTATTTTATTTAAGAATTTTTAAATTCCAGTTGATTTTTTTTTTATTATTGACTTTACAGAGGGGAAGGGAGAGAGAGAAACACTGATTTGTTGCTCCCCTTATTTATGCATTTATTGGTTGATGCTTGTCTGTGCCCGGAATTTCTTAGCCTCTCTGAGCTGGAGTCTGCCCCTGGGGAGGGGTGATGACAGCTGTGTGAGGATTAGTGAAGCGGAGGGGGCTGGCCCTGGGCTGCTGGCTGCACACAGTAGGGGCTCAGCATGCGAGGCCATCACTCCCATCACCCGGTGGGCGGCCGCAGGGGGAGGGAGCCCTGGGCTTTCCGTAGCTCTGTGTGCACACGTCGCCTGTCTCCAGGCTCCTCTGTTCTGTCTTAAGCCGGCCCTTCCCTCACATCAGGGCAAGCTCTGCCGCTGCATCCTCGCCGCTTCCCTGACAAGGCCTCCCAGCTCCCAGCTCCCAGCTCCCGGCTCCTGGGCTCCCGGGCCCGTGGTTTGTGCTCCTCGGCCTGGCCTCTTCGGTTGGGTGGGCAGCATTCTGGCGCTCCCAGCTCCTGGCTGCTGGTAGCAGGTTCCCCAAATCTCACCAACTTCCTGGCAGCTCAGGGGTAACCCCAGGCTCTCTGTCAGCCACGGCTTCCTTCCGAAATGCAGCACCAGGCCACTCTGACTTGGTTCTTTCACTCCTTCACTTGCTCGCTCTGTGGCTGAGCAGCCCTTGTGGAGCGCCTAGCAGCAGGCCTGGGCGTGCAGCATCCATCCAACACACTCGGGGCTGCAAGTAGCACGCAGACCACCCATACCCACAATGCCCATCATGCCCACCCGTGCTCACAATGCCCACGTGCCCACAATGCTTGGAAAAGCATGGGGGGAGGGAGGAGGAAGGGAGGAGACAGGCCGACATGATGCACCGCCTGCGAGCACAGGGAACATGTCCGTGTGAGACCCACGCAGAGCTCCGCATTGTGTTTGCCTCTGACTCACGAGGCCTCCGTCTGTCTGTCTTTCCTTCCGGGGACAGAAGTGCTGGAGGAGCCCAAGGGCTTCTCCTGTGAGACCAGGGACTGGAAGACTCTGAACTGCACGTGGGACCCTGGGAGCGACACTGACTCTTGGAAATTCCCCTCCCAACGAAACTTGTTTGAATCGTAAGTGAGCGCTCCTTACATTATTGCCAGATCCAGCCTCGTTTGAGTCCTGGTGACAACACATCGAAGGCCGTGTTTAGATGTTGCACAGATTTGAACAGATGTTTTAAAGCCGCCCTGCCAGTCCTAGCAGGTCTGAGCTGGTCGCAGTGCCCAGCGCGTCCCATCTGAGTGCCATCAAAGGAAAGCGTAGCGTCAAAATAATAAGACAGACCATGAATGGTTCATCTTTTTTTTTTTTTAATTTCTTTATTTATTAAGGGTATCACATATTTGTCCTCATCCCCCCATTCCTATCCCCCACTCCTCCCATGCATGTCCCTACCTCCCTGTTGTCCTTGACCACTGGTTAGGCTCATATGTGTGCACACAAGTCCTTTGGTTGATCTCTCCCTTTTTATCCTCACCCTCCCCTACACTCCCTCTGAGGTCCGACAGTCTGACCCATGCCTCCTTGTCTCTGGGTGAATGGTTCATCTTGATGTGAAGATACTTCCATCCTTTTTAGTCATAGTTCCAGCTGCGTCTACCTCACGTCCAGCTTTTTAAGACGATCCGAAGGGAATGAAGGGGGTCTCCCAGGAGTCAGTGACTCCCTGCCCCCTATTTCACTCCAAAAGCCGAACTTGCAGAAGCAGTGTTTCGGCAGCGGGGGTGGGTGGTGATGGATGGACGGACGCGCTCATGGGGAACACGGTTGTAAAGCCACTGAGCATCCCCGAGGGAGCCCGGGGTGCACTTCCTCATGGACCGAAGCCTAAACCCTGGGGCTGTGGTTTTGTTTTTAAGATTTAGTGAAGCAGAGGGGCTTTGTTTTTGTTTTTAAGAAAAACTGTGTTTTTGTTTTTAAGATTTTCCGGGAAAAATCAATCCTGTGAACAAAAAAACTGGTGTTCTTGGCAAGTAGACTCACAAAAAATATACAACTTCACCCTCCTGGCTAAAAACGTCTTCAGGGAGAGGCGTGTCACTCTCCTCTTCCACCTGGCGCACCGAGGTGAGGCGAGCACTGCCGCGGCCACGGGTGTCTCTGTTTGGCACAGGGCGGGGTGGTGAATGTGCCGCAGGTCTTGGCCTAATTCACATCCTAAGCGAAAGTTACCCTTTAAGGTCTCTCTTCATGGACACGTGCATGGCCCATGGTCCCTCTTACTGGTTGGTTTGATAATGTAAAAGCACCCATGAGCTTACCCCTCAACCACACAACGAGGACGGTGACGACGCCTTATTTCGTGTCAGTTCGGTCTTTCTGCTCATTCTGGTTCCTGTTTTGGCCAGACTCTGCGTTCTGTTACGTTCTCCCCATGGACCGCTTCTTCGCGTTCAGACGCCCCTCCTCCATCTGCCCGGTTTATTTAGTTGTAGGAGTCCTCAGGTAGTTTCTTTTTGCGTTCCGTTCGGAATGTCTAACGTAATCCGTGACAGAGAAAGGTTGTAGTTGGCTTACTCCATCCTGGCTGCAAGTCTGGTTTATTTGCCATTTTCTCAAAAATAAACAAAAACTACCCACTGAATAAATAAAGGAGGAAAGACCTGCTTATGTACCAAAGCCTTCTGGATCTGTGCTTGAACTCTTTTCACTTTGTGTCCTTATTCTCTCCCTTTTATTTGTTTGTTTATTTATTTATTTACTTATTTTTTGGCAGTTCACCCGATGACTCCCTTTAATGTAGCCCTGAAAAGGGTAAGCGCCACAAATGCCACCATGACCTGGACGGTACATCCCCTGGGGAATAATTTCACGCTTCTGTGTCAGGTGGAGCTCCATGGTGAAGGACGAGTGGTACAAGTAAGGACTCTGCTTACTACTCTGTTTCCAGAAACCCCTCTGTGCCCCGGTCAGAGAGACCAGGGAGGAGAATCTCTCTACACTCTTACTCTCTGTGGGTGCCAGTGGTGTGGGTGATAAGGGTTGAAAAGGCTCCATGAAGTTCATCGTAGACTCTCCGAAGGGGGCTGTAGAGGTTTTCCTTCCCAAAGAAGCAGCAGTCTCAGCCCAGCTCAGGCTGTGAGTGCTGGGGTGGGCTTTGCAGAGGAGGACGCTGGCTCACCGATCTTTGTCTTTCCCATTAAGCAACACAACGTTTCCACCTGGGGGAACGGTCAGTACTCCTTCCGCGGCCTGGCCCCCGCCACAGAGTACAGGGCCCGAGTGCGCTGCGCCACGGCCCAGCACTTCTGGAAATGGAGCGAGTGGGCCGACCAGGAGTTCAGCACGCTCCAAGCTGGTACGTGCCAACCCTGGGCGGTCCATGCAGGCATCTGCACTGACTGGTGGGAGGTGGCTGTCTTCGCTGAGAGCTCTTGTTTGTACCAAACGCTAAGGGGGAAATACCACAAAAGAGGCAGGGTGCTATCTTTAAAAAGAAAAAGAAGCCGGCCCTCGATGGTGTGGCTCAGTGGAGAGAGTGTCGGCCTGCGGACTGAAGGGACCCACGTTTGATTCTGGTCCAGGGCACATGCCCAGGTTGTGGGCTTGATCCCCAGTGGGGCCCATGTAGGAGGCAGCCGATCAATGATTCTTTCTCATCACTGATGTTTCTCTCTCTCTTTCCCTCTCCCATCCTCTCTGAAATCAATAAAAATATATTTTAAAAAAAGAACAAAAGATAAAGAAGCTGAATTAACTGGCTAATGAGATCTGAGTGGGAAGGCATCCACTTGGAACATTTGCTGATGTTATTTCTACGCTCTGCTTTCTCTCTCATCTTTGTTTTCGCCAAAGTGGTTTCTCAGCTCCTGGCATGGCTGGCTTCCCGCTGGACTCGGGGCAGTGTTAATTAGTAAGGACTTTTAACTCAGGACCAGCAAACACGGCGGCCGTGCCAGGGAAAGCACTGGTCTCATGCCAAATAACTCTAGGCCAACTTTGGAAATATAATGAAACTTGATTATGCTTGATAAGTCTTTGGTTCAGCCACAGCAAACTGTGAGCCCCCAACCCCTGTCATGCCCTCAGGGGCCGTTTCCTCACTATGCAAGATCAGAGAGTTTTTCTCCCAAATGACTATGTGTCAGAGCTCAAATAGGCCTCAGCTGACTGGAGGGCCCAGCCCTACTTCAAGGTAATGAAGTACTACCATTGCCCAGTTTACTGAGGAAGCAACTTGGGCCCATAGAGCAAAGAGACTGGTCTAGTTTGCAAAGTTAATGAATGGCTGAGAAATAATAGTAGTAATAATAATAACAATCCTATATAATAAAAGGCTAATATGCAAATTGCCCCCCCCGGGAGTTCGACCCACCAGGAGTTTGACCGCTGGTTATAACATGCACTGACCACCAGTGGGTGGCACAGAATGAAGGAAGGCGGCCGGCAGCTGGCAGCTAGAGAAAGGAAGGTCCAAATTGGCCCCGATTGTCAGCCAGGCCTAGGGACCCCATCTGTGCACAAATTTCATGCACTGGACTTCTAATAAAATAATAATGATAGTGAAAATGATAGTAATAATAATGGCTGACATTTATTGAGTATGTAATATGTGCCAGGCACAGCTCAAAGCTCTATCAGTGTTTTACTCTCTTAGCACTCACAACATGCAGTCGGCACTATTGCTGTCCTTACCTTATAGATGTGGACACTGAGGTTCAGAAAGTAATGAACTGGCCTGGCCAGTGGCTGGGCTGTGGCTGCACCTCGCAGCCAGGCAGGCCGACTGCAGAGCCCGCCCGCGCCCAGAGCCGGATTCCACAAGTTCTGTCTCCTGCTTTTGTTACTGCAACCTTAAGACCTGGCTATTTTAGGGCCAGAGGAAGGGTTGCATATACTTATTTTAGTCCATCTTATTGTTCATGGCAAAGCTGTTTCTGTTTCACCTGAGGAGACTCAGTTTACAGCAGTGACTCTAATTGAGGAGGTGGGGTCGCACTGCCTGCATCAGAATCTACGCACAGGGCTGGCCACTGGTCACACTCAGCAGGCCCCTCGTCTTGTCTGAGGTTCCTGCTCATCCTCACACTCCCCGGGATCCCAATAATTTCCCTACGTGTGTGGATTCCTCAAGGGTCCCCCTGCTGCAGAAAGCCCTGAGAATAATATGGCATATTCCTCTGTTGTATTTTATTAAAGAATGTCTACTTGAATTAGGCTGCTTTTTTTTGCTTGTTTTTTGCAAATTTATTCCAACGTTATAATTAAACTTAAGTGCAAAAGGAAAATGGCAAAAAAAAAAGTTTTTACTAAATTGTGTTTATTTTATTATAGATTATCATCTAATAAACCTGAAAGTACTAACTTAATTTTTGATGATGACAAGGAATTAGATGAAACAACTGATGGCAAATTCATGCTTTGTTTTTTAACCTTTGAGAGCACATTGGAGAATGCTAGAAAGCTTGAGCTTCTGTGCATTATAATCACACCTCAGCATAATCACAAATTATGTTGACATATGTGGAGTGCTATTAATTGTGCTGCCATGGTCTCTTCTTCTTTTTTAAAAAAATATATTTCATTGATTTTTTTTTTTACAGAGAGGAAGGGAGAGTGATAGAGAGCTAGAAATATAGATGAGAGAGAAACATCAACCAGCTGCCTCCTGCACACCCCCTACTGGGGATGTGCCCGCAACCAATGTACATGCCCCTGACCAGAATCGAACCTGGGACCTTTCAGTCCACAGATCAAAACTATCCACTGAGCCAAACCGGTTTCGGCCATGGTCTCTACTTATAAACACCAGTTTATGAACCAGCTAAGATTTTGCATTGAACTTGTACCCCCCCGTTGGGCCTGAGTATTTGATTTTGATTTAACGTTGGCTTCTCCAGCGGCTCCCTTAGCAAATTAAAACTGGCTTCAGTGGAGTCCAGCCCGTGTGGGAATTTACCTTCATAAGCCCCTAGACTTGGTCTAAGGGACAAAATAATCCCAAAATTCTTTGGTGGCTTCCAGAAGCTAAGGCTTGGCATTCATAAAGGGCTTCCAGTGTGATGTCCTATTCAGATACAGAAGACCTTTTGTTAAGCACCTACTACGTGTGCCTAGTGAAGCATGGACAGGGGGCCATGGATAAATGGGCAGAAAAGTCACAAAGAGTGAGAGAGAGAAGCCTCCCGGATAGCCGTCGTCATCAGAAGCTGGAATGTATGGTTCTGCACTCGCATTGTGACCCAGGAATTTTCTTGGTTTGTTCCAGCACCCTCCACAGCTCCTGATGTCTGGAGAAGCGTGAGGCCGACGCTGGGATCTTGTAATGTTACTTTATTCTGGAAGGTGAGGGGAAAAGAGCCAGCTTTCCTGGGCCCGTCTTTCACGGGAAACAAAGCAGACTTGGGTGCAGTCTTCCAATGTAGGGAACTTAGGGGGGTGCGTACCGTGAATGAGGCAGGCCTCGCCCAGTGGGAGAACCCCGCTCCACACCCATGTGGCTAATGCTTGCACTGCTCTGTCCTTGGCCTTGACCGCCCACTGCACAGATGACCATTCTCATTGTCAGGACCTGCCTCTCTGTAGCCTCTACTCGGTCCCCTCCAACTTGTGCAGACCCCAGGGCACGAATGTTATCAGACTTTGAATGCCAGGTCCTTGAGTCTCAATGTGGTGGAAATGAGCACTGACCTCAGTACAAGCTCAAGCGGACAGTTTATGGAAAGGGCTGTGTGCAAGGGAGCCGAGCTCCCCAAGGAAGCTTATGGAGGGCCCTGGGGGAGAAGGGGGTTGAGAGTGAGGATGAGGACCATTGTCCCTAGATGCTCATCTGGCAGAGGCTGAGCTCTGGAGTCACAAGATGTTTTCCCTGGGCAGTGGCCCACCCAGAGGCCTATAAAATGACGCTGTGCAAACGTCCCAATTGCCATTTCATTGACAAAGCAACTGTTCTGCAGACCAGGGTGTTAGGAACGGATGTGACTGAGTGCATTCTTCCCTCTGAGGGTGTGGTTAGGTAATTTCAGGGACTGAATTTCATTGAAAGCAGGGAGTCCCGGTCAGGCCTCTGAGGGGGGTTCTTTAGACCAAGTTCAAGTCCAGTGTCACGCCACAAGTGTAATTGGAGAAGCACACTGATCGCCATACTTCAAAGTTACGATGATTTGAGTAGTCACAGCATGTATGTTTAAAATGTATGAGTCAAGCTAAAACACTGTAATACACTCTATGGTGCCCTTTGACCTTGACGAATATGCCCTGGCCACCCAGAAGGCCAGGTCTGTGTTCGGAGCTCTCAGGTCCCCAAGGGTTGATACCAATGCGTGGCCACTCTGAGAGAGCCAGCCACAGCCACACCCACTGCTCTCTTCCCACCTCCTCTCTGGCCTCTCCGCCACGAGCCCTGTGTGCACACGTGTGGACATGCCAGTCCACATGTCCACATGCTGTGCACTCGCTCTCAGGTCTAAGGGGCACCATCGGTCCTTGGGAGGGTAGGCTGAGGGGCAGGCCCTGGGAGTGGGCTTGGGGCTAGGTGAGCAGGGAATTCTCTGCCGCTGGGAGTCTTCTAGGAGGGACCGAGGGCCCTGGGGAAGGGGTACACAGCTGCAGGGGGCGAGGGGTGAGGACAGGAGTTGGGCTCTCTGCCAGGGCTCATGGATGGTTTCTCCCCTCAGTATCCACTCAGTCTCTTTTAAATTCCGGCGAGAGAGCCCCCCCACCCTTACCCCCTGTTCTCTTGATTCCTGACTCGCCGACCTGGTGAAAGTCTGGGCTTAGGGTTATTTTATCTGTTAAACTATAATTTGTTGGTGTGTGTGTGTGTGTGTGTGTGTGTGTGTGTGTGTGTGTGTAGACATTTGAGGGAGAAAAGATGAAGATGTCAGTGTGCAAACTCCTTCCAGAGGGAAGCCCATTTTGAAATGAGTGTCCACGTTTGCAGCCACTGTCCAGGTCGCAGGCCCATGGGGAGATCCAGTTCTACACCGTAGCCACAGAACTCCTGCACACACCCTCCAGCTCCCAGCTCTTTCCCATCCCCTCTCCGGCCAACGGCACAGAACTCAGTCTCGACGGCTGCTCGCACCAAATCCGCGTCACGGCCAGCAACGGGGCGGGCACGTCCCCCGCGTCTATGATGGTCATCGCCAGGGACCTTGGGGACCCCTGGAACCCCGGGAACCGTGAGTGGTGCTTTGTTGCCTTGTATCCTCTGGGAGCACGTTGGGGATGTCACGGGTAGAGATGGGCGAGTCGGAAAAACAGTCACTTGGGGTGACAGAACGTCCAGCGACCATAGCGTTAGCCGTTCCCCTTTGGTCCGGGCATGGCCGTGGGCTCCCAGGACAGTCCTCCTCTGTGGGGAGAAGAACTTCAGCCATCACTCGGGCCACTTCTGCCCTGGCGACTCTTCAGCAAACTGGGGAAATCATCCCATATTTACTCAAATAAATATACCACTAACCAACAGTCCTAATGGAAACGGGGAGGTGGTGTACATGTGACTCACGGCTTATGAAGGATGAGTTGCAGGTATGATGTTATGAACTATGTTGTCAGTCTTTGCCGCCTGTAAAGAGCCCAGGAACATTCCAGAGACTGAAAGATCATATCTCCAGAGGGCTTTGCCAAAGCTGGGAACTGGCTCCTCCCCTCCCCCCACTCTTCCCCCGTGAAAGGAGAAGGTGGGAACAACCCTACATGTAAAATCAGTGATGACACCGATTTCCCCCTCGGGAGAGCTGGGAATGGGGGTTGGTGCACTGACCCCCCGGGAACACTCTGAGTCGATGCACACTGAACATAATACAGTTGACATCCGGGGTCACCCATGAACCTGGCAACCCTGCCACTACTATGACATCCTCAGACCTGCTTATGGGGTTATGACATCCTCAGACCTGCTTACGGGTGAGGTCAGGTGGTATTAATGTATCATTCAATTGGGTTTAAATTGGGGTTATGTGGGCTAGATTAGAGGGTGGTGGTTTTGTTTTGTTTTAAGGACTATGCATTACATCAAGAAAGAGGACATAAGATCATGGTGCAGAAGAAAACCAAGGAGTTATTTAACATAAGCTTTGCCTGCCAAGACCAGCACTTAGCAGAGGAAATGACTGTCTACAACATTCTGTCCGCATCTGACCCAGGACAGGAAAAGCAGGCATTCCATTCCGCTGGGCAGGGGAGCGAAAGGAAGGCATCCTCTCATGAGGCCCAGCCTAGACGCTGCTGGGTGCTGCTGTCAGTCTTGGGGTCCCCACCATTCCTTCCTTCCCCATGCTCCAGCCTTCAGACCCTCCCCTCTGTGGGGCTCTCTCCAGCTCCTCTGTGTTCGCATTCTTGTCACTGAGTGGATAAAGACACAGGCGGACTCTGAGACAGACCGTGTCCGCCTCTCCCTCCCCTCCTCAAACAGTCTTGTAATTGTAAAGAAGCAGCTTGATAAGAGCTGTGATTCTAAATCCCGGGGGAGATCTCAGTGTGAAGGAGTGACGTGAAAAATGCTGCTTCCATGGGAGACACGTTGTGTCTTAGCTGAAGGGAGAGGGAAGTCCTGTCGGCGGGGTACGGCAAGGCCCTTTGCCTTGTGCCAGGCCTGCAGGATCCTTTGGGCGCCCCAGCTGGGTAGGCACACGGTGCCCTGGCAAAGTTAGCTGCACCATGCTTTCCCATAATGCTCAGCGGTATGTAGGATAGTCAGATGAAATACAGGATGCCCAGAGAAACGGGAACTGCAGGCAAACAGAGTACATGTTGAATGTCTGTCTGCACCATGTAGTACGTGGTCCGCAGGGGTTGAGTTTCTGGGCAGCTGCTGGCGGGCTCATTCTTGGATGGGGAACTGGCTCCTGTTGGATGGAAGCTGAGACCGCTGCCTGGAAATGGGGCAGGCTGTGCAGTCCGCCCTGGGGAATGGGGGCATTCCCACCCGTAGGATGCAGGGCAGCCCTGCTTTAAGTCGATAGGACTGGTAGTCCATCAAGACCATGTTACCTTTTCCCCAATTGTCAGACCTCACCAAGACTACCGGGCACACAAACTATGTTGAGGTGACAGCCTTGGCCATGAGGAGCGTGCACATCCTTGCGTAGCGCGACTTAATACATATCCCAATGGTCTTTTCTCTTTCTGTCCTCACCGCAATTCCCACCCCTCGCATCTCAGAAACAGCGGAGGTGAAAGAAGGAAGAGCTCAAGGCACTGGGGACGGAGTCTCCATGTCCTGGAAGCCGCCCCCTGGCAACGTCCTCGGCTACGTGGTGGAATGGTGTGACGGCCCCCAGGACTCGCCCTGCGATCTCCGGTGGGAAAGCTTGGGCCCCAATGCCACCAGCACCGTCATCAAGTCAGGTGAGAACCTTCCACGTCACCACGTTGTCCCACGCGCCTTGCAGCGGGATCTGTGAGGATGTCTGGACCATCTCGAAGAAGAGAGTGTTCACAAACCAAAGAACTGTGTGGCTTTGGGAGACAGGACAGTGATTCGTATCGACCATCTCCCCTTTCAACTTTAGTGGAACATACAGAACCTGCCTCCCACATTGGACTTGTAATTTTAAGACTCCTTTGTTGGCAAAATCAATAGGTTTGTGGCTTGAGCAGGGGTTGGTAGCGCCATCTGCTGGACTCGAGATGAAAATGTGGGAAATGTCTGGGTCCCGAGTGTGACAGAGGCCCTGAGGGCATTCATTAGCCCCTGGGGACTGAGGAGGCGAGGTTCCCCTTGGCTAGAGAATATAAGTGGCAAGGTGGGCACTGCAGGTGGATTGCAGTGTGAGGGAGAAGCAAAGCCTTCCAGACACGGCTCTCCTGGGCAGAGAGAAGGCACGTCCCTGGTGGGCTTTGCAGTCACTGGAGGCTGGTGGTGGCTCTCTGTCTGGTTGAATTCTGCATGGTGCCATGCACACATGTCATGCACACGTGTGTGAGAGCTCTTCCTCCAGGCCTGATGCAGAGAACAGGCCCACGGGCTTGCCTGGAGACAATGAAGGGCTCCGAGGCCAGTGGGGTGAGGGCAGGCAGTGGAGAGGAAGGGCAGCCCCCCAGAGGAGACTACTAAGGGGACAACTTCCGTTTCCTTTCTCCTTTTCAGAAGGAAAGAGAAGGTCATCCTGTGCTGTTAGTGAAAATCTGTTTATTTTTCTTCTCCAGATGCTTTCAGACCAGGGGTCCAATACAACTTCAGGATCTATGGGATTTCTCCGGAAAGGATGGCCTATTTGCTTGAGAGGAAGACAGGATACTCCCAGGAACTAGGTGAGTGGAAAGCTCGTGATGTGCCCACGGCAGGCTTGCTCAGAACAATCCAGAGGCTCAGCTTGGGGTGTAGGAAGATTCCAACACCGTGCCTAAGTTCAGTGTCTTCTTCACTGTGGTCACTGCATTCCTAACAGATTATTTTAAAATCATACTAACATGAGACACTTTCACTGAACACCATGTACAAATGCTTTGCAAAAAGAGGGCAAAGCCGTTGTTCATTTTCCCAGAGTTCCTATTTCTTTGCAGAGAGAGACTGTTTGCAGTTAACATGGCGCCTGCCCTGTGCAGGTGGGCTTATGTCACCGAAAGGAGGACCACAGCCAACCCCAGAGGCTGCGGAGGGGGAAGAGAAGGAGGGAGGGGCCTGAGGAGTCTCACCTTTTTCTCTAGAAGACTCGTGTCCTGGCATCATTTGGGAGAGCTGGGAAGAGTCGAGCACCTTCTTGTTCAAGCCTCCCCTTTCCCAGATGTAGAAACAGGTGCCCAGAGAAACGCAACACAAGGCCACACAGCAAAAAGAGAATAAGGCCTTTTTAAGAAACCGTCTGTTCCCGAATTTTAGATGCAGCTGCCCTGGCAGAGCATGGTTTATAACTGCGTGGGTCTGCTTACATGAGGGTTGTTTTTCCCCCCAATAAATACACAGTCAGGCCTCCACACCCTGGGCTTCTCAACACAGATTCCCAACTTAATATTGAAAAATAGGGTTTCTGATCTGTCTTTGGTTGAACCCACAGACATGGAGTGTCAACCATACACATGGTTTGACACCACACACCGCCCTATATAAGGGGCTTGAGCCTCCTCTGTGGATGCTGGTATCTGCAGGGGTCCTGGAACACTTAGAGAATATTTCCCAATCCTGACTCTTCTTACCCCGGCTACCTTCCCAGCTCCTGCGGACAACCCTCACGTGACCGTAAACAACCTGACCTCCCACTCCTTCACCCTGAGTTGGGAGGATTACGCCACCGACGCCCAGCCTGGCTTCATCCGAGGCTACCGCGTCTACCTGCGATCCCAGGCGGAGCAGTGCCTCCCGGGCTTCACGAAGGCGGTCCTCCCAGGTGACATGCGCGTCCGTGTACCCTGGTAGCATGTCACTGTTTAAAATCACGGGTCAGGCTGCCGTCTGACTGTGTCTGTTCTTGCAGGTCATGTTCTTAAGCACGTTCAGAGGTGGACGGGATGATGGGGGCCAATATTTTAACTTAAAAACCACGTGGCCTGATATTTTTAGAAGCACTCGAAGTTCCGCCATCTCCTTAAGAAATCCTGCCACGAAGGAAACTTCCTTGCTAACCCCCTTTCCTTTTGCCCTTTGACCTTGTTAAAGGTTATTTAGTGTTTTGTTTTGTTTTTTAAATTATTTTTTCAATTACAGTTGGCATTCAGTACCTATATAGAAAAGCTTAAGGAACTGAACAACTGAATGATGGGTTGACCGTTTGCTATGACGTGCACTACCACCAGGGGGCAGATGCTCAATGCAGGAGCTGCCCCGAGGTGGTCAGTGCACTCCCACAGCAGGGGCACTGCTCAGCTGACCGATGGGTGCCAGATGCAGGGCGCATGGCTGTCTGCTGCAGCCTGGAGACCACAGGGGAGTGACAGCGAACTTACTGAGTGGTGGCGGACGCAGGCACAGTGGGTGCGGGATGAGTGGGAGCAGCACAGTGCCCGGCCTAGGCTCGGGCTCCTCCCCAGGCACCTGCAGCTTCGTGCACTACTACATGTGTGTGTAAGTCTCTGGCAAGGGCTTGGCACCTGTTACAGAACTGTGCTCTCCCCTGACTACCAGCATCTCTTGCCTAGTGGATGCATGGCCTTCCTTACCAACTCCTGAAAATGTCCCTGCGAGCTGAAGTTATGAAAATGTTCACAGTGCTATGTCAACAGGAGTGTTAGTGCCAGCTCTCTCACACACTCCCTGTTTTTCACACCACAGATAACACCGCATGCTGCAAACATGACATCGACAACCCAGAGCAAAAGACGTTTATGGTGAAGAACCTGCAGCCAGAGTCCTTCTATGAGTTCCTGGTCACTCCGCACACGAGGGCCGGCGAGGGTCCTGCCCAGGCCTTCACCAATGTCATCACCACCCGTGACCAGCACCGTGAGTGTCCCTGGGCAAGGCCACTGCCTCCCCGAGCGCGGGAACCGCCCCAGCACACACACGCCCCGCTCTGTCCGGACTCGGAGCGCTCTGTCTCTGGACCAGACTGTTTCACAGAAATCGTTTGCCCCACAGAAATCGCTGAGTGGGCTGACCGGACTGGTCGTGACCTGACCTGCTCCTGCCTCTCTCCTGCCCCCGGCGCTGCTCTGGCGCTCAGGCCTGCCGGTTTGAAAGCTGCAGAGGCTCAGTGCTGGCTGAGGGGCAGCGCACAAGTCCATGGGGGGAAGACGGTGGTGTGTTCCCCGCGCTGGGCTCAAGGCAGCTGGCCTTTGAGCTGGTCTCACCCGATGGTGAGCTAATTGCTTCCTGGACTGGGCCTCTCCGGGGGCAATGAGAGGCGGGTGTGACGAGTGGCAGGTGCAGTTGGGCAAGAAGTATCTGCTCCCAAACGGGTGTTTGCAGATTTGGTGGGGAGAGAGTGAGATAAAGAGATCCATATTTTCAGCCCTGGCTGGTTTGGCTCAGTAGGCAGAGCATCAGCCTGTGGACCACAGGGTCCTGGGTTCAATTCTGGTCAAGGCCACGTACCTTGGTTACAGGCTCTTCCTGGCCCAGGCTCTAGTCAGGGCTCGTGTAGGAGGCAACTAATCGATGTATTTCTTACATTGATGTTTCTCTCTGCCTTTTCTCTCTTTTCCACTTAAAAAAAAATCAATAGAAAAATGTCTTTGGGTGAGGATTAGAAAAAAAGAGAGAGGGATCCATATTTTCAAAATGCTTTGGCCCAAACGATGAAGAACACAAGAAGCAGAATGGTAGGAGCCAATGAATGGTGAATAGGAGTCCCCTGGCAAAGCTTAGCCTGCACCCACCAGGAAGAGGGGGACCAGATGGATGGAGGAGGGAGAAAGCAGGTGGCAGCAGGGGGCACAGAGGTCCAGGCGGGAGGTGTTCTGGAGAAACTCCTCCAGGAAAGACAAATGGGCCGAGACGCCTACCTGGCATGACCAGCTGTCCCGGACGCCGGGACCCTTTGCTGAAGATGGGGCTATGGGACAGGATGGGCTCCTCGGGGGAAGTGCTGCCTGCGGGCCCTGACCGGTGATGGGGACACGTGACTGCAGGGACATCTTGGGGCATTCACTGCTGCCACGAAACATGGCCCATGTGTCTAAGGCAGGACAGGGGAACATGGACCATGCCTCTAAGTCAGATCATGGAACATGGCCCATGTGTCTAAGGCAGATCACGGGACCATGGCCCATGCTTCTAAGTCAGATCATGGAACATGGCCCATGTGTCTAAGGCAGATCACAGGACCATGGCCCACGTCTCCAAGCCAGATGCAGAGTTTAGTCAGTGAGGCACACTCCTCTTGCCATTTGGAGTTAATTTCTAATTTATTTTCAGGCTATTTTTCTTCTCTCTTTGGTATTTACTTGGCTGGTAGAGGTGTGTGTGTACACACCCATATATGACATATATAACTCTTTCTATCTCAAGTGTACTTTCTGCTTTCACTAATCTCCCTTCTTTGGCTACACCTCCTTAGCCTTGGCTGTGACTAGTTATTAAATTGATTATTCTTGGAAAGCAAGTAAGTTGCTGCCTAGTTGCAGCAACGAGAGTGCCATTCTGCTGTCACAAGAGTGGCATGGATGCCTCCCAGATGCCCTGCTGAGTGACAAAGCTCAGGCCCGTCCCGCCTGTCTGATTCCACACAGAGCACAGAGGCACGTGGGTTGTGCTACTGAAGACAAGGCAGCGGTCCCCCTGGGAGGGAGCGGGCTGCGTGGGGACACCAGGGAGCTTTCTGGGAGCTGGTAATGTTCCTTTTCTTGTTTGGGGTACTGGTCGCCGGGGTGTGTTCAGTTTGTGGAAATTCATCCAGTGAAAAGTTTAGCAAACCAGTCTGAGGTTTGGACACTGCTATGGTCAGGTCCCCAGACTTGCTCTCAGTTACATTTAAAAAGTCCATGATTTAACTCAATTCTGAGCCAGCTGGAGTTGCCAAAGAGGAACAAGGTGCTTTTAGTGGTAAGAAATAATAAACACATAAAGTTACTCTCAACCTTAAACGTATTTTTTTTTTCCTTTGAGGAGGGAAAATACTCATTTAAAATATCGCCTTCTTTCTCTTTCAGCCCGTGTTCTGATCCGCATCCTCCTCCCCATGGTTTTCCCCCTCCTGCTCCTCACCATCCTGTGCTACGTGAAGAGTCAGTGGTACGTGTGTAGGGGGGGTTATCCAGGAAGAGAGTCAGGGAAAACTCTGGAAAGAAGTCTGAGAAACAGAAACCACATCAATAATATGAGGAATGGGCTGGAAAGGAAAAGGACAGAGGAGGCCATGAGGAAAGTTGAAAAAATATTCAATATTTTGCTTTCGGGGTCAATATATAAAGGAAACAATAACCATTTCAAAAGGTGAAAGTCTTGTTCAATAACAACAGCTAATGTTTGTATGTCACTCATTATGCAGTTAGCCGTCCTCTAAGTCAAGCATGTCAAACTTGCGGCCCACGGGCCATATGCAGCCCACAACAAATATTTTTATGGGCCAGCCAATACAACGGTATGTAAGAGACATTTTAATAATAATCTCATAATTTAATTTTTACAGTATCCTATTATACATAATCTATATATATGGCTAAGTTGCCTACTGTCTGTTTACCCGATTGTCCGACCGACTGACCGGCCAGTACATATGACATATGACTGCGCTAGCAATTTAGAAATAAATGTTGACTCACACATGCACAATACATATAAAACTCTAGCTGGCGCCAATTGCATATGTGTTGTTGTTGTTGTTGTTTTTAACATATTTTATTGATTTTTTAAAGAGAGGAAGGGAGAGGGAGAGAGAGTTAGAAACATCAATGAGAGAGAGACATCGATCAGCTGCCTCCTGTACACCCCCTACTGGGGATGTGCCTGCAACCAAGGTACAGGCCCTTGACTAGAATCGAACCTGGGGCCCTTCAGTCTGCGGCCCATGCTCTATCCACTGAGCCAAACTGGTTAGGGCTGCCCACGTGTGTTTGGATCTGTCATTGTCAATCATGAATTTGGTTGATTCTGTTGACATTCTGAAGCTGAAAGAAAGTGGCAACATCGACAGAATATGTCTGAAGACCAACTATTGGCATAACTGTCCCCATCTGACACTGGCCTCCCATTTAAATTAATTCAAAGACAGTTTCCCGTGATGCCAGCATTTACAATGACTATTAATAAATCACAAGGACAAACTCTAGACCATCGGACATCATGACCGCCAGTGGTCCATGGACCACAGGGTGTCAACTGCTGCTCTAGAGAAAGTAGGAATATTCCTACCTGAACCCGTTTTCAGACATGGTCAGTTATATGTTGTTTTCTATTGAGTTTGAAGAGTGTATGATGTTAAAGTTGTAAATACTTAACCACAAGGGAAATTAGTCAAGCATTCTGAAAGTGTTTTTACTCAATGTGTTATTTAGAGAGATATTAGAATAAGTTTAATCAATTTATCAGTCATTGTTTTTATATCATGTTTTTGTTGTTTTTATATCATTTTTTATATCATGTCTTTGTTGTTGTTATATCATGTTGTTTATTAGTCAATTTATATATTATTTTCACATACATATTACTAATTTTCTTTCATCTCTGACACTTCTAGTATAGAGAAAGGGTAAATGGCAATATTAAAATATTTCTTATAATTATTTTCCTTTCAATGTACACAAATCCGTGCACTGGGTACTAGTTATTAATAACAAACTACATTTGCTAATGACTGTTTCCTGTAATTGTGCTGTATTCATATCCTTTATGTGCCTCATGGCAGGTGCACCATTTCTTTACACTAATACCAGCATAGAATATTTTGGCAGCCAATTGCCACATCATTAATTTTGGACTGACCTGTTTAGTGTGACCAACATAAAATATTTTGCTTTCAGAGAACAAGAAAAATAGGTTTATTTGTTTTGTTTTGTTTTTGTTTTTATTCATTTTCCACAGAGAGGAAGAGAGAGGGATAGAGAGCTAGAAATGTCGATGAGGGAGAAACATTGACCAGCTGACTCCTGTACACCCCCTACCAGGGATGTGCCCACAACCAACGTACATGCCCTTGACCGGAATTGAACCTGGGACTTTTCAGTCCACAGACCAACACTCTATCCACTGAGCCAAACTGGTTTCGGTGAAAAATAGGTTTATTTGTGTTACGCTTATTAATTTGTGCAGTTATTCAGTGTCTGGTAAGTTAATGTTCAGAAAAAATATTAATTTTTATAAAATGTTCTAGTATTTTATGTTAACAGTAACTCATTTATTTCAGCCCTTTGTATTCAGCATGTCTCCATTGAAATAAACCTGCATTTCTATGAAAATTTAAGCTTTTGTTATTTTACGACCCACACACACTTAAACCTTATTTGTTTGGCTCGTGTTTGCCTTTGAGTTTGACATGCTTGACCTAAGTGCTCACACATCACAACTCACTCAACCTCACTGCCCATCTGTGCACCATCACTGTCTCCATGGAACTGGTGAGGACGTTGAAGGTAGTACACGAGGGTTAAGCTGGCCCAAGGTCTCCGTCAGTGAGCCACAGAGCAAGGTTACCACCCAGGAACCTGACTTCAGAGTTCTCATTCCTAACTGTTCGGACACATTCCAGCAAGACTCAGTCTCCTTTCCTCTGCTTTTTTAGGATTAAGGAGACGTGCTATCCTGACATTCCAGACCCGCACAAGAGCAGCGTCCTGTCCTTACTGAAGCCCAAGGTAATGCTGGGGATGGCATGGACACACTGGCCTGGGGAACTCCAGCCCCAGCTGGGCTGTAGCACCCGTACTTCCCGGGGCGAAGGGTTGGGGGGGCGGGTAATGCCCTGCTACCCTCCAGTGAGCACTGACCAAAGGGGACCAGAACAGCAGCGGCTCCACCGCCTCCCACAGACTAACGCCTGCATCCTGCTGCCTGTCTGTGTTTCCTGCCAGGAGAGCCCCCACCCATCGATCATGAGTGTCCGTGACTGCGTCCCCGACGCGCTGGAGGTGGTGAACAAGGCGGCCAGGAGGTCGCTGGCAGAAGTGGAGCGCCCGAAGCACGACTACCTTCACCTCCTGCCCACCGGGAGCTCCGCGGGCCTGGGCCCGGGCATCTGCTTCGAGAACCTGACCTACAACCAGGCAGCCCCTGACGCTGGGCCCTGTGGCCCATCCCCAGCGCCCCACCCTGCCCCCCCGGGGCAGGGAGGCCTGCTGACCTCACCTGGGGGCTTGCTGAGGTCCCCGAGCTACGTGAACTCCCCGGGGGAATCCCCAGCCGGAGAGGCCCCTCTGAATTATGTGTCCCAGGTGGCTCCCCCCACGTCTGGACACAAGGACAGCCCCCCAACAGCCCTCCTGGAGCTCGCACCCCGCTCCGAGTACAGAACGCAAATGGCCGTCCCTCCGGGCCTTGCCTCCCCCACCCCAGACGAGAAGAGCCATCTCTGGGCCGTGAGCCTTCTGGATGCAGGCGGACCCCGCCGCTAGCCGTCCGTCCCGGCCTCACCGGCACACTGCTTCCCACGCCAGAGAAGCATGGCCTGCCCCCCTGCGCCAGGCCCCGTGGGCAGACCAGTGGGCAGACAGACCACTGCCCTGGCGCCAGGTTTCCAAGCTCAGAGGCCATGAGGCTTCCTCCCCGCTCCAGCAGCTCGCTGTGGGAACGCCCGCATACCACATGGTGGGCGTGGGCAGCGGCTTACCTGGCAGCTGCGTGGCCCAGGCTCGCCCCCTGACAGCTCCCTGGCCCCCCGCGCAGCGCAGACCCCTCCTCGCAGTCCTGGGCAGCGTGGCTACGGTCCTGGGATTCTGCCTTTAATGGGAAAGCTAAAGAAGTTCTGCCCCCACGTGTCCTAACTTAAGGGGGAGGAAGCAGATTGAGTCTTTAATTGGAAAGGCCGCAGAGGTCTCATTCCTAGAGCCAGTGTTGACTAAAGTCAGTGTTTACTTCGTCTAGGCGGTCAGTGACGATGTCACAGGTGTCTGAGACCAGCCCAGCGTGGCCTTGTCTGGCAGTGACAACAACTGGCCGTGCATGGGCACAGGGAGACCCTCCGGGGGCTGAGAACCCTCCCTCCCGGGGGGAACAGGGAGACCCTCCCTCCCGGGGACACAGGGAGACCCTCCCTCCAGGGGCACAGTGAGACCCTCCGGGGCACAGTGAGAACCCCCAGGGGCACAGGCCCTGTCTAACAGCTGAGACAGGGCACACATCGGTAAGACCCGCACCTGTCCTCTCACCACCGTCAGGGACTGGCAGGGGCGCCTTGGTGTCAGGATCACAGCGCGCCCACGTCCTGGACACCGGCCTGCCACCGGGATGTTGATGACTACCTCAGGGAGGGGGAAGCGTAGCCATTGAGCAGTTCTGTTTCCTTGCCCTGGTTCCACTTTTCTTTTAAGAACTGCTGGTGTGTGGCCTGTTCCTTTAGCATCCTTTGGCCTGAACAGCAGGGGGTCAGGGCCAGGCCCTCCCTCTCATCTCCGTGTTGTCTGCGTTGGTAAGGGGAGCGGCACCCTGGGGCCCAGGAGGCAGAGCTCCTGGAGGCTCAGCAGCCCCTCGCCTTGAACCTGTGTGTGCGCAACAGCACACAGGTGCTCCGTGCTCCAGCTCCTTCCTCTGCCTCCTCCCTGCCAGCCGCAATGTTGACTGACCACGTTTCTAAACAAGCACACCTGGGGCTGCCTCTGGTACCCCACGCCCCGCACTCTGCCACGTTCCCGCTCCACTCCGCAAGAGGGACAAGAGGACCCACCTAGAGCCCGGTGGCTGTCAGCTGGCCGAGGCGCCTGCACACACCAGGGCTTCTGCGCGGCTCCGCAGCACGGTCTTCGCGTGTGGCTGAGCCCTTTCCTAACGCCGTACCAACAAGCATCTCCGTTAGTAATGTCGAGAGGACTTTGGGTTCAGTATTGTCATCGTTTACTCTCGTGTTCCTCTGTCATACGTAATTGTACAAGTCCACAGAAATGTCAGGGACAGTGATGACTGACTTGCAAACTGTGTCTTTCCTAGAGAGTTTCTTTTAAGAAATAATGCATGACCTGGAAGTCGTTTCGTTGTAACAAGCTCTCATTAAAGGATTTCACCACTGTGTGAGTTTGTGCTTTTTCTGCCTCAATGAAAGAGAAATCTAACGATCAGTCTAGCTCATAAATCACCCAGGAGCTTAGATGCATGCCCGGATACCACTCTAGCCCTCTGGCATGAGGCCTGGGGTCTGTCCGTCCACCAGGCATGCATTCAGATGCACAACTCAGCTTTGAGACTCCCTGGCCTGTCAAATGAAGGCAACTTTCTGAACCATAACAACACACCTATAGCAAATGCTAGGCTAATAACAACCACTGCCTTACAGTTTCACTGTAACTATAGCTTTGGCTATAACATTCCTCTCCCATGTTCATGACCAAATCTCTGAAGAAGGCTCAGACCTACCTCCTGGTTGCAGACCATGATGGCGAGGACCAGGCCATTTCTGGGAACCATACTGGAAGCCAGTGCCTATTCCTTAATTGGAGTCCAATTAACCAGGCTAGTCCTGAGCACCATTTCATCATCCCGAGGTCCCACCCTTGCCCCAATCCCACCTGGGCTAATAGCACCTCCTGGGGACCACACCATGCCTGAGCACCCAGACCTACACCCGGGGCTCACACCTACATCCAGGTCCCAATCCATCATGGCAGGGCCAAGTAGGCACTCCTGGGGCCCAGGCCACAAACCGGGAACACAGAGTTGTATCAGGGGACAAGATCTCTAGGCCTAACCCGAACAACTATTGCACAATCCAGATGCTCAGGGGAGGTACCAGACGGCCCCGGAGGCTCAGACTTTCCTCCAGTCCATAACTGCTCTCAGAGGACCCAGACCTCCACCTGGGGTTCACACCTACTTCTGGGACCCAGAGTATCAAGGCGAGGCCTCACACACAGAATCCAGACTGTATCCTGGGTGTACTTTTCAATGTGTAACCCAGACCACCCTTTCCATAACCGAGGTCCAGGTGAGGTACCAGACCGCCCCCAGGGGCCCAGAAGCCCCTCCCTCACCCCAAAGGCCCTCCCAGGACCCAGAACCCAGACCTAACTCCTGATCGCAGTCCTTTAAAGGCGAGGACCAGGCCATTTCTGGGAAGCATACTGGAAGCCAGTGCCTATCCCTTAATTGGAGTCCAATTAACCAGGTTAGTCCTGAGCACCATTTCATCATCCTGAGGTCCTGTCCTTGCCCCAAACCTCCCACCTGGGCCCATGGTGCCCCCTGGGGACCACACCCAGACCTACATCTGGGGCTCACACCTACATCCAGGTCCCAATCCATCATGGCAGGGCCAAGTAGGCACTCCTGGGGCCCAGGCCACAAACCGGGAACACAGAGTTGTATCAGGGGACAAGATCTCTAGGCCTAACCCGAACAACTATTTCTTAACCAAGATGTTCAGTGAGGTACTAGACCTCCCCGGGTCTCAGACTTCCCTCCGGGACCGAACTGTCTTCAGAGGACCAAGACCTCCACCTGTGGCTCACACTTACCATCAGGACCCAGACTGTCATGGCAGAGCAGAGAAGATTATCCCCGTGCCCAGGCCTCAAACACAGAATCCCAGACTGTATCCTGGGTGTAATTTTCAATTTGTAACCCAGACCACATTTCTGTAACCCAGATGTCCAGGTGAGGTACCAGGTATATATTTCAAATCAACACTTTTAAAATTTCAAACAAAACACAAGTCTAAGAATTTTAAGTACATTTTATTAAGAATGTATCCCTTTGATAAGATTATGCTTCAGGAGGCTTTTAATGCCCTTGACATAAACTGTACACATTATACAAAAACAAGAAAACCACAAAAAAAAAAAAAAAAAATCAAGGTGAGCAAAACCATTTAGGGACATACCTTATTTAAATTATACACAACTCAATGAAATATTCTTACGGAAAATATATAAATACTTTTTCTTTCTATGTTACAGTTATACAATATAAATCATATCTCAATGTCTGTTCAGTGACCTACAAACACCAGAACCTCCAAATATGTAGCAGCGTATTACTAAATTAAAAAAATTAGAAGGAAGTCATGTGGTCAGGGAGCATTAATCTGAGATTTTTTTCACAATCCCTTACCACTTTTCAAAACTAATTTACACCATTTGTTTTACAATGCAGCATCAGAGTTTCTGACAGGCCAGTACTGGAACAGTTTCCAACTATTATCTATGAAAATTTTTTATCTCCCCCCACCTCTGCTCCAAAACTTTGCATTTTGTGCTAAATCAACCATTTTAGTGGCAAAATTACAAGGTATACTTTTTTTTTGGCATAAATTATATTTTTAAAATTAAATATTTTATTTTAAAAAATCAAACAAAATGTGCAATTTATGCATGCTGTGGCATAGCTATTCATCTACGTTACAAAAACACTCCAAAGGGGGGGAATCTGCATTCTGTGTGCGTCATACAAACCTACCATGAATGAAAAACACTCTGGGCACCTGGGACTGAGAGAAATCAATCGTCTCCTAGAAAGAGTTCAGATTCCCATGTCTCTGAGAAACGCTACTGCTGCTTTCATTGGCTTGCTTTCATCACGAAACCCTCAATGAAGGACTGCTGAATGGCAGACAAGGGAGACATTTCCCAATTTACAGTTCGGAAAATCTGAAATGTTCTTTTATTCCAACAGCTCTTCTTGTAAAACTCTGGCAAGTAACTCTATCTTTTCTTTTCCGCCATGTTTTAATGGGCTGTGAATATGAGATGAAACTGGAAGCATAGGACAAAGGGAAAAACCTTACTTCCAAAGGACCCTTTTCCAAGGTAGTTTACACAGCTCATCTCATACAAAATCAGCACCTCACTCTGACCATGCAAAAATACTTGCAATTATAATTTGGATGACAATTTGGTTTTTATTGCTTAAGCATCTGTGCTTAATGTGGGATCAAAGGCATCCTCTGAATGGAATGAACATTTGTATATAAATAGCAGTAGACAGATCTAAATACGCATGGACATCCCATTGTTGAGCACTCTGCCATTGTAATATGCCCTGAAAAACTCAGGTTTAATTGTTTAGAGCTCTGGATAAAAGAGCTGAAAACTATTAAAGACACCATTTTAAAAGGACTTGCACACACATGAGAGTAACTAGTATAGTAATGTACATACCCACCTCCAAAGAGCCTTTTTAATGTCACTGTCTTACAGGATGTCCAAATGCTACCAATCTTCATTAAAAATTTTTTTTATCAGGGAGAAGAAACTTTCCCCCTCAAACCTACCTAAGCATAAACAGGAAATAAAAATGTAAGAAATTTTAGATAATATTTAATTATGAATACTAATTTCTAATTTCCTTTATTTAGTATGTGAAGCTAAAATCTGTTCTTGAAAAAAATTCAATAAAAAATAATTTACTTTACAATTAGAAATTCAGTTTACAAGCAGCACAACTGTCCAAATTCCTCCAAATTATCAGTAATTACCAATAGTACAGATTTATATGGACTAAGATTAATCCTAAAATCTTGAAAAACTATAGTATTGACATTATTTTGGTATCTTTTAGTCTGGTACTACCTATCATTTATAGATGATTTTCTCAATTACTTATATTACCACTGACCCCATTCCTAACCTGTTCTGCTACAATTAATATTTTTTAAACACCTAAGGTAATTACTTGGCACTGCATGTGAGCATTTTTCATCATTAACGTCTAGTTTTATACAAACAAGTACTCAAAGAGAACATATTAGACCTGTCAGTGAAACATAGATAAACCATGTAATACTACACATTTAAGTACATTTGTTCCTTAAATTACTGATAACCAAAAAGCTCTGAGTGTCTCCCCAAACTAAGTGCTATAGGCAAATATTAGGATGCATACATACAAGCCTTTCAAAGTAATTATAAAAAACAAAATAGTTCAGACTAACAGTAATGAGACTTCATGTCAGGTCAGATGAGTGAGGTGGGGCCCCGGAACGGGGATGATGTATGTGACAAAAAAAGAATTACCTTCTGAGGGGTTAAACCACAGATTTTATACTCTCTACTAATCCTGAGGTAGTGTTTAAAATGAATGTTTAAAATAGGTAATCCCATTGTGAAGATTACTATATTACTGCCTTTGGAGTTTTAACCACTCTCTGGTCCAGTATCTCTAACATTTGGTTCTCTGGGAAGCAGTTTAATCACTCAAGACCAAAGACCAAGGTGACAGGGCAAATTATTGTCAACATTTAAATGAACATTTGAGTTAAGGAAAAGTTAAAGTATAAAAAGGTATGTTGTATCTTCCATTGGATTTGAGAGGAAGTCTGAAGAACCACTTTTAACAGACTCAGTCCAGCCCTTGTCTGCTTCATAGCATGTCACTTGCTACACAGTGCACATGAGAACAGTTCAGGAAGTGCAGTCAGAGGTGTTATAAAGATGAAATGTTTCATCCCAACGGGAGCTTTCAGTGCCAGTTGGTTTAAAAAAAAAAAAAAAAAAAAAAAAAGATCTCTGTAAGTCTGCTTTCTGGTTCACAGGGTTCTGTACAGAGATCTCAGAGAACAAACCCATTGTAAAAAGGATCTGTGACATAAGAAATCATTAATCAATGTATTAGGACTATGTCAAAGCTGATGTGTGACTGTAAAAATGGTATACACAAATTAATTTTAAAAGGGTCCTAATTAGTCCAGCTGGAGTTTTTTTCTATTTATATAAGACCTCAAAAAAAAAAAAAAAATCCTTGTATTTACAAGCATTCTACTGATGATTGGCCATGCTATTTTTATATACAAATTTGCATATATGTTTAATTTCTGTTAGACATATACAAATTAAACACACAAATAAACAAAACCTTGTCCTTGTCAACTTAATTTCACAACTGTGACCAAGGCAATTACTGTACTCATAAACTAACCAATCACTGCATTTAGTTTGTGCAAAACAAGAACACTGATATAAAAATTAAATTACTGCTGCTTTAAAATTTGGTACTTAAGGCTTTTCACTACAATTTTTAATCACAATAACAGTGTCATTAATAATTTTTTAAAAGGAAATATGGCTTTTCTTTTCCCATGGAATGTGTAGTAAATTGTAAGCAAACTTAACTTTTCCTTAAAGTATCATTTAATGCTCTCTTTTGCTTTAGGTCTGCATAAATAGTGCTTATTCAAGTTCTTGTTTAAAATGGTAATGTGGGAAGAGGATGAAAACGGCAGTCCACTGAACACATATATATGCACTCTAGAAGTGAGAAACGGCTGAACTGTAAAATGATTTTCTGATTTTAATCAGGAACTGTAGTGAAAAACCTTAAATTGGTTCAAATAACCTATAATGACCTTGGAACAAAACTGAAGAGGAGGAAAACAAACAACTTTATGAAAACCTAAGAACATAAAAATAAGTTACAAGTCCCAAGTCGCTGAGGCTCTTCTCTCGCTCTGAGGTCACAAAGCTCTGACGTAGTGTTACGGACTAGGAAAAGTTCCCTCTCACACCAGCAGTTACAGCACAAACCACTGTGGTGATGGGTGAGGCCTCGGAGTCACCGACTCCTGGTTTCCATAAATTAGTTAACAAACAAGGCATAGTTTTATTTGCCCTAAAAAAGGACTCAGAAATAGCTGTGTGAAGGGTGCCTCTGTGTGTCCTATTATTGTCCCACTGTTGTTATGCATGTATAATGAAAACACAGAAGACCTCTGAAGGTATTCAGTGCTTGGCTCTTGCATACAATGGTAACTAAAACGTTTAAAACTGTTGTCATGAACGATGAGCCCCCAGGGGTTCCGGGGGAGAGAGGAAGATGTTTGCTCAGGGAAGTCCGGCAGTTCCACTGCTCCTGCGCCTGCACTGCTGGCACCGTGCACAGAAGACGCTCCTGTCCCTGCTGCCCGTCCGCAGTGTTGTCAGCATGCTGACGAACTGCACAATGTGAATGTGTGAATAGCATCTGCCTGTATACATCCTGCACAGGAGGTCAGGACTCTGCCGATGGATCAACCACGGGTTGCTTTGGAGGTACTGCCAGCACAGCCTCTGCTTCTTCATGCATCTAGGGAAGAAGTGGTCCAATTTAATGACTGTCTAGTATATCCTCAGACATCATCTCTCTTTTAAAGACAGAATTGTTTTTGAAAGATAGATTTCGGAAGTACAAATTCTACTTACTTGTGAAAACTGTACATCTTGAAATAGTTCTTGTATGAATCTCCGACATTGCAGTCTAAACGTGCAGTGTGCCAGCAAATGGGAAACCTCCGAGTAAAGGCAGATGTCGTCAAATGTCTGTGGGTACTTCTCCTTAATTCTGCAATGAAAGGCAAGACTATGGGAGAAAACCGTAACAACTACTTTTGTCCCAGAGTACCTCTGCTCAAATATTCTTTCTCCAGATATTAATGATTAGATGGCATATCAGGGTGATGGTATACGAATAGAAAATATTAAATATTCCTACTTCACACTTAAATGAGATAACTTACATTTTGAGTTATCTCTTAAAATAAACAAAACCCAAATGTTTAGGAATACTTTTTCACTGGCATGAGAAAATGCAGAATTTATTTATCAGTCTAGGATGACTCAAATATTTTCAAAATTAATGTTTTAAATAGAAATGTTTTTGTGTTTTGTTTTTTTTTTTTTTTTTTTAAGTTAGGCTGAAGTTATTGATGCCCTTGACTGAGCTATCTGCATCTTTCAACCTTTAAACAGCGGCTCTCGAGGCCAGCACCTGAGAATCAGTGGTGGGTGGACCAGGCAGCACCCAGCTCAGGGCCACGACTCTAGAGCCCAGACCAGCCTGCAGGGGGCGCCTGGCAGCTGCATTACTGCTGTGGTTAAAGCCTCCAAGGAGACCCCGAGTGTTTCTCTTTTGAGGAACACTGCTTTACAAACCCAAAATGGTGAATACACAATCTTTTACCACGCTGCTGTGACTTAGAAAAACAACAAAAATTTTGCAACTTTTATTGAGAAAAAGATGGAAAAATAGAGGAAATTAACCCAAGAAAATATCACTTTTATGTAGGCCAGTGTTTTTCATGCCTGGAACGAGGAAAAACAAAAAACAAAAAACTTTTTGGGCTCATGATTCCTTTACTTTCTTAAAAATTATTAAAGACCCCCAAAAGATTATTTTGTGTGTGGGTTATGGTCATAAATAATTATCATGTTAGAAATTAAAAAAAGAAACTTTCAAAGTATTTATTAATTCACTAAAGAAATAAGCCCATTACATGTTAACATCAATACATATATTTTAATAAAAAAAAACAAAACTAGACTTTCCAAAACTAGCAGAGAAAGAGTAGCATTATTTTGCATTTCCACCGATCTCTTTATTGTCTGGCTGAGAGAAGACAGCGGGGTTCACACACCTGCTTCTGCTCCAGTCTGTTATCATATGTCATTTGGCTGAAGTACATGAAGAAAATCTAGCCTTACACAGATATGCCATGCTGAGAACTATTGATATAAGCTACCTTTTGAAGTATTTCAAGTATCTTTTTCACAATAAAAATCCGAACAAAAAAAGAATACTCAGGTTGGTATTAACTTACGTTAAAAGCCCAGTTTCATGACATTTAGTTGAAACTGAACTACTCAAGTTAATGACTAATCTTAGGACTTCTTTGCGAAGGAGTATACGGCACATTGGTGTATCATCTGGAATTGTTTTAACACCTGAAAAGAAGATTAAAATGTTATCTATATCACAATAGAAAATGTCGTAAGTAATGGAATGTTAAACTTTACCTAAAAATTTAAAACTGAGATAAACTGCACATACTCTGATCATTTGGGAACAAAATTCTTTCTAATGAAAGGAGACAAGTAAGAGGGCACATATATGTGCTAACATAGGTAAGTGCAATAGGTGGCTACACAGGCCTCACTAAAATGGATGTAATAGTTCTGAGACAACTTTAACATTATTTAGGAACAACAACAAACTTAGTTTTGTTAACAATGCTGGCATTTGAATCTAACAACTTACCTAGCAGCAATTCTGTGCTTTTGGTGCTGCTGGCTGAGCCTTCTTGAGACACGCCATCACTACATCCAGAAATCCCTGAGAATTTAGAGGGAACCACTTCTAAGGGATTATGGAGAGTCTGCTCGCACCAATCAGAATATGGAATGTCTTGAAAATCTGAAGAAAAAGATCAGTTATTTCTATTAAAGTGTCGCAATGGTTTAATTTTTGTGCTTGCATTGTATACCACAGAGGAGAGGCTTCCTTGTAATTTCTGTCCAGTTTCTAACAATTATGTTTCATAGTAAAGATTTTCAAAGTAGACTACTCAGATAATGAAATTTGTTAAATTCTCAAGAAATATATACATACAGTTTTACTTAAAAATTCAAATAAAGATATCCTAATATATAAAGAGCCAGGGTCCGGTAACAACCTAAATGACTGGATGGATGACCAAACACCAGGCCAGGGTCCTGGCCGGTGTGGTGGCAGTTAGTCCTGGGTCCCGGCCGCCCACGGCATGGCGGCAGGAGGAAGCTGTGGGAACGGAGCCATTCTGCCATCCAAGTGGCTTCTTGGTCCCTATGCCCGGCTCACGGGCTCCAGGATCTGGAGCCATGCTGCGATCCGAACGGCCTCTTGGTTCCTCCCCATCAGCCTGCGAGCCTGGGGAACCAGAGCCATGCTGCGATGGGGCTGGACTCTACCTGAGGGGTCCCGGATTCACGTGAGAGTGTGCAGGCTGGGCTGAGAGACTGCGCCCCCAAGTGCACACATTTTAGCATAAAAAGCACCTTATCTACCCCTCTCCCATCCCTCCCAATCCCAAACTAAATATCATTCTTCACAGAAAAATAGTTAAAGTCTGTATGTAATTTCAGATCTTGTGCTACTATAAATTAATCTTTCTTGTTTCTTTGGGTGTAAAGTGGAATTATACTATGTGTATTGTTCTATGACTTCCTTCCTGCCCCCCATTTAATAATTACCAATGAAAGAACTATACTTCCCTGGCTTATCACTACTATGACTGAACTATCAGAACTTATGAGATTAGAGAGGAAGGAATGTCATTATCTAACTCAGATAAAACACTCCTGACACTTAGGATGGGGTGGACTTACTAAATAGAAGCGTGCTTGTGTATAAACTTGAATGTGTGTAAGAAAGGGAAGGACAAGAAGAAACAGCAGGGAAATGCTGAAAAGGGGAACAATTTGTTCAAAACTTCATGTCAGTCAGTAAGAGTATGTCAACTGTAAAAGAAGAGAATGGTGAAAAAGACACTAGTGAGGGCACACAGAGTGTCCTGTGTACTGGGAGTAAATACACAGAACTTTCAAGAAATTAATCCCAAGGAACAGTTTAAAAGTAAACTAGAAGGGGCCAAAATTCGAGAGTAAAATACCACTCCAACAGGAGGTGCTGAGTGACCGCACTAAGGCTGAGGGCGTGAGAATGCAGTGTGAGGGATGCCGGATAGAGAGGGCTGGGGGATGACCTGTGTGTAACTGGAGCAGATTCAAATTCGTGAATTCATCCAGAAGGACGTACTCACTCACCTGAATGACTACATATTGCACTTAGTTGGTTACTGGGTTGAAAACCCAGAATTTGAACACAGACACAGTACAGGCAGTTATCATCTGTGTGCTCTTGTAGCCCAGTGTCTTCCGTGCTCTCTAGGAACAGAGAAGCATCTGAATGGATTGAGTTCATTATTTCCGTAAGGCTCATCTGCTGCCGCAGCAAGTGGAAAGAGTTCTTTACCAGCCCTCCAGTGCCAGATGAAAGGCCTGCGCACAAGTAAACAAACACACCGGTAAAGACGGCATCCATGATCCTTCCTCCAAGTGCCTTAACTTATGTGACAGTTTACAGGAGGGAGGCTAGGGAAGAAAACCAGAACTCTTCTTACCACTCAAAACTGGGAAAAGAATAATTTGCTTTAATTAGGAAACTAATGTAAAGTCAGCAAATGATATGTTTCTATTACTTTAATATGGTACAAAATAGGAAATAAATTGTACAATTAAGACATCGTTTCAATTATCCTCAGTATTTTCATAAAGAAAAGTAATCCTGAGTCTAAAGTGATATTTATTTAAAATCAATAATCAAAATTATAAAGCCTTAAACCTATGGCTGATATGCATATATTTATTAAAATATGATAGGCCATAATAAAGAGATAATGTAATATGTAAGTACATTTTTATCTCTTTCTATCCTTTGTCCAAATGACTATTTCTTAGACCTACCTATGATGATTAGTGTTACAAAATTTTCATGTATTATTTTTTAAAAACAGAAATAATTGACCTAGTTTTTATCTTCTTAGAGGGTGGGCACTTAATTGGGAAAACATTTTCTTATGTCCATAACACACAAAAAAATGTGGTTTAATTTTAAATGGAGTCAAACAATTACTTCGGTATAAATGGTCCAAAAGTAAGTATACCTGAATTTGTAGTCATCCTACCGAAAACAACATTGTTTTACATTTCTTTTTCTTTTTAATACAAAGAGAAGTCTCATGAGAACAAAATCATGAATTACCTCCTGCTTCATGAACAAACACTCTTGCACCTCGATCATCAATTGGAGGTATGGTTTTAGTCTGAAAATAGGGAATATCCTTTACCTAAAGCCAGATATAAATCATGGTAAGTCCAGCTATAAAAACAATTCCACTTTATGAAGAATAGCAAAACCAAATAAAATGCATTTTAAATGGAATTACTATAGCACATGAACCTACAACAAAAAGTTTAATGAAGAAACTAAAATTACCAAAACTTGAGAAAATAACAAATAACTCTTAAAGTTCTTATCTAGTCTTGGTTATTTAAATGGATATCAAAGTAATTATTTTAGAATTTATCCAAAATGTCTTTAGACATCTAAGCAAATGTGTATTTTTTTTTTAAAGTGTTTTTACTGATTTCACAGAAGGAGACATAAACTTCAATGATGTGAGAGAATCACTGATCCACTGCTTCCTGGATGCCCCCTACTGGGGATCGAGCCTCAACCTGGTCATGTGCCGTGACTGGGAATTGAACCATGATCTCCTGGTTCATAGCTTGATGCTCAACCACTGAATCACACTGGCCGGGCCAAATGTGTATTATTTAGTTCTATCTTCTAGCTAGGTACTGTGAGTATCTCATGGGATACAGGCCACCTTAAATGATTGGGTACAACATGTGCTGTCCTGTGTGAGAAAATTAGGATCAAGGGTTAAAAAACAAAAAATATATTGTGTACCTCATACTTATACAATATCACATGTCAGTTATATCTCAATTTTTAAAAAGCTAACAGAAACAAGTCAAATGTGACTAAAAGGCAAAGGTAGAAATTCACTAAATTTCTACAAAGAATCATAATATATAAAAACCCAGGGTATATAACATCCAAAACGATCAAAGCTCAACAGACCTGAAGTCAGTGCTGGGTTGCTGTGGCGACCCAGTACTGACTGCCTCGGCTGTGGGAGCCCAGACCCAGCACTGGTTGCCGAGGGAGCTGCAGATCAGCATTAGCCTCTCTTTCGCTCCGGACCTGGCCAGCAGCCATGCCTCTTTCTCTCAGGCCTCTGCTGGGGCTGCTGATTAGCCCCGCCTCTCTGATCAGGCCCGTTGATAGGCCTGGAGACACTGATTTGCATAGATACTAACTAATCAGAATTAAATCTCCGTGAAGTGTAAGGAGCCAATGGCTGCCTAGAAGGTGGAGCTTTTGGCGCTGACCAGCATAGAAACTGACCAATCAGAACCTAATCTGGTTGAACTGCGAAGGCAGAACCTAAAGTGGGGGCTGAGGAGTTTTAAGGACAACAGCTGTTTGGTGTAAGGTGTAAGGAAGTGATTCAATTTTTTAATGACCAGTTTGGCAGTATAGTGCATATGGCTGGCTATCAGTCCAAATATAGAGATTATGTATTGTTGTCTGCCAAGAGCATCTCCTCCTAATGAAAAAGTACCCCCCTTCCCCCCATTTAAACAATCCTATCCTATATGAGCTATTTATACTACTAAAAGGGCAATATGCTAATTAGATTGGGTCAACCAGCATCTTTTGGATGTCCGACTTCCTTCTGGACAAAGCCATGGTGGTGGGGACTGAGGCAGAGGCCATTAGGGATGATCAGGTCAGTAGGGTAGGGCAGTTAGGGGCAATCAGGCAGGCAGGCAGAGAGGTTAGGGATGGTCAGGCAGGCAGGCAGAGAGGTTAGAGGCTATCAGGCAGAGGCAGTTAGGGGCAATGAGACAGGCAGTTGAGTGGTTAGGAGCCAGCGGTCCCAGATAGTAGGAGGGATGTCTGACCACCGGATTAGGCCTGATTCCACAGGGTCCCTGACTGGAGAGGGTGCAGGTTGGTCTGAGGGAATGCCGCCTCCCCACCCTCATTCACGAATTCGTGCAGCAGGCCACTAGCCCAGCGACCCTTATGGTGGAATGACCAGAATGACTTGTCATGTGATACGCACTGACCATCAGGGAGCAGATACACAATGCAGGAGCTGCTCCCTGACTGTCAGTGCGCTCCCACAGTGGGAGTGCTGCTCAGCCAGAAGCTGGGCTCATGGCTAGCGAGTGCAGCGGCGGTGGCAGGAGTCTCCCACCTCTGCTAAGAAGTAGTGAGCTAAGTGGTAAAGAGTGAGTAGGCAGGCAGTAAGGAGCAAGCAGGTGGGCGGTTAGGAGCAAGGGATCCCAGATTGCAACAGGACACAGGCCAAGCTGAGGGACTCCCCTCACCCCACCCCATCCCCCACGAATTTCGTGCATTGGGCCTCTAGTATACCGATAAGAAAATGAACAAAATGCCAATTTATCATTAAGAGATCAGAGGGGAGGGTAGTGTTCTAGGGACTTGGAGATAATAAATAAAAATATGTAACAGGTGAGAAAGGTTAAATAACTTTCATAAAATTCCTTTAAACTGCTTTAAAAATCACTTTCTCCAAATAGTATTCACTCTATAATTTCTAGCAAGGAGGAAACCAACTGATGAGAAAACAAGAGGATTTGGCATACCTGGAATATATCGTTGATGTCTACAGGAAGAGCAAGACCAATATAGTCATCTGAGCTCCCATACGTCGCACTGGACACCATGGACCTCACTGAGGAGGATCGCTGCAGGGTATTTTGGTTAATAGGACTCAATAAATCTTCTTTATCTAACGAAGCATAACTTAAAGCTTTCATGAACCTATAATACCATAAAAATCACTTGCATTAGTGTTCTGATTTATAATATTAGCCATTAGAAAATTTATTTTAACATATTCACAAAAAATAAGTAGCTAATAGCTAGTCAAATACTAAACAGGGCCATCTTATTTACTGAGAACACATAAATACTTGAAGATATTTAGCTGTTATAAATTGATAGGGAAAAGGTTATCAGTAATGTTGACTGTTACCAAAAACAATATTATGGTCCTTCAGATATAAACTCTTTTTAATATTATTTTTATGAAAACAAGAATAATTTCTCATCTTTTTTTGAATGGTAATTATTTCAATGCTTTATCAACATAAAATTCATGTAGCACAGCAGACACAAAATAGCAAAACTGGTATCATTTGTAATTATAATATAGCCTTATATGAAATAATATTTCCTCAATGTATTCCTTACAAGTGATTCCATAACAAATATGGTCTACTGATATGTACCTCTCTCAGATTCTTATTCATGCAATAGACTTGCTAAAATATTTACTAGGGATCTGCTTTGTATAAATAAGGAACTACTCAAGGTTCCATAGTAGATGCATATTAATATTTGGAAACCCAACTCATTTAAAGTTAATAATGTAGTCCGCCAGTGTGGCTCAGTGGTTGAGCATCAACCCATGAACCAATGAAATATAGATCCTCAGGTGAGGTTTAAAAAAATTAAAAATTAAATAAATAGTTATCATAGCTAAAACTACTCTTAATTTGTACTAAACTCCAACTAAAAACCACCCATAATTAAAATTTATGTATTCAAAAAATAGGTGAGTAGATTTTAAATTGTATTGTTATATCTTCCTAACTACATAAAACTCAAGGTCTACTGGAGTGGGCAGAAAAGGATTACTCGCTTTTTCAATCTCTAGTTCAGCCAAAGTAGCTCTATTTAATCTATTCCACATATTATTGGGTTTTCATAGAAAAGTTTTTGTGAAGAAAGCAACATTTAAAAATCTTAAAACTTATTATCTAGACCTAGCTGATTTGGCTCAGTGGATAGAGCATCAGTCTGTGGACTTAAGGGTCCCAGGTTCGATTCTGGTCAAGGGCACATGCCCGGGTTATGGGCTCGATCCCTATTGGGGGTGTGTGCAGGAAGCAGATGATCAATGATTTTCCCGTGTCATTGATTTTTCTATCTCTCTCTCCCTCTCTGAAAAAACAAACAAACAAATAAACAAAAAAACCCACAACAAAAACTTACAATCTAGTCCAGTCTCCAGTAGAGCAGGCACATGAAGTGCAGATATAAAAAATTCATGAACTTTACTACCGAGATGTTTGCCTGGCTTTGTTCTAGATTGCTGAGGTCTGCAGAGCTCCTGAATTCCAGGCATGAGAGACATTATAGCAGGATTTGCAGAACTCTGCCCAAGTTCATTCACTCAGTGACAGGACTAAAACTCAGGATTAAGGATTCCTACTTCAGTGTTGTTCCTACCATGCTCCAAGTCATGACCCGAGTGAGATATGACTTTAAGTTTGCTATAATAGATTCATGCTATCCGTTATACCACAGGTATCAGTATCCTACTCTTCTACTTTTTTAAAGAAAATGAACAAAAGAAAAATGTTTTCAGCCTGGATTCCAAGGCATTATTTTAAAGTAAATTTATAGTTATCATCACTGTTTTCATTGTCTCTGAATTAACCAAATAGGAAGACTAATTCCAACCCGATTTTTTTCTTCCATGGAACCTGGTACAAAGTAAATTCTCAATACAGTTTGAAGTATAAATGAAATACTTGATGAACATGAGCTCTGCTATGCCTTCATGCCTTTGTTCCTGTTTCTCTTGACTGCTTATTCTCATTTTTATTATTTCTCTCCCAAGAAATATCTTCTCACCTATTCATTCTTTATGCCAATGATTTGGCATTTTACTCTAGGAAATTTCCAAATCTTCACCTGTTCTAACAGAGAATTCTATTTAATAAAGATGAAATATGCAAATTGACCATCATGCTGTTACAGATGACAGCACTAATGGTCACAAGATGGTGGCGCCCAATACCCTCAGCCGTGCCGGAATCCCCCAGTCCTTCCAGTCCCGCTGGAAGTGGAGAGGGTGGCAGGTGCGCGGTGCAGCCAGACGTGTCCTCAGCCCCCCAGCCTCCCAGGGTTGGCCCTGGGCACAGGCAAGCCTTGGATGGCAGCTACCCAGCCGCCCAGGGCCGCCCGAGACTCAGATAACCAGGGCCTGCTGACTGAGGCTTGCGCTGCTGGCAGTGGCAGAGGTTTGATGAGGGCGTCGCCTTCCCCTCCCGTCCCTGAGGGCTCCTGAAGTAAGAGAGGGCAGGCCGGGCTGAGGGACACCTCCTTCAGTGCATGAATTTTCATATACTAGGCCTCTAGTATAGAAAATAAGATCCTAAGAACCCAGAGTGGTTAGAGAATAAGCAACTTGGGATAAATGTCTTTCTGGTTTATTCTTTTGAATATGTAAGCACTACAACTTTTTATCTATGCTTTATTCAACTTGGATAGAAATGCTTGCTTCAATAAGATACAATGAACCTAAACGGTTGGTTCAGAGTTAACAGAACTCGGGTCACTGCTGAGCTACTAAAATGGTGGTACTCCTACTATTCATTTTGGGGTACTGTGTTCCTTACTGCCTCTGGCTGAATGCTACCAGGCTGCAGCGGTCTTTGACATTTTCTAGTAGTAAGTATTAAAGTTTCCTCTTCTGCCACCAATTTTATCAGCTGGTATGTTCCAGGTAAATGAGCCATTACTGCATAATTCATGAAATTCTACAAGAGATATAATTATGTGCTATTAAGAACTCCATCTACTAAATGTGTTAGCATTACTGAAAAAAAAAAAAACCTGCTTAATAACAACTTTTTAATGTGATTAATATTTTGGTTATATAAGAATCAAATGGATTATATTAAAAAATGAATATTGCCGAAACTGGTTTGGCTCAGTGGATAGAACGTTGGTCTGAGGACTGAAAGGTCCCAGGTTCGATTCCGGTCAAGGGCATGTACCTTGGTTGTGGCCACATCCCCAGTAGGGGGTGTGCAGAAGGCAGCTGGTCAATGTTTCTCTCATCAATGTTTCTAGCTCTCTATCTCTCTCCCTTCCTCTATGTAAAAAAATCAATAAAATATATTTTTTTAAAAATGATTACCAACGCTGATAATGACGACAGCTAATTTTTATTGGCAACTTAATATATGCCAGGTAATATTCTTAGTACTTAACAAATACTAAATAAATGCAATTGAATAATCTGAAACTAAAAAGTTTTAGAAGTATTTGGCCAACAAAAATAGGTAAATAAATTTTTGCAATAATGAAATTTAACACTACACACCTAAACTATTTACTTTCACCAGCTTGCTATATAATCTTTAGATATGACAAAGAAATCCTCTAAATGTTCTTGAGCACAGGCGAGTTGGTATTGCTGAATCCTGAAAGGCCAAGTAATTTTTTATGTAAATTAGGTTCCGACTTGATAATACCAGCTACTTAAACTGAAAATAATTCCCCTAAAATTTTCAGTTATTTAAAAAAGAAGAGGTCAACTTTTGGAGCCTTAAATTGACCTACCTGAAAAAGTTGTTTGTTATTGTAGGTCTTAAGCTCCTGATTCCCCCGACATGCTTCTTTTTAAAATCGATCCTTGCAGAAGCGAGAATAAAAAAAAAAAGCTTGTGACTTGTTTGTCCTTGAAAAGCATGTATGTTTACTTTCAGGGCCTAAATGAGTTTCTTTTCCCCCCTCGCAGCTGCAAGAATCCATTTCAAATCATATCGGGTAACTAGGAGCTTACAGCCTACCATAGTAAACAATGGTAATAGGTCAGTTTGGAGGCTTTTATGTAGAAGTAAAACCTAATCAGTGCTTTCCATTTAAGTCTGTTACAATGCAACCATTACTGTTCATTTTTAAATGCATATTTACTCACCTGCTTGGTGTTAACCTGGACTCGAAGCTGTTGGCCTTCATGGTGATGGTATCAGTAAACAGCACATCTTTTGCTGGAGATGCCAAAGCTTCAGAATGAGACAGAGATGGATGCATCCTTTGTTGCTGTAACCTTTTCAGCGTAGCGTAGCCAAAGGCATCTCTAGAACTTGTGTAACTGAAGTTACAGTCAGCTAGACTTTTAATTGTAGCGATAGAGGGTGCTTTAAGGGACTGTGCTCTTCTGGGAAGTGTATGAGAAGAACCCGGAGGCACCAGGGATACTGAGTTTGACTTGGAGAGAGATAGATGGTTAGACTGTGGCGTCAAATAGTGGCTCGTCTTAACAGTTTTAGTACTTACCACAGTACTCATACTTCCACAGTCTGTGTCCACAGTCGTAGCATCCACACCTACTGTCTCTCGGGAAGGGCTTGAGCTCATTGAACTTATGCCACTTGTTGTAGTGTCTGTATTGAAACTTTGGCTACGCATCTTCATATGCGAGCTTGTTGAACTTTCCACAACTAACCTCTCTCGGCTTGTGTTTTCTCTGTGATTCTCTGTACCAAGACTCTTAGTGAATTTTAAGTCATTCTCTCCAATACTTGGAGTACTACCAGTGTCTTCTATGTGCCTATTCCCCACAAATGAAGTTTCTAATTGTAATGTTTTCTGTACTGTGGATATGGGTGTAAAATCATCACTCTGAATGAAGTCAACACTGGGGTCCGTAAGCGTTCTGATCCGCCTGTTGCTTGTCTTGTTTTCAGATGACAGTTTCCCTCCTTTTGGATCACTGCTACTACGATGTTTTTTATTAGGCAAAGTAAGAGAATTTAGAATACGGTTCTTCACAAGTTTGCTAGACCCAAAGAAAGGGAATGAATTTTTATCCTTTACAGGGCCAGGCCGATCAAAAAAGGATGGCTCTGCGTCCTCACTGATGTCGAGGAAGAACGTACTAGTGGAGCTGCTGCCAAACCGGTCGTCCTCCATTATGAACATACCTGCAACCAAAGGACTGATTAATAAAAGTACATAAAAATGACAAGCAAAGTAGTGGTACCAAGTAGTGACATGTTTCAGAAAATTGATTTTTAACAGTTGAAAAAGGAAAACATTGTCAAAAATGAAGGGTTAAATTTATCTCTTCTCTCAAAAATGAACATGTGATATATCCTTTAACACAAATATTATGAGTTAATAATCGCTGTATCTGAAAAATGAATTTAAAAACTATGTAAATGAAGAAGGTTGGCAAATACACATTTATTAAGTAGATTACATGACAAGCAAAAAAGCGGAATAGTTCTTCTGGCACGTGGCTTATTATTTTGCCGGAAGCCAGTTCCAGCATGTCATAGTTGCAAGTTTCATCAAAAGGTTGATGGAACTTGGGGACTCATCAAGGGCTGAGTCAAATATGTTATCACCTGTTGGGAACAGCTAAAGGCATTTCCCTAAACCTGAAAAGGATGCATAAAATCATTGCTTGCTGCCAGACAGCTCAGGGGATCTTAATCTATATGTTATTGCCTCCTCTTGGCCAAACACTTCTCCAATCTGACAATGGATTTGTGTATTAAACCCTGGCCTTTGAAGTGTATATCTACCTCACCTTAGAACAAATCCTATTTAATAAAGACGAAATATGCAAATTGACCATAACTCCATGACCAAGATGGAGGTGCCCAGAGCTCAAAAGGAGGGAATATGCAAATTGACACGACAAGACAAGAACCAGAAGGCAGCTCTGGCTCAAGTAAAGGCAGAAAAGTGGCTCCAGGCTAGAGGAAGGTGGTGCCAGCAGTCAGGAGAAGGAAGGCCTATTCCTGCACAAATCTTTGTGCTTCGGGCCTCTAGTTGTGTTAATAAAAAGTAAGGGGTCCTACGAAGAAAAGAACTTGGTTCCTTTAGCTAAGTCTTCTCTGACTCCCTATCATGCCTTTCAAAATTATGTTTCGTCTCTGGACTCTTGATTAATTTACACACAGCCCCTGTTCCAGATTGCTGAATCCTTGTAGATGCTGAATCAAGAACCCAGTGTTATTTAACTCTGAAAGTAGGATTTTTCCAAAGGCTATTGAGAAAAAGGAAGGGGAGAAAATAATGTAGGTTGTGACTATACACTGTTGTGAAAAGATATACATTCTTCATGAGGCTACTATTGCAATGTTCTCTTAGAAAAAAGTAAATTAGAAATGGAACAAATATACAGATTTTGATATTCAAATACAAATGTTAACTGGCTAACTTACATTTATAGGAATATGTCACAATACTCACTTGATGGTGCAGATTCACTCTCACTGTTATGTCTAGAGCTGGTTGACTCTGAATTCAAACTCAAGGTGCTTGGGATAGATGAGAGTTCATTACAGAGCTGATCCACATCATCTGGAACCACTGGCCACAGATGTTTGCGACTGTGCCTTACGGCATCCCAGTTGTGACATTTTAGAATATCACAGCCTTGTTTGGTTTTGGCTATGAGTCCAAGCACATACACGCACGTCCTATATGTAAAAGATGTAGTAATAACAGTTTAATTCCAAGCTGAGATTTCCTAAAGCTATCACAAAGCATTTGTTGGCTATGTGTACATCCTATTTTTCTTCAAAAGCCATTAAAAACTGTTGAGCTTGTGGAAAAATGTATTAAAATGAGTCAGGGGTAAATTAGAAGCAACAAATAACATAAAAACTTTCCTCATAAAAATACTAATTATAATGAAATAATTAACAAGAATATAATGCAATAAAAAAAACACCTATACTCGCTTTTCTGACATAAATTTGAAATATCTGGATTACTGGACCACTGGGATATTAGGCACACACTACACTTCACTGTTTATTTGCAAGGTAAACTGTAATGAGGAAAACAGAATAGTAATATAACAAGGAGCTCCTTAAGGTGCTTAACGCATTTAAAAATCTCTATCGTTAGGACTCCCAGTGAATTAACAGTTCTAATGAACTATTTTGAATCAGTGAAATGCTCTTCCTTTACACCAATTAGTGAAGAACAATCTATAATAATAAAAGTATAATATGCTAATTAGACTGGACGTCCTTCCAGATGACGCAGGGGCTGTGAGGGAAGCCGGGTCCTGGGTGCCAGAGGGGCGCTGGTGCGAGCAGGGGGGAAGGAAGTCCTACTCTTGCATGAATTTCGTGCATCAGGCCTCTTGCATATCATACACTAGAAAGACTTCTGAGTTGAATGATGGAAAGTTCTTACCCTCTGATGGAAAGAACCTCACACTGTTTTGCAAGTTTTAGTATATCTGGAATCACATTTTCTTCCTGCAGCAAATTGAGACCCCAATTTGATGAGCCAATATTTCCCTGAAAGAAAAGAATTCACTTATATCCAATTTAATACAAGAGATTTGGAAAGCAAGCCCTAGCTGGTTTGGTTCAGTGGATAGAATGCTAGACTGTGGAATTAAGGGTCCTGGGTTTGATTCTGATCAAGGGCACATGCCTGGGTTGTGGGCTCAGTCCCCAGTAGGAAACATGCAGGAGGCAGCTGATCAATGATTCTTCCTCATCAATGATGTTCCTATCTCTCTCTCCCTCTCCCTTCCTCTCTGAAATCAATAGAAATATATTTAAAAAAAGAAAGATTTGGAAAGATAGAAAAAAGAGAAAAATTTCATCTGATCTATGAGGAAAAACATATGAAATAAACCTCAAATAAAAAACTTTAGGAATTAATGTTTGATTTCCCTTAACAAGAGAACTAATAGTTTAGTCATCTATTTTCCAGCTTAAATTTAATATTGCCCATAGAATATAACGTTCCATATAAAATAATTTTTATTTATAATTAATGGGAAAATTATAAAAATAAAACATTGTGAAAATTTTATAGAAATGTTTATTACAAACCAAGGCCCAAAGAGATGCTTTCAGTTTTTTAATTTCTTCCCATTTATCTAAATCTGGTGTACGAACGCTGTGACAGAGCTCTGCAATAACATTCTGGAGAAAGGAAAAAAACACAAAACACCCATATAAGAAACAATTGTTTTCAATGTATTTTCTTATTACATCTGAAAACCTATTTAAGGTTTGTCTTCAGTAAACCTTGCATATTTAAAATTCTAAAATAATTTTATGCAAAATTTCTTAAAAAGCATGGACTTTCCACTAATACTCTAGAATTAACATACATTAGCCATGTGGAATTGATACTTAGTATTACAAAAACATTAATCATAATTATCATTATTTTAAATAGAAAATTAATTTTAAAAATTAATTTTAAAAATTTTATAATACGATATAGATGACAGTAAACTGAGCAAACCATTTACTTTGGTGCTCACCAAAGATAATGAAATCTGTCATCAGATTCAGTTTAATTTCCCAATAAAAGGAATGAAGAAACTCATTTCTTTAGAATGATTTTACTAAGACAATATCCCCCAAAACACTATAAAGAAAAAACTCAGACCTTCACTGGTTACAGATTTTATGTGACAAATTATATTTGCAAAAGGTGACACATAAATCAAGGAATTGCGTGCAATATGTCTAAGGATTATGAACACAGATTACCTGAATCCATTACAAGATGGACACTTTAAAAGCAATAATGCCACCGACCTTAATTTTGAAAAATTTTTGCAAAAATACTTCAATAATGCTAAGATTTTTTCCCTACTTTGTAGCTACTTAAATAAACAGACTGTGTTTTTACCTGTACTTCCAACAAATGACAGCCTGTTTTGTGGTGTACCAGTTGTCCGTAAAGGTGTACAGGCAGGTAGACATGAGGACGCTGTAATCTAGTATAATAAAGATTATTAATATATCTATTGGTTCATTTAAAATATGCTAATTAAAACAATTACTAATAACAGTGTACTAGTATTAGACAGATATAATTATTAGATATAGCTCCCCAGCATAAATAAAAATATGGAGGTGGAAAGGCATGATTATTTCTCTAGAAAAATAATAGTTTATCTGGTCTCAAAGTAATAGTAAGAGAGTTGAGAATGGAAAGATAGACTAGTAATGGTAAGGGCATGAAGGGTATTTGAATGCTTTATATGTAAGGGTATTCTCAGTATGCTAGGAATTCCACTGGAATTTTTGAGCAATCAATGCCATCCTGTAAGAACATTTTTGTCAGTGTAAGAAATAGAATATCCAAATACTTGGAAAATTTTAGAAATTAATGTTTACAAAATGGTATTTAATTTTATATTTGAAGACCAGTAATAAATTATTCCATTAACTGATGGTACCTTTGGTTACTCCGACGAACATAGTTATCACCATCAATTGGCTTCCGATAAGTAGTAAGTGCTTCATTAAGTTGTTCCTCAATCAAATCAACATATTTTGAATTATATTCCTAGAAGATAATATTGTTTTAATTGTATATAGTTTTATAAATTCACTAAATTTATGTTAGATACCTAGGTAAATCTTAAGAGCATAAACATGAAAAAAATAAATATCTGTTTAAGAAATTTAAGACATTTTTGAAAAGGGTAGAACAAAGTACTATAAATGTAAATGTTCTAGCATACCCAAAATATTTTTGCTTATACTCCTCTGACCCTATTTTCAATCAATGGGGTACACACTAGTAAGTTAATAATTTTTTAATCTTATTTCAATCCCTTTCCCCATTAAAAAATAGCTTAATATTAAACACTGAAGATATTCACTAGAAATTTTAAAAAGAAAATTAACTGAGTTCTATTGTTTTTACAATTTTTGATAAGAAATAATATCTTTCCCCACTGATGTAAATCAGGTTAAAAGTAAAAAATGTTTTCAACTTAAACATTTAGTCAATCACATTGCCATCTTTACTGCAAAAGATCTTCACTTCAAAGTGCTTAAAAAAATTGGTAGAACCTCTTTAAGAAGCAATTTAACAGTATTTATCAAAAATTTAAATTCACGTATATTTTAACTCCACCATTATGTTTTTAGAACTTTATCCAACAGACATACTTACAAAAGTATGGAAAGATATACAGGGTATCCCCCAAAACTGTATACATACTGTAACAGCTGATAGCTCAATTTTGAAACTGAAATGTTGTTAATAAACACATTTACTGCCTTTATAATACAAAGTATGTGGGTACATTTTGGGGGGGAGACCTGATATATACAAGAATATTCAGCAAACACTGTTTACAAAACTAAAACACTAGTAACAATTTAAATACCCATCAATACCAGAGTGGTTATAAAAACTAAGATAGCCCTGGCTGATATGGCTCAGGTGACTGGAGTGCCATCCCGTGCATGGAAGGGTATAGGTTCAATCCCTGGTCAAGGCATGTAAAGAAGGCAACCAATTGATGTTTCTCTCTCACACTGATGTTTTTCTCTCTAAAACCAATAAAACATACCCTCAGGTGAATATTTTAAAAAGTTAAGGTACATTCATATAGTAATATATTATGTAGGCACTGAAATGAACTAAATTTAAATAGAATATACACAAAATCAATAGTTCAACGTCAAATAACTGTAGCTTAAAAAAGGATAAATACAAATACAAATAATTACATATAATTTAAGATCTGATTTCACACAAAATTTGAATATTTAACATCTTTAGTTTCAAAATATTGATGATATAATAAAAACCTCCAAGTTCACCAATCTTTCCTCCAAGTTAATACATACAAATGGAAGCTTATTCAATAAAGTTACCTTGTGCCACTTTTCCAATTGTTTTGCTACATAACCCCTTTCATTCAGATAGGAAAATCCTTTGGGAATGGAAAGAAATCTGAAAATGAAAACAATTGATAGTTTAACATTGAATCTGACTGACAAAACATGTTAAAGGCTAAAATATGTCAAACAAAAAATATGTTTAGGAACAGCTCCTACCTAAAACAAAAAGGTCAATTATTATTGATCGTAACTTCAAATACAAGTACATTTTCACAATCTTTGTAAAAAATACATGAATCTAATCACACTAGAGAAAATATCGTGAAATGCATGAAACACAGAATGTAAAAGAAACACTAAAGATTTAAAGGGTGTCCAAGATCCTAAAGTAGCCCCTCTCACACGCTTACAGTTGAACTCCTTTTAGGTTGGAATCCAGCTTTGACATATACCACCAGAGAACACAAAGAAAACAGAACTACAAGGAAGACTGATTTAAAACTTACCTCAGAAGGAGAAGCAAACCTTTGTCCCCAAGGTGGGATAAAGCTGGCTTCATCTGAATAAGAGCATGAAGATTGGCCTAAAATAAATAATTAGGCAAATTGAAAAATCGCATAGTATATTCTTTATTTTTAAAACACCTATAATATACACATTATAATTTCATAGTTTGTATTAAAACTGATGTCTGCATATCTTATTAGAAAATAATAAAGCATCACCTTGTCTTCACAGGCTTCATCGAGGATATCAAGAGCTTCAGAAGAAATTGTTTTGTTTTTATCATGCAGCTGGGTCACTAGTAATTCAATTCCCCAGTTATTGAAGAATTCAACATTAGCTCTCAACAATACTCTTAAATGTTTGGTTGCATACAGCCTACAGGCCTTAAAGACAAATGAAAACATTTTTTAACAAAACCCACAAACTTCACCACGAAGAGCCTCTCTGACTTTGTTTTGGGACAGTTCTGCTACTTGAAAAGGGCAAAAAAACTGGAATTGATTATCTAGTTTTTGTATGAATATTTTTTCAGTGCTAGTAAAATACTTCTGTTCCCATCTAGCTGCTTTTTCCCTTTAAAAATATGAATAATGGATGGAGTTCTTTGGAAGAACTAAAATTTTACAGTAAGCTCAAATTCCATCCCATATCCTTTCAATTTATAATTAATCTTAAAGTTTAAAAAGGAAAGTAACTGACTAAAGTCTGTGAATCAATAAAGTATCTGGTTATTTAAAAAACAAACAACCATATCACTGTCTGTTATACTCACGTCAGTGGCTGCAGTTAGGATCTTGGAGAGGATGACTCTGGCCAGTCCGTCTCTGCTGTAATCCAAGCTGGAAACAGTCAGTTTTAGCAGGTGATCTTGGTTTTTCAAGGAGCAAAGGTTAAGGAGACTAAAACAAACAAACAAACAAACAACCCAGAATAAAAATAATGAAGTTTATTAGAAATTATTGTATCAATTTGTTAATTCACTAAACATTTTTAAATTCCTAATATGAATAGGCTTTTCTAAAAGAAATCATTTAGTGACAAGTGAAAACAGAACGGGGAGATGCTCACCACTGAAATACGCTGCATTTTTCCAGCATTTTGACTCCATGAGGGTGGCAAGAAAGTGTTCCAATAAATAAAAAGTAGTGTTGACTAAGGGTAGTCAGTAAGCCATTATTTTGAAGACTTCTTTCAGGTTTCATTCCAGAGGAGGCATTGAGCCACTGAACAATATCTTTTACTAGATCTTCTAAGTACCCCTGCCCATCCTAAAAGTAAATACATTGTGACACTGTTAGAAAAGCAGTTAGTACCTATAATTAGAACAATTAACTTTAATCAAGTCCAAAAAATTTAATAATGATGAAGTTACAAATAATAGATTATCAATGGCCTGAGTACCTTATTGTTTTTAATAGAAAATATATCATTGTTGTACTTAATCCCAGTAAATACAATGCTACATGAAGATGGTGTTATTTTCCATTTTACAAGGAGTAAACCAGTTTTTCCACAAGGCAAATTACTTGCCCAAAGTCACAAAACTAGCAGGATTCAAATTTAGGTCTGTGCTCATTCCCTATGTGTCTAAATAGTTTATGCATATTCAGAAGTAAAAGGGAACAAATACAATAAAAACATTTGCTCTGGAAAATATTCAAAGTGCTTATTACCTCTTCGGACTCAAGAAGAAATTCTGTAAACTGGCAGCCCACGACCGTAAGCTGCTTCGACTTGGCAAAACTCAGGTCCAGGTTGGCATATAACTTACTGCTGGGCTTGTAAAAGTAAAGTAGTCTTCGTACAAATCTAAGATCAAAATGAAATTAGCAGCCAATAAACCAAGCAATTATTTTAGAATCTTAACCATAACTTATGAAATACTAGGTTTTGAATGGTTTATATCTAAACCATGCAATACCCAGAACTTGTAACAGAAACCCACACCTACAACCTGTATGTTCATGTTGACCAATGTTACCCCACCAATTTAATGAATAAAAAAGCAAGCAAATAGACCACTGAGGTAAATGACAATTTAACAAGCACATTTGGTACATTATAAACACACACACCCCCCAAAAAAAAACCCCAAAACCCTTTATTTTAAAGAATATCTTTGTAGAATAAGGACTTTATAGTGAGATGCCTGAAAGAAATTGAAAAAAGGAAGGTGCTAGCAGGAAAAATGCAGATATATAGCATGGCTAGAAGATAAGGTTGGATAAACAGCCACCTGGACACGAATTTTCTTCTATGGTATTTTATGAAGAACTTTGTATGATGGCTCTATAAATTAATCTTATATTAGGTAATTTTAAGCATGTTATCACACTGGTTTTGTTTCCCCCCCGCCCCACACACACACACACACAATTAGGCAAAAAGCCAAGTATAAAAGCTGCAAGTAAATTTTAGGTTACTGAAGTTATAAAGCAATGAACATAATTTCTGATATTTCAATGTTCTTATTTTCAACATTACATTCTAAGCTTTCATTTAATTTAGTTCAACTAATTTCATTCACTATAATCTAATCTAATAAATGTGCCAGTTACAGAAGTGGGAGAAAACAGTTAATGAGACATCGTCTCTGTTCTCAGGGAGTATGAAAAATTAGTGCTATGCTTCTTTATCCCAATGTGGTTTATATAGTCTAGATATTTCACATATTTTAATGCAAATATTAAATTAAAATCACAATAAAAAAACATGAAGTAAAGGCCCCTTTACTTCTCCAAGGAGATAGTGGCTGGTTACCCACCTCAGAGGCAGTAAAATGCAAGGCGGTGCTAGAGAAGAGCACAGGAGCTGAAGTGTTGAATTTGCTATGACATGAGTGTGTCTTGGGGAAGGTATGGAGTATTAACCTAATTAAGGGGAGTGTAAAGAGGACGAAGAATGGCTAACCCTCCAAAGGCAGATGGGAACAGAAGTGAAATATTAATAATGGCCCTCATTTTGGGAGGGAAACATTGTATGTACTTATTATGCCATTTCATACATTAGGATTAAGATTACTACATGGTTGATATTATCCAATTTGAGAAACGTTTATATTAAGTACTTCATTTGCTCTAAAACTAAAACCACAATGTAAATAACTAGAAAGAAAATTAGCTCTAGCTGATTTGGCTCAATGGATAGGACATCAGCCTGCAGACTGAAAGGTCCCAGGTTCGATTCCAGCCAAGGGCACATGCCTGGATTGCAGGCTCGATCCCCAGTAGGGGGCATGCAAGAGGCAGCCAATCAATGATTCTCTCTCATCATTGATGTTTTCTCTCTCTCTCTCTCTCTCTCTCTCTCTCTCTCTCTCTCTCTCTCTCTCCTCCCTTCCTCTCTAAAATCAATAAAATATGTTAAAAAAAAAAAAAAAAGGAAATTAACTGATGCTTTCTGGTTATAAGACTATGTACATATAAAAATGTATAAAAAGATGGCTCCTTTAACAATTTTTCCATTTTATGATGGGGGGAGGGGGTATATACATTCGGTAGAAACTGTACTTTAAATTTTGAATTGTGAACTTTCCCCAGGCTGGTGATACATGGTACAATACTCTCTCCTGAGGCTGGGCAGTGGCAGCAAGCTGCTGCTCCTAGGCAGGTATGTGATCATGAAGGTAAACAATCAATACTCTACAGCACACTGTGCTGCCAGTTTTTTTTTTTTTTTTTATATATATAGTGTTCTGAACACATTCAAGGTAGGCTAAGCTCTGATGTATGTTCAGTAGGTGTTATAATGCACTTTGGTCTTTCAACTTACAATGGGTTTATAGGCACATAACCCCATTGGAAGCTGAGGAACATCTGTATGTCCGTGTACAATACAATGTACATATGCATCTTCAAAGCACCATTTATTATTTTAGCAAGTATTAGGTATAATTTAAAGCTAAGTTCTCTACTGTTAAAAGCAAAATAGTTCTTACATACCTATGTAACTGTTCATCTTTATAGTTTCTTAGATTCACATTTGGCCACTAGAAAAACAGAATGTTTACATTATAAAAGTATTTACCAATTACCAAACATATAATTATGATGAATTACAATGAATAATAAAATGAAGACAATCACACCATCACCAAAAAGTATTCCGTAATACCTTAAGAATGGTCCCTATAAGATTCCAATTCCATTCGAGATTCTCTTTATGTTGAAGGACTTGGCTATCTCTAAGGTTCATTAGAAGAGCCTCCTCTGTATCCTAGAATCATAAGAAATAAGGAAAACTAAGGCAAACTGTCTCACATCAGAAAACTAAGTTTAAAATTTAAAAACAAAAGAAAATATTTTTCATTTTAAAATGAATTATCGAATGTTTTTACTTCTAAAGTTATAAAAACACAACTCTAAACTGCCTAGTCATTATAAAACTTGGAAGCCATCTGGAAATCCATATGCATGAATAAAACTGTATACTAAAATCCAAGCAAGTATGTGATACTTAAGGAAACCAAGTTAAAGATTGTGATTTCTTTTCAGTACCTTAAGAACAAATATATCTTTCTGAACTCTGAGATATTGATCCCGTTTTTGATGTGTTGCAATTGCTTTCTGAATAATGTGATCTAAATGAAGGCTGTAAGGCTTAGGTCCTCGTTTCTTCATTTCATGGAAGCGTTTTAAACAGTTCAAGGCTGCACTGGCTCTCCTAATGAGAAAAAGATTCAATTAACACTATAGCAAGCTAGCATAATTTTAAAGAGATCACATTCAGTAAATCATTCTATTAAAACACATAAATTCAAGGATAGAAATTATCACTATAAAGTAAATTATTCTATATCAACTTTGGAATCACAAAGAAAAAAAATCAAGAACACTGGAAAACATTAATGGCCATAAAAATTTAAGTCAATCAGGCTTTGGGAAAGCACATTTTCCCATCATGAAACTACTAAAATAAAAGCTGAAAGTTACCCTTTCACATGTAAGCCTACTATCAGCATCAAAATGGTCCCTAATGTCCCAAGTTTATAATTCAACTTCAGTTTGTTAAATAATAGTATTTTCATTGACAGAATTAAAATCAATAAATAGAATATTATTTATAGTGAGGCCCACATGTATACTTCTGAATAAAGCCAATTAAACTTTTGAGAATCCCATATAATAAAAGCCTAGGTGGTGTGATGCCCTCACGCGACATCGTCACAAGATGGCTGGCAGGGGAGGGCAGTTGGGTGTGACCAGACCTGCAGCTGAAGGTGACCAGGCTTGCAGTGGAGGGCAGTTGGAGGCAACCAGGCCTGCAGGGGAGGGCAATGGGGGTGACCAGGCCTACAGGGGAGGGCAGTTAGGGGCTACCAAGCCTGCAGGGGAAGGAAGCTGAGGGTGATCAGGCCTGTAGGAGAGGGCAGCTGGGGGTGACTAGGCCTGCAGGAGAAGGCAGTTGGGGGCAATCAGGCTGGCAGGGAAGGGCAGTTGGGTCAGCAGGGGAGCAGTTAGGTGTCAATCAAGCAGTTAGGTGTTAATCAGGCTGATGGGAGTGGTTAGGGGTTGATAACACTGGCAGGCAGAAGCGGTTTAGGGGCAATCAGGCAGGCATGCAGGCAGGCAGGCAGGCAGGCAAGCAAGCGGTTAGGAACCAGCAGTCCCGGATTATGAGAGAGATGTCCGACATTCCCCTCATGCATGAATTTCATGCACTGGGCCTTAAATTTTGTATTATAAATGTCAACAAAATTTCATAGTTCTGAACAGCTATGAAGTACATTTCACTAATATTATATAAAATATGAGGTCCAAATATATAGATGATTGAGGTTGTAACCAGAAAACAAATAAAAAAGATACCCTTGGCCTAGATATAATCTTTACCAATGAAAAAATTCGCACTAGCACTTCCCAGTCAAGTTTCTTTACTTTTGTCATATTTTATTATTAGCACTGGAATTTCAGCAGAGTTATAGCTTTATCATACTTTTATTTATGAATTCTATGTTTGCAAGATCTCCTTCAGAGTTTAACTTACTTCATGCCTATAATAAGGATTTCTAAATTCCAACATTAATTTAACCCCACATATAATATACATTGTTAATTTTTGTGCTTTATTAATTTGAAATAATTTAGATATTTGTTAAATAGCCTGAATTGCTGCTCAAAACATCAAAAAGTCCAAAAAGTCACAACCAATGTTTTAGTGATCTAGTAGAAAGTCTACGTCCTTGTCCAAGAACATGCTAGAAACATGCTAGAAAAAGTTTGTATTGTGGCCTACAATACAAAGTATTAAATAAAACTATTAATTTCTCCCTTATCTGTAAGGCTTCCCTAAAAGAATTTCCAAGCATACCTCACACATACTACCTTTTAAAAAGTAGAGGTTATCTAAATGGTGGGTATTAAAGGTGACAGGCACAAACTTTGCCAGAGCTCTGATACTTACAGTCTCTTTTCCTTAGGGATATCAAAAGATGCTGCCATATTCATTAGGGTTGGCAGGCAGTGCAAATGATGGCTATGTGAATGAGGAAGAATTGTGTTTGCCTAAAATGAAACATAACATTTTGTGAGAATTGAGAAATATAATATTTTATGTTCTAGATTAGTGGTTGCCAACCGGTGGTCCATGGACCACTAGTGGTCCGTGAGGTCTGAAAGGTTGGCGACCATTGTTCTAGATTATCCACAGATATAAAGCTAAAGACTCTGAAGTTTTGCTCATGAAATTAACTTAATGATTTACTTTCTAATATTTATAATTTTTAACCTAATTTTCAATGAGAATTTGTAACAAAGACTCACATTACATTAACTAAAGTTTCATAAATTTTTTATTAAATTCTAATTTTTAAGTGGTAGATGATTAAACTCAATTCTTAAATGACCTAAAAAACAATGTATCAAAACTTAGATCCAGAGCTATAATGTTACATTAAAAATAATATTTAAAATTTTAGATGCAATATAACTTGAGTTGACTTCTTAAGTTTTAAAAATCATTATCAAAGAAGTTTGCTTCATATTCTGACAGTATTTAAAATAAGAAACTTATTAACTCCTGCTTTCCAAATAAAACTCCCCCCTCAATCTGCTTTTATCAATGAAGATAACTAAATTATTTAAATGTGGAAGTCAAAGTATATAAGAATAATAAACAATGAACTAATAACACTGCCATGGTACTCAAAATTACCAGCTTTTATATTTCAAGAGAATCATGGAATTCTGATGTATATGTAAAAGGAACAGATGAAATGTATACAAGTGGTTCCTTTACATAAAAGCAAATAAATCTGGATATTGATATGCTTACAGGAAATATCTTAAGAATTAATAATAATCAAATATGAGAACCTGCAATATTACTTAATTCTTTCATAGATGGGCTAGAGAATAAAGTAGCAAGGGACTAATAAATAAATGATAAACAAGAAAGTTATCATTCAACTCTTTAGTTCTCTTTACTTCATTCACACAAGCCAGCTGCTATATGGAAACAAACAAACAAACAAACTGGGGTCAGCTGATGTGGCTCAGTGGTTGAGCATCAATCCATGCACCAAGAGGTCACTGGGTCAATTCCCAGTCAGGGCACATGCCAGGATTGCAGACTCGATCCCCAGCAGGGCTGTGCAGGAGGCAGCTGATTGATGATGTTTCTCTCTCATTAATGTTTCTATCTCTTCCTCTTCCTCCCCCTTTCTAAAATCAATAAAAACAAATAACAACAACTGGGATGTGAGGGTGTTAAAACAACAACAACAAAAAAATATACTGCCAATAACAGCAAATAAAATATATAATTTTAGGAGATTTGCATAAGGTTTCTTCTTCCTTAATGAGTTGAAAATGGTTCTTTTTATTTATTAATTAAAAGGTGACCTGTAAATGAGAATTCCTATCTTACCATCAAAGTCCCCTCATTGCTGGGAGAAAGGAATGAATGGTCAGATCACTTTCCTAGCTCCTTTTTTCCAGAAGTTACTGATATCACAATATCACGGGGAAAATAAAAAAAGATTCCCACCCTGTGAACCTCAACCTACAAGTTGACAGAGAAGACTATGTTCAAACAAGGCAGTTATATTTAGAAATTTTGCAGTTTTCTAAAATTCAGGCACTGAGTACCATATTCCATTCTAGCTGATTGAAGTAATATATATAGTTTTTTAATTCCTAAAGATAGAAAGTCTTTCTAAGAGCGATTAAGATCTGTAGCACTCAAGTTGTTAATATTGAAAGTTAGTATAAGCTATTAATGATACGAGGCATACTATTAATATGTAAAAGCTTACCATATGTAAAAGCTCTCCTAAAAGGATGGTAGCTCTAACTGAGATATGGTCATCGCTGTTTGTTATCACTTCAACCAAACCCTTTAAAAATAAAAATAGAATACCATAGTTGCAAAACAGTATACATGAACATATTTATGCATCATGTCTGTTGCTCTGAAAGAATTTTGCTAGTAAAAATAAAAACACTATTTTAATAGTGTTTATAAGTCTTACCTCTAAAAGTCCATTACGAATAAAAGCGGAGAGTACCAGTGCCAAATAATTATCCATGAGGTCTGGCCTTAATAAACACAGCACAGAAACAGTTTCACTAATATTCATATGTTACATAATTTATTATAAAAACAGTAATCGTAATAAATTTGAACCATTTCGGTATCTAAATTCTACCTAGATCTGGCACGATGAGGAAGAATAGTTTTTGCTTCAGCTGCTACAAAGCCATCTGAGAGCCTCCAACTGTCTTGGAATCTACCTGGATCTAAAATAATTAAAAATAAGTAGTTAAGGAGAAAATTAAACAAGCGTATATAATACCAGCTAGCTAGGCTATAAATAATCTTTTTAAATGTTGGTTAGGAAAAAAATAGACTAAAAAAAGCATACAGAAATAAATGTCCAGAAATCTAACTATCTTGGGACTAGGGTCATTTGTCTAAAATAAGAATTAGATCATATAATTTGAGAATTATATAGGTTTCTTATTGTCTCCTTGTCCTTTCTTGGTCCATATTTTAGTTAATTTCATTGCTCATTTGAAGAGTTAGGATGACAGAGAAAAAGCTAAAAATTTCTTATTTTTCAAAATTTATTGGAGGTTTTATTTTTATATTAATTTCATGCCGCTGTAATGCAATAAGAAAAGAAAATTATACTCAATATTTAGTTGAGTACTTTTTCTTTGAGGGCTTGTCTCCATTATGTTGCCATTTCAAAAATTATAACATTTTAATAGATGCAGATGCACCTCGATACTTACCCACACTGAGCAGCGCTTCTATGAACTCTTCAGTCACCACAGGCAGAGGAAGACGAAATATATCATATAGTACTTCGAGCAGACCTCGCTGTAAGTGAAAATAAATACAGTTCATTAATTTTTATGGGGAAAACAATCTTTGCTTAAAGATGTACTAAATGTTCTATTCAAAAGAGAAAAATAAATAAAAAGCTGATAAAAACAGAATAGGCTATACTGCTCTCTATGTGGGTTCATTCTTTGACTTTGGAGACAAAGAATCCGGAGGATTCTAGTCAAAAATTCCTTTTCAAAATGGTGTATGGGCCAGGAATTTCTCTGTCAGTCAGTCAACCCTCTTCACGTCGAATGGAGAATTTAGGATTCCAAGCCCTTGTTCCTGACCCTCTAGGATGTCTACAAATTTGGTAGCCTTAGTACCATCCTATGGACACAGATATTCCCAAACCCAGAATAATTAATGGTCATCTTTCCTCGAGTCAGTGTTACAACTGAAGTCGGTTGAAATGCTTTTTAAAACTTGAGTGAAGCACTTTCTAGGGACAATGTAGGCTTCCATGTCAATGACATGTCTATCCAAGATGCTCATCATGCACTGTGGCTGGGGACAGCCAAAATGATCCATGATGCAGCTGGCTTCACAGCTCAGGTGATTATCCTGAACCATCAAGGTCAAATCAGTGCTGGTTATGCATCTGTGCTGACTGTTTGCAAGTTTGCTGATGAAACCTGTGAGGAGAAGGCTGACTGTCATTCTAGAAGAAGCTGGAATATCGCCCTAAATTACAGAAATCTGTTGGTATTGTCATCATTGCTGTGGTTCCTGGCAAGTCCAGGTGTGCTGGGAGCTCCTGCTTTGGGTCCTTTTGCTGCTCATGATATGAGACAGACGGTTGCTGTGGGTGTATTCAAAGCAGTGGGCCGGAAGGCTGTGGGAGCTGGCAGTCACCAAGTCTGCCAGAGATGGCAGGATCTCAGAAGGCTACCTGAATATTGCCACTAACACCTGACACCCGGTCTTTTTTTTTTTTTTTTTTAATGTGGCTATTTTTAAAAAAATATATTTTATTGATTTTGTACAGAGATGAAGGGAGAGAGATAAGAGTTAGAAACATCGATGTGAGAGAGTCATCGATCAGCTGCCTCTTGCACACCCCCTACTGGGGATATGCCCACAACCAAGGTACATGCCCTTGACCAGAATCGAACCCAGGACTCTTCAGTACCCTAGCCGACGCTCTATCCATTGTGCCAAACCGGTTTCGGCCTGACACCCGGTCTTAATCAGCATGGGAAGGAAGAACAGTCTCAGAACTGTTGTTTCTACTGACCATGTATGTTTGATAGTTTAATAAAATGGTTAATGATAATGCATTGATAACCTTCAGAAGGAAGGGAAAATATTTGTGGACCATTTTTTTCTGAAAGGGGGGGGGGGCTTTAAATTATTTTTAAAATTTTTACTTTTTAATGAAAACCACTTGACCATTTGTCACACAATTTTGAGACCCACTAAAACACAATTTATTGAGAGAAAAAACAACACAGAATATATTTCAGGAAACCACTGCTATCAGGCCTATATTAGATAAAAAATAACTATTAAGTGCTTATTAAAAACAAAATTTAATCTCTTCAATAAATCTTTAGTAACTCCATTATACACATGAAAACACAGGTTTAAAGGTTAAAAGTAATATGCCCACCCAACAGGCATGGCTCAGTGGTTGAGCATCAACCTATGAACCAGGAGGTCATAGTCTGATTATCAGTCAAGCCCTTAGGGGGCTTGATCCCTAGGAGGGGGTGTGCTGAAGGCAGCTGCCAATCAATGATTCTCTCTCATCACTCATGTTTCTCTTTTTCTCTCTCTCTCTCTCTCTCTCACACACACACACACACACACACACACACACACACACACACACACTCTCTCTCTCTCTCTCATGTTTCTCTTTCTCTCTCTCTCTCATTCTCTCTCTCTCTCTCTCCCTCCCTCCCACCCTCCCTCCCTCCCTTCTATGATCTATGAAATCAATAAAAATGTTTTTAAAAAGTAATATTCCCAAGGTCATAGAACTGTAAGTATATAAAACTAGTAGTCAAACCTCAAGCAGCCAGACTCCAAAAACTATGTTCTGTCATCACTGCTGAGTAAGAAGACAACTAAACTGCCCCAACCTCTAGATGCCTGCTTCTGGATCTTTCCTCCTATAACCACATCCATTTCCAACATCACCTGAAATAACCTTTTTATAATTACTTTCCTCTATTAAAAGTCCAAAAAATGAAACAATCAGAATAACTTTTACAAACCCTTATTTCCATATTTGGTATGCAAAGTACTCCAATTAGAGATTGAATCCCAGAGTTTCCAGGTTTACATAAATTAATAATACCTAAAGTATAAAAAGAAAAATATCATTGACTTAAATTTCAAAAAAAAATTAGTAATCTATATTTTCTCTTTGAATTTGGGTTCAAAATTATTTGCTTACATCATCAAAATGGTATTTCTCATGATGTTTGATGTAATGTGAGAGATTACAGATTATGATACAGTCTCATAGATCATACTCTGCACTAATCAGGAAAATGGGTGTTTGCATCTCATGAAGCAACGGTGTTTTGGAGTTCATTTGTCGATCAATTTGGATTTTGAAATATATATATATATATATATATATATATATACATATATATATATTACAATAATGTTACAAATATACAAAAGCTTATAACTCATGAACATTACCACAGTGTCTAAACACTATTTAGGAAATTATTTTTGTGAGAAAAATGTTTTCAGAGTTCTAACTTGTGATGCTGGTATTTCTTTTCTTATTTCAATACAAGGGTTGAAGACTCTCATCCGTCTAAGTTTCTAATGATGGATCAGTTTGTAAGGGCTAAGGACAAACTGAAGCACGGTAGAGATAATGTTAAGAGATGCAAGGGAATAGAATGGCAGAGCTTAGAGCCGGGAAGTAAGGAGAATGAGAGGGTAATAGCTAGGCTGTCCTGGTAGTTAGGATAGAATTCATGTGTTGGTAAGTCAGAAACAGCTCTAATGGAAAGGAAGGAGAAGGATGGCAAAAGATGACAGTTGTAGCTACTGGAAACAAAGTTATAGTGAATTCTGGGGTAAGGGCAGTGATAGTTAAACAAGGACTGTGTTGGTTTCATTGTTAAAATAGTGCGTTGAGGCTGGTTAAGTATTAAAACAATAATACTTAAAAAACAATGTGTGATCGTTGGGCCCTCATAAATACCTACTAGTTTATCCACGAGAGTAAAGGGAAATAGGCAGTCATGAGGACACTGCATGAATAGAGATTTTACCAAAGCACTGAGAGGTAGGGGAAGTCACTGAATACATACTGGCTAGGGGCCAATGGCTGGGATAGTAATTTGTATGGAAAAGATATCTTAGCATTACCTAGGTACACAGATATGTTTAGGAAAATTTTCTTGTTCTGTTTACTGCTACACTCCTTTGTATGCTATTCCTTAAATTATTCTACAAAGTCAAGAAGGAAGAAGGTATTTATTAATATAAAATAGCACACTTAGTGATGGTATTATTTTAAGAAATATGTTTGCTTTCTATTCTACAGAAAGATAAAGCATGCTTACTCTCTCTTCTCAAGAAATGTAAGACTACTAATAGCCTACATCTTGCTTATTTGGTATTAATGATATTTTATATTGTACTTTTAGGTAAAAAACTTTAGTTATAAGTACAGCTATATATATATCACATTTAATTTTTTAAATTTCCCAGGTAATCATAGACTTAGAAATAGTCAATTTTAATAATTCTGTACAAATTCTTTTAGCTCTAAAAATAAAATGTAAGGTAAGACTACATTAACATCTACATTAGATGCTGCAATAATAACTTAACATTTGAAAACAGATTCAGGTAACTTACCTGCCCATGACCGGAATGTTGCTATGATTCCCATTTTACTGGCTAGAAACCTTGCTTCTCTGTCTTCTCTGTGTGTGGTAGTAGACGGGGAGGAAAGAGAGAGTCAAAGAAATATGCTAAAATAAAAAGTGAATTTTTCCTGGTACTGTAACAGAATATGCGCTATCATTAGTTAACAATTAAGTATTTAGACAGGAAATAAAACTTGTTAAAAAAAAAATCAGATCTACCTCAAAGCAAATTACCTAATTACATGGGAAATTCCCTCTCCAATTTAAGATTCACAACATGGTTTAAAATAAGTTATAAATTTTGACTTTTCTATTTAGTTCTACATTTCCTGCTCTTTTGAAAAATATTCTTAGAGAGCTCATTAACACCTTTGAGCACTGGAGACAACACCAGCCTGCTTAGTAAGCATTTCTCTTTGGAAGCTACCCCTCAGGAGAGAAAATTACCACGTAAACCTCTTTTATCAGTTGTATTCAAGTTGCTTTAAAATTTTTACCCAAACTTATTTGAACATTTCCAACAAGTAAGCTCAACAACCTATTCACTGAAATGTTATTAAATAACTGGATAGTGTTAATATCATCTTTTCTTCTTTATAATTGTGCATCCAATCATCTCACTTGTTCCTTTCCATGCAATAGTTTATGACAAGGATTTGAGCAATTCTTGCTGTATTTGAAGATAGAGGGAACCATGTGGCAAAGAAAGAGGGTGATTTCTAGAAGCTGAGAGTAGGCCCTAGCTGACAGCAAGGAAACAGAGTCTTAAGTTGTTGAATAGCAAGAAAGTGAATTCTGCCAACAACCTGAGTGAGGCCGAAATGGATTTTTCACTGCAACCTCCAGATAAGAGCCATACCTGACTTCTGAGTTACTGAATTGTGAGCTAATAAAATGATGTTATTTTAACCTGCTACACATTGATAGTGACTTGTCACAAAGCAATAGAAAATGCTTATGCTCTCCATCAATAGACAGAATGTCCAAGTATCATTTAAAAAGCCAAGAAAGAGGCTTAAAAATCCTGAATTCAAAATTTAGCAAAAACAGATTTGAGAAGTCTTGAAGAGAGAACATCTTAGCTCAGGACATGATATGTTAGGATGTGCTAAGTCAACAGTGATAAAGGTGACTGGAGATATAAAGCCACTGTTTTAAATTCAGGAGAAAAATGAAAAAGAATAAAAATATCCCTATTTCACAGTGTTCCAAACTTAGTGAGGAATTTTAATAGCGACATCTCAAAATAAGCGAGTATGTCTGCAACCCAACAATCCTACTAGGAAACATCTCATAGCATATTCACTGGAATTGTGTCATTTGCAAAATCTTTATATACAGTACATTATTTGACCCCCTGAATCAGTTTAATTAAAAAGTTATTCTAGAATATCTAGTGAACTATGTGCTTTTCTCTCCCAAAAGACCCTAAAAATTATCCTGTCTCATTTCTAGAAAATAATGTTCACTCTATCTCCTTTTATTTCCCTTTGAACCTTACTCTCAAAATTCTACCTAAACTATCTTCCTGTTTACTCAATTTGTTAAGGAAGCTCTTCATTTCATCCCCCTTATTTCATTCTTTTAGTCTCTCAAGGTAATTATGTTAAAAATACATACAATAAAAAAACCCAAAGATTTATGTTTCTACTGCAGCCTAACTTACTTCTTAAGAAAATTCTCACCCAAGGATATGGGATATATTTTTAGAGAGAGAAAGGAAGAAGAGGAGAGGGAGAGAGAAATAAGACAGAGACAGAGACAGAGAAACATTGATTGGTTGACTCCTGTACACACCCCAACCAGGATCAAACCCGCAACCCAAGTTTGTGCCCTGACAAGGAATCAAATCCACAATCTTCTGGTGCACAGCATGATGCTCCAAACAGCTGTGCCACCAGCCGGGCATAACTACATTTTTTAAAATAAGAAATGAACTCTAAGTCTTTAAATTGTCCAAAGCCTACTTTTAATTTTTTAAAAAGTAATAAATACTGTTAATTGCATTAGCAGAGACAATAAAACTCCATGAAATAATACATTTACTCAAACCCACACTGTTCTGGCTCTACATGCAATCAAACAAATTTAAAATTTTAACAGCAAGGCACACCATCTTTAAAGTTATAGGAACACTACTTACTTGAGCTGTCCTTCAGCCGTATCTGGACTATGTCTGTAGTGAAAATCCGTATAGGGTGCTAAAATTCGCTAATAAAGAGAAAAGCAGGAAGAAAAAAAGTGTCCTTATTGTAAAATGCATTACTTTTATAACAAGCTAAAATTAATTCTCCTTCTCTATATCCTTAATTGCGTATACTGTTCAAGAAACTTATTTCTTTAAATTCATCATCAACAAATATACTTGAGTACTTTTTTTAATGTAGAAACTGAATTTTTGAAATATTAAATTGATGTATCACAGGAATGTATGATTTGATGGATTTTCTCAAACTGGGTGCTCTCCTTTACCCAGCACCAGATGAAGAAAACATCAGCATCCTCAAAACCTCCTTACCTCCCTCTGTACTCACAAGTTACTATTGATACCAAAATTACTATCCTGACCTCTAACACTGTGACATAGTTTTGCCTATTTTTGAACATTATTTAAATGGTTTTACTTTATAAATTAATTCTCCTCTTGTTGCTAGTATAGTATAAAGAAATACAAGCTATTTTTGTGTATTGTCCCTGTAGTTAGCAACTCTGCTATAAAATCACCACTCATTTTAGTACTTTAACCACTCTATCTCATTTTCTAAAGTCTTTCCCTGCCTATATTCCACAATTGATCTGAATTTTATTTTTAAATAATTTAAAATACAGAAGACATCACTTATATTGTTTTTTACAATCAGTATTTTTTTATATTTAGTCATATAAGTACTTTTTCCTTCATCCATTTCCTTGTTTGTCTTAGATCATTTACCTTCTGATTGAGAATTCCCTCTAGCCATTCTTCCTTTGTGTCTCATTTTTAAACAATAAATATTTATTAACTCACACTAGAGGCCTGGTGCAAGAAAATTCATGCACTGGAGGGGGGAGTCCCTTAGCCCAGCCTTCCCCTCTCACAGTCCAGGAGCCCTCAGGGGGGGGAGGTGACCTAGCAATCAAGAGAAGGCGATGCCCTCATCACACCTCTGCCACTGCTACTGCATGCAGTGCAAGCCTCAGCCAGCCCTGAGTGGCTGAGTAGCCACCATCCCAGGCTTGCCTGCACCTTGGGCTGGGCAGCTGTTATCCGAGACTTGTCTGCGTTTTGGGCCAGCCCTAGGTGGCTGGGTATCTGCCATGTGAGGCCAGCCCTGGGGGCTGAGGGACTCCAAAGGCAGGTACACGGAGCAGCCAGACACTCCTGAGGGCAGGCCTAGCCGTGCCATGCACCTGCCATTCCAGTGGGGCTGAGGAGATTGGGTGCCACCATCTTTGAGGGCGTGACAGTCAATTAGCACATTTCCTCCTTACTGGCTGTGGGTGCTGCCATCTTTGTGAGGGTGTAATTGTCAATTAACATATTCCCTCTTTATTAGATAGGACAGGATAGGTTTCTGTAGGTTAAGGCTACTGAGCAGCTTTTCCTGATCACCAATGAGATGAATTGAGCCTATGTTGCCATTTGATAAGCTATAGCGAGTACACTTTGGTTTTCCTGTGCCTACAGTATGGCCTTCCAGTGCTTTCAATAGAGAGCCTGACAAGTATTTTTCTCCTTACGGTTTATTTTTAATTCAGTTTTAAACAAAGAATTTTAGCTCTCCATCCAGGATGGCTTTAGATTTGGGGAAATGTCAAGAACAGGAATCAGCTATGAAATGTCCAATGTGGTCACTTTAGTAACACACAAATGTCAAATGTTCCTCCTGTTTTTCTGATCCCAGCAAAAACCCATGTGGATTTTCAGCTAGTAATTCTATCCTGATCAGTTAGTAGACCCGGGAAAGAAGGCAACTGCACAGCCAGTGTATACTACTTCTTAAAGGCCTTTCGTGGTCTGCTCACGGCCCCTTCTCCTAGCCTTTGCATCTTATGCACTAGAGGCTGCAGCATATTCCACTGTGCTTTCCTCAGGTTTAACATGGGGGCTTCTACTTTGCATAGATTCTCATTTCAGCAAATGTCTGGAGGGGTAAGACAGACTCGGTAGACTTTTCTTATCTCCAGGTTTGTCATGCCATGATCCCTAGGGCTGCCAAGTAATCTGGTTTTCTATCTAGGCTTTGGTCCTATTTTTAGTTGCTAGTCTGTGCCCAATATGCAAGTGCTACCAGGGACATCTATGGATCTTCAGGGAAACGTGCCAGGTATCTTCCTTCCTTCCCTGGTCCTTGTGGCTTTCACAGCTCAATATTGCACTAAATGACGATTTCCACAAATGCCCAGCTTTTCTTGTTTTCCATAGCAGATACTATAAACTACTCTATCCCACTCTGAAGTATAAGTTTAATAAATTTTTTTAAATTTACTATAAAATTACTATTAGTTTACAACCTTTACAGAGTATCTATTCTATTAACGTTAATATATTAACTCTACATTTTTTTTTTCATGAGATCAAAACATATTACATAGAGTATAAACAGAAGCCAGAGCAAATTAAAAAAGGGTTTCTAATAGGATTAAGATTTGGGCCTAACAACAGACAGTAGCACTGAAAAAAATTTTTTTGTATGTAGGAAAGGGAACTTGTTATCAATATACAGTGAAAATTGATTAATATATAGAAATGAGGACAATATTCTCTTTGCTGCAGTTTCTACAATGAAGATGATAAAAATGATGATGATAACGATGATGATGTTGAGTACCATCCAAAGCAACCAGAATTATTTATTTTGTGCCAAGTACTAAATAAAATATTTTATGTAGGTTAGAATATATGAGAAGTACCTGAAAATAATGCCTAACTCGTTATAAGCTTTACATTAGTATTAGCTGCTGCTATTATTACTGCTAATGCTGCTGCTACCGCTATTATTATAGTACTTACTAGAGGCCCAGTGCATGAACTCTGTGCACTCGGGGGGAGGGGCGAAGGGGGTCCCTCAGCCGGGAATGCGAGAGGGTGCAGGCCAGGCTGAGGGATTCCACCAGTCCACAGGGCACCAGGGAGGGATGCAGGAGGGCTCCAGGGCATGTCCAGCTCAGTCCTGATCAGCTGGATCCCAGTAGCAAGCTAACTTGCCAGTTGGAGCGTCAGCCCCCTGGTGGTTAGTGCACGTCATAGCGACTGGTAGACTGCCCTCTGGTGGCCAGTGCATGTCACAGTGAGCAGCTGAACGGCCTTAACATATCATTAGCATATTTTGCTTTGATTGGTTGAATAGTCGATAAGATGACTGAACACACTTAGCATATTAGGCTTTTATTATATAGGATTCTTCACAACTCTTCAAGGTATAAACCATGACCTTCATTTTACCTAGGAATAAATGGGCCCAGAACAGGCTAATAAGTAGCCCCAAATCATAAAGCTAGTAGGTCATACAGCAAAAAATCAAGATCTGTACAGTCCAAAGTCTATGTGCTCAATCACTGTGCTACTCTGAGGGATCTTGTTAAGGAAAAAATAAACTAATTTTGTGGTTTTAAAGAACAAGATAGAAGCAAAGATATAGCCATCTACTTACACATCTAACATATTATTTGAAGTTTTTTTCACTTTGGGCTTTTTAATCTGCTTTACAATTAAAAGGGAACAAAAAGGCCTATATATATTATCTTCCTTAACTGTAATAATCTTGCCAATCTTAAAATTATAGATTTTTAAAAATATAATACCCACAAAAGAATGTAAAGCTATACATACAGTAAAATATAAAAAATGCCAGTCTATTCCCATTGGACTACCTATAGTAATGCATTTAAAATCACATATAAAGAAAAATATTGTACTTACATTTTTTGGTATACTATAAGCTAATGTCAATGTTATAATCTAAAACATTTTTAATATCCCTAAGAGAAACAAAACTAACATTTAAGACAAGCTTTCATATAAAATGAGTTAGAGACAAACTAGGGAACAATAAATCTTTTATACCTGGCATAATTTCAACCCCAATACAAACAAATCATGGGTTTAAACTTACTCTAAATTATATCTGTAATGAACAACCATGTAGTTGTGTTCATACAAATAAACTATTAGAATATAGTTTGTGGTAATTCTGTTCTAATCTCCACTATATCCTTTATTTTAAAAGATTATTTTAGTCTAACTAAAAAAAAACCAATGAATTAGTAAAAAAAAATTTTTTAATGTATTCTATTTCTTTCAAGTATATATGGTCATTAGTTACTAACAAGTGTTCCTAAGTTCAGAGACTTTTAGCAAGGTTTAGATAAATAAATGGTATATTTTTAGCAAGACCTATTCACAAACAATTAACATATTAAAATCTTTAGCTATAGAATATTGCTGGGAATAAGCCAGTATTAGTAAATTTAGGTTTGATAATGCTGTGCTGCATCTACTTACTTTAAAATTGCAAAGTAAGAGTTGAATTTAGTCATTTTAAAACTAGAAAAGAATATTAAAGTTCCTACCTCTAATTCTACATCAGCTCGCACATATTGTCGGGTCTTTGGATGATTAAGGAGGTGCAAAATTGTAGTAATGAGGGCCTCATTTATTCGACTTAATTGGCAATCGATCACGTTTTTCAAGATGGTGTTTAGTCCACCTCGAAGGGCCACCACCTCTGGATTCTGAAGTGCTAAAATAAAAAAGAAAAACTTAATATATTATATAGGGGATAATTAATAAAAAATAAGTCTGAAATTGGGGCTTTTATTTTAAAACAATCTCCTTTCTGACTTGAAAAATTCTCTAGTCAAAGACATTTAAAAAGGCATATGGATAAGATGTATCTAATAAGATCACTGAATATATTTCCCAAAATTCTGATTTTAATTTTTATGCCTCTGAATTTTTTGATATCCTTCATTCATTTTTCACTGGAATGGTTTTTCTTTCTTATTAATTGCAAAGACTTTTTTACACAGTGGGAATATTAGTCCTTTATCTATTTCAAATCATTTATCAGATTTGTAACTTTACTTTAGATTTTAAACTCAGATTTTAAGCTGAGGTACTCCTTTACTTCAAAGATCAGGCCATCTCCATGTATGCTCTGAGTGCACAAACGTGGCGTTGAACTTTTTCAATATATAGTTTGGCCATGCATGTATTTCTTTGAGAATCGTCTATTTTCCCTATTGATCTGTACATAAATAAGTTATTTACTTATCATGCTTGTTAATTTTTTTTCTTTGTTCACTGTAGGATGTTTTCTTGCCTTCTTACAATAAAATCTGCAGCTGCTGAAATCTGATTTTCTTTGTAATTCAAAATTCCTGTTTCTTACAATGATCAGTAAATATTCATCCACTTTTCTTTTTTCCCCATTTAATTCATTATTTTTAAAAAATATTTTTTTACTGATTTCAGAGAGGAAGGGAGAGGGAGAGATAGAAACATCAAAGATGGAAGAAACTCACTGATCAGTTGCCTCCTGCATACTCTCTACTGGGGATTGAGCCCACAACCCAGGCATGTATTCTTGAATCGAACCTGGGACCTTTCAGTCTGCAGGTCGACACTCTATCCACTGAGCCAAACCAGCTAGGGCATCCCATTTAACTCTTTTTGCATTTAGAATTCCTTTTTATTTTTAAATGTATGATGGATTATTTATTGCTTTTAACTCACACCATGATATTAAGATATAGTATAGTTAACTAATGTTTGAAAGTTGGACTTTAAGATATTTTATTTTAATTACCAGAATTCGGACAATTCTTATGTACTAAATTTCATGATGAGAAAAACTTTAAAAGTTCTAGTGTTAAGATCACTTAGGAATTATTTGTTAAATAGCAAGTCCTCTATTATCCTATCAAGAATGTGTCCTACTTTTTCATAGCTTTGTACCAATAACTAAAGAATTAATGTGTTAAAGACTTTAAGGAATGTTACATATTCTTTCTAAAATACTACGTTTTTATTATTCAAAATTCTAACCTAGTTCACAGATAATAGCAATGCATGCTCGGACCATTCTGTCTCTTTCTTGAAGTCCATCATTTCCAACTGCTATTAATGAGTTGGCCACAGAGCTAGGAAATAAGGAAGCATTCACAGTAATCATCTGTAACAGGGAGAAATCAGAAAAAGAAGTTACTTACTTCATATTACATTTTTAAACCTACTTTGCTTGGTTAGATTATAGAGTTTTTGTAAGATTCAGGCATTAATTTTAATCTTCTGATTCATATGAACATTTCAAATAATGCAACTAATAATTGATGCAACGATGTTAATATCATTACAATAAAAAAATGTATTGCTTTTTTCTCTGATAGTCTAGATCATAAATTAGTTGACCAACAAGATTTAATGTTTCTGAGATACTAAGCTCCTCAGAAATAGAATCTACATTTCAAACAACTTCTCAATACCTAGACATAGTATATTAGTGGGGACACCACCTGTCAACACACTGCTGTACTATTGCATTCCTGACTTCCTTCTCCATGTACCCATTTACCTCATTATTTCTCATCCCTATCAAACTCACTGATGTAGCTCCCCATCCTTTCTCACTTTGCTGTAATTTATGTCTTATAATCTTCCTATCTGTAACCATCATCTGTTGCTATTCTAAAAGGCAAAATTAATTATCTGTGATCTATTTTTAGTATTTTAAATATTACAATAGAAAAAGTACGTCTCTGGTAATAAACTTTGGATGAATCTTACTTTAAGTGAAAACTATAACTGGCAATAACATTTGGAAAACTGAAAATAGATAACATGTATCTCCAGTTTGGAAAACAGAAAAAAAAAAAAAAAAAAAAAAAAAACAAACTATGTAGTTAATGACTGTTTAATAAATAAAGACTATTTGGTACATGAAGTACTTCAAAATAAATTCCTAAAGTGGAAGTAGAAGAATATGCTTTTTTACTTGGGTGGTAATAAAATATTGGGGATAATTAACCAGCCCTAGATATTACTGCATTTATAATTCTGTTGAAAATAAGACTTGTACTATGAAACAATTAGAGGATGCAATATAACTAAATTAAAAGATACCAAGTTAAATCCTATAAAGGGTCAAAGGAAAGATCTGTATTGGCTAGAGTACCTATACATGATTTATGTTACTTAGGAAGCATTATGCAGTATTACAAGGTTCAAATGAAATAAGATACTGTTCCACTACCATAAAATAGAGATTTCTAATAACTATAGAATCTACAGAATTCTCACATTCATTTCTTAATCAGTATTTTCTATTCATCAGAAATGTTGGAGGAAAGAAAAGGGAAAGGAGGTATAGAAAACTGATCGTTCTAGATGACAAAATTCTAACTTATGATATTAATTTGTATTTTAATATTTATTGGTCTATGAAGCTCATGTGCTATGAAAAAGAATACATTAATTCATTTTTTTTTTCAAATGAAATCTCTCTTATTTTCCAGGGAAATATATGCAAAGAAACTCTTCAATTCTGTGCAAATCAGAAAATATTTTTCTCAAAAATCAACGAGTACACAATAAAGAAAAAGTCATATAATTCATCTCTCTTTAAAGAAAATTTTAATAACGCTTTTAGGCATGATAGGACAAACAGATATACACACATGAAAGAGTAGGTAATAATTTGTAAACTTCTATAAAGGAATTAGAAAGACAGAGTTTCCTAAGGGAAATATCTAAAATTTGAGCTAAGACTAAAAGATGAATATAATGTAGAAAATGGTAAAAATAGAAAGAATAAAGAAATAATGATCTTAACAGTGGCAAATAGCAGCTTGTCCACAATCATCCTATTCCTATATAATAAAAGGGTAATATGCAAATTGACCAAGTGACAAACTGGTACCCTGTTTCCCCAAAAATAAGACAATGTCTTATATTAATTTTTGCTCCCAAAGATGCGCTAGGTCTTATTTTCAGGGGATGTCTTATTTTTCCATGAAGAAGGATACGGTACACATTTATTGTTAATTGAAAATAAAGGAAATTTATTACCTGTATACTGTACGGTAGTACGGTAGTTGTCAACAAAAACCAGACAAACTGAATCCTACAGTATCAAGAATTTACTCATTTATTCAATGACAATCATGTCATCATCATAACAATCCAATTCCTGAATTTCCTGTGAATTTCTTTTGACTCCATTTCTTTCAGAATCAGTGGACCAAATCTCTCATGTTTAGCCTAGGGGGGCCTTATTTTCGGGGGATGCCTTATATTTCACTCAGAAGGAAACTTGTAAGTAGGCCTTATTTTCGAAGGATGTCTTATTTTCGGGGAAATACGGTAGCTATGATGCATACTGACTACCTGGGGGCAGATGCTCAATGCAGCAGCTGCCCCCTGGTAGTCAGTGCACTCCTACAGGGGGAGTGATGCTTAGCCACAAGCCCAGCCGAGGGCTGGCGAGCACAGCGGTAGTGGCAGAAGCCTCTTCTGCCTCCATGGCAGCTCTAAGGATGGTCGATTGACAGCTTAGGCCCGCTCCCTAAGGGAAGCGGGCCTAAGCCATCAGTCAAGACATCCCCCGAGGGCTCCTGGACTGCTTAAGGGTACAGGTCAAGCTGAAGGGTCGCCCCCCCCACCCCGACATCCCCAAATGCATCAATGTTGTTTACCGGGCCTCTAGTAATGACATAATGAGACAGGTCATAATTGGTTGGACCAAATGTTGGCTCTGAATGCCAAAGTAAGAAGTCAGTACATAATACCAAAAATAATTGTGGGCCAAAGAGGTTGGCAATCCAAAGAACTAAGTTCTTGCACTAGATATGCCAATATCTTGCTTTGAATCAAAGGCAAATAATCCCCCTAAATGAATCTCTTTTCAATTGTAAAAACACAAAACAGAAACACACACACACATACACACAAACCCCTGATATATTATTCTCTTATTAGATGCACTAATAAATTATATATGAAGAAAATGATGAGTTATAATTTGAATTACAATTTAAAGAAAAGCAATAGTTGGCCAGTGAAAAAGCTAGATTGAAAATCAAAGAGATAAGAAAGGACTGTCTGGACTGGAGAGACAAGAAGAAAAATTCCCAGACATTGAAAAAGAAACAAGGAAACAAACAAGAACCTTCCGAATGATTGAAATAAGTGAAAGTGAAGGAAAAGTAAATATGAGTATTCTTTAATTACTCATAGAGCAGTTATCCTAAAGCAATATTTTTATTTTTAAAACTAAAATACTTTTACAAAAAAATTAAAAATTTTTTTGCATGCATACAAAAAAATCCTCAGCAATTATATTATCATTAATTTCTACTAGCTCGATTGCCAAGATGTTCCTGAAAAATAGAAATGTTTGTTTTGGTTGTTAAAAGTACTAATGAAATTATAGTTCCTCAGGCCAATAGAGTCCACTATTCATTCAGCAAGTGTGTTTTCCCTTTAAATGCTTTTAGCTAAACCAAGGAGAAACCCTGTCAGGACTCTTCCTCTGACATTATAGTCCTCCATCAGGTACAAACAATTTTCCTGTTCTTGGATTCACAAACGGTATCTGCCACAAATTACTATGTACTTCAGAAGATAATTTTGTTATGGACTTATTAAACTGTTTTCAAAGTCTGTTTACTGGCCATTTTATAAATTTGTAACCTGTACAAAAATATTTACAAAACTGAAATGAAATGTTCTTTAAATAATTTTTAAAACTGAATTTAATTGCTTGAATCCATTTGGAGTTGTCTTTTTTTCTGAATGCAATTTCTAAGGCAACAATTCTCAAAGTGTGGTCCGGGAAACTAAGGGTCCAACCTAGGACATTTTCAGGGATTCTACAAAGGTAAAACTGTTTTCATATTAAACCAAACATGATACTTTAATATGAAAATGATAAAATTATTTCACAAGCTATGTCCTAACAAAGTTAACTCTCAGTTCCCTGTTCCTCTGCCCTTAGGGCATCACATTACAGGTAAGAACAAAACTTTCTTGAAGGCTTCACACTAGAAGCATATGGATGAACCATAAAAAATTCTCTTGTAGAAGTTGAGACTTTGACCTTTTATCATACACAATGGCTTGAATTCTTATTGCAACTGCCTATAAATTGCATCCAAATTTATCTTCAAAATAACTACTGTAATATAACTATTTGTGGCATCCATTTAATAACATTGATTCCAAGCATACATTTAAGGGAAAAATCAAGGGAAGAAGCAAGTTGTCTTCTTTCTCAACAATATATCAAAGCATTAATTTCATGTGCATATCTACTGAAGAGAGAAATACTCTTTACAATAAACATTTTATTAAAAACATTGCTCTAGTTATACCCAGTCACATAAAATAATTACACAAATATTTTTCACCTCCAAGTTTCATAAATCTATTTAACTCATGTATAATCTTAAAAATGTTTATTGACAATTTAGCTTTAAATTTTAATCAGAAGATTTCATAAAATAGTCTAAATCTAAAAATGCAAAATACTTAACATGGAAACCATAAATCTGTCTTTATTCTTAGATATGGAACATACCTTTCTGACTAATCGAAGTGCTTGTGTCCTCTCTACCTCGTTGCTCTGCTGTATATCAATGCACCTAAATAATACACAAAATAATTATTGATAAAAATCTTAACAATTTTTTATAAAACAATACCACTAAATCAGACGCACATTCATAATGTCAATATAGTATTTAAAACGTTTAATACATCTGAATTTGTAGTACCAGCTGATATTTAATTAGCTTACTGAAAGGTCCCAAGTATATTCTGGTTAAGGAAGGGCATGTACCTTAGTTGCGGACACATCCCCAGTGGGGGGTGTGCAAAAGGCAGCTGATCGATGATTCTCTCTCATCGATGTTTCTAATTCTCTATCCTTCTCTCTCTCCCCCTCTGTAAAAAATCAATAAAAATGAAAAAAAAAATTGTCACAAAATATTAGGAAATCAAATTCAGTTACACATGAAAAGGATAAGTCATCATGAAAAAGTGATATTTTCTTCAGAAATGCAAACAAAAAAACAGAAAAAAAATCATCTGAAAGCCTATTACAAGTTTCATAAAATAAGGGTGAAATACTCAACTCTTTTAGTCTGAGTTAAGGAGCAAAACAAAGTTTTCCACCATTTCTAGTCAGTGCAATCTTCTAGCCAATGCAATAAGGAAAGAAAAATGAAGACAAAAAGATTGGAAAAGGGAAACTAAAATGGTCATCACTTGCAATTAATACTTCTGCTAGAAATTCTAAAATAATTTTAAAAACAATTAGAATCAGTCAAAACCGTTTTTGGCTCAATGGATAGAGCGTCAGCTTGTGACTGATGGGTCCCAGGTTCGATTCTGGTCAAGGGCATGTACCTTGGTTGCGGGCATATCCCCAGTAGGGGGTGTGCAAGAGGCAGCTGATCGATGACTCTCTCATCGATGTTTCTAACTTTCTATCTTTCTCCCTTCCTCTCTGTACAAAATCAATAAAATATATATATTTTTTTAAAAAAAACAATTAGAATCGAAAGTGAATTGATTACATTAAATAAAAATATATAAATCATTAAAATATATCTTAAATAAACCTAACAATTATATGCAAGACATGCATAGAAAACTACAAAACGTTGAGAGAAATTAAAGTTCCAAATAATTAAAGGTTTGGAAGATTCAAAATTATTAAGATGTTAACTCATCCCAAATTAACCTAGAGATTTAATATAATTACTACTAAAATCCCAGAAACTTTTATGGAAATGGATAATTATAAAATTCATATGGGAAAGCAGAACCCAAAATAGTCAATATAATCTTGAAGAAACACAGTTGAAGGACTTATATTAACAGGTATCAATAATTATCAAACTACAGTCATTAAAACTGTGAGAAACTGGGGCAAGAATAGATAAATAGATCAATTAATGAGAATAAAGAATGCAAAATAGATTCATATTTATCTGATACCTGATTTATAAGAGTGGCACTAATCTAGATGTGGAAAAAAAAACTTTTCGACAAATTCTGCTCATATTTATTTGATAAAAATAAAAATGGCCATTACCTACTAAAATGTATTAAAGAATAAATTTTTTAGGAGAAAACATAGAATATCTTCTTCAAAAGAGACCTAAAGCATTAAGCTATAAAACAAATAACCTCTATATTGAATTTTATTAATTAAGAAAAGTAAAAGGTAAGGCAGAATGATTTGAAAAAAATATTCTTAAAATGCACACCTGAAAGGAGTCATAAACATAAGATATCAAGAACACCTACACAACAAGATAGGTAACTGAATTTACAAATGAGCAAAAGACAAGGAGGATACCAAATATAAAAGGTGCTTCACCTCACTACCCATCAAGGAAATGCAAATTAAAACCACAAAGAGAATTCACAATGAAAACCTCAATCAAAAGGGTATAATTAAAGACTGAAAACAGCAGGTGCTGATGAGATGTGGAGAGACCAGAACTCTCAAAAGTTGTTGCTAAGAATGTAAGTCAGGGCAATCATGTTGGAAAACTGTTGGCAATATCTATTAAAACTGAACATACATCAACTTTATGACCCAGCAATTCCACTCCTACATATGTATATAGCTAAGAGAAATGAGTGCATATACTAGTATATGCCCAGAATTATACAGAATGTTTAGGGATGCTTTATCCAAAATAGCTAAACACTGAAAACAAGTCAGAAAATCATCAACAGAATGGTCTAACTGTGGTCTATTCATAACAGTAATTTGCAATATATGATGTTTAAGAACAGGAAAAACTAGTCTATAATGAGAAAAGTCTGAACAATGTTTATTACCGGTACTGGTTGAAAACACAAGGAAACTTGACTGGGATGCTGGAAGTGTTCTATACCTTATTCGGAATAACCAGGAACTTGGTTGTCTATATCTGTAAAAATTATCAGGCTTTACACTAAAAATTTGTAGTTTATGATGGGTATGCTAAAACTTAACAAATAATTTTTAAAACATATAAAAACATAGTTAGCTCCCAGAAAATTACCTGGCTATTAAATAGTCCACTTTCAATTTAAGCACCTTCTGCAGAATAGTGGAGTCTTGGATGAGATATCGAAGAGCTCGGAGACCTGCTGCCCGCACTTCTTTTGCTTCATTCAATAAAGCCAACCTCAAGCTGTTTGAAAAAAGACAAGAAGTTTTGCTGTACAAGTTTTAAATACACATAAAACTGTGGTACCAAATTCTTCCTCAGTTGAAATAAGCAAAACTACTATTTATTTACACATATAAAAATCATTTTGCTGTAAGCCATGGAACTTTACTACTGATTTTTTAAAAATTTCTTTACTGATTAAGTTATTATATATGTGTCCTCATCCCCCACATTTTTTCATCTGTGCTTCCTTGGTACATTCTCACTAATCAAGAAAATGTTGAATTTTGTCCTATCTTCTGTAGTTTATTTTACATAAACAATGGGACATTAAATATGCCTTTTTCAAGTTGTAACACATATGCCACTATAATCTACTTCCCTCTATCTGCCTACCTGCTTCCTCTCCTCTAAAGAAACCATTGTGCTTAAACCAATAAGTAAAAATATTTTATAATGACAGTTGGTACAGATTGTATCATTTTAATTCCTAACCATACCCAAAAGATGGTTATACTACTACTAGAGGCCTGGTGCATGAATTTGTGCATAGGTGGGGTCTGGCTGGCCTGCCCCAGCAAGGAGGAGGAGCCATGGGCAGTTGGCCAGCTGGGTCCCGACCCCTATTGGGCTGGGGAAGGCCAATTGGGGGCTGGGCTGCCTGGGGGGTGGGGGGTGGGGGAGAAGGATGATCGGAGCCCAGATCAGGCTGGTTGGCTGCTGGAGTGGGCATCATAGCCACTGGTAGTTCTGGTTGTTCTAATCGTCTGGTTGCTGGGCAAATATATATATGTGTGTGTGTGTGTGTGTGTGTGTGTGTGCGCTTACCATTTAAAAGTTTAAATTGCAGAAGTCCAGGTATTTTTCAACATTAGCTTTGGTTCTTTATATTTTATAATTACAAAATATTAGAACAGGATAACAAACAAACAAATTTTTGGAAATCCTGAATTTTTCTAATGTTCAAACAACTGTTTCTATAAGATCAAATATGATATTTTAAAGTATCCTAATTTTAATTTAAAATTACTAAAATTGACTAATACCTAAATCCAGGAGAGAAGAAACTTACCAAATTATAATATCCTCATAGTTAAAACCCAATTTGTCTTCACTGTGGCCAATATCACAAAGAAGCTGTCAGAAAAACAAAACAAAATGTATTTATTACATATTTTTGTCTATATACATTATTCCTTTAGATTGAAAAATAAAAGTTTTAATAAAAATTTTAATATGACTCTACAGTTCAAGGATACAGATTTATTTCTATCGCCTGCCGAAACAGAAACCACTGAGCACTGACCCAGGAACCAAGAGGTCACTGGTCCAATTCACAGTCAGGGCACATGTCTGAATTGCAGGCTTGGTCCCCAGTTGGGGGTTATACAGTAAGCAGCCAATATATGATGTTTATCTCTCATCAATATTTCTAGCTTTATTCCTCTCTCTCTCAAAATCAATTAAAAAACATTTTTTTTTAAAAAAGCAAGAAATTGTTCTTGAATATAATTATACTAGATAAGAAAAAGATACTGGTAATGGGATTACAAACTGAAAATATTTTGTGAAATAAACTTTGAAAAAATGCATCAGGATCAGAAAGAACTTTTGATGATTTATATTAAAATAATCTAAAACATAAAGCACAATATGCTCAGGACATTATTTACAGTAGTAAGGAACTGGAAACCAACATTCATAAAGGAGGAATCTTATGTGGCTGTTAACATCAAAAAGGAAAGTACAAGCCTAAGTAAGTGATTTATTTTCTTCCTTGCTTTTCTGTATTTTATAAATGTTTACAATAAATATATATTACTTACATTATATATGTGCGTGTGTGTGTGTCTCTATCTCAACAGTAACATTGACTGACGACTAATCTTACCATCCCTAGAAAGCTAGATAATGTTTTTGTAAATGAGGACAATTTAGGCTAACAGATGGTCATGACTTTCTTGAGGCCACAAAGTTAGTAAGTGGTAAAGCCAGAAATCAGAGTAAACCAGTTAAGAGTCCAGAGTTCACAGTGAAAAATATTACTACAATTTTATGTGAAATTATTTACACAAGGAGAGTGGAGCAAAGTTGGATATTAAAAAAAAAAAAATACCTACATATTACCATCTCTCTTCATTTCTCGAGCTTCAAAAGTGGTATGAACCAACTCTGGAGAACCTCACTCTGGCTACTCATTTTATATACATAGAAAACAAAGTTAGCCGAAACCGGTTTGGCTCAGTGGTAGAGCATCGGTCTGCGGACTGAAAGGTCCCAGGTTCGATTCCGGTCAAGGGCATGTACCTTGGTTGTGGACACATCCCGGTAGGGGGTGTGCAAGAGGCAGCTGGTTAAAGTTTCTCTCTCATTGACGTTTCTAGCTCTCTATCCCTCTCCCTTCCTCTCTGTAAAAAATCAATTTAAAAAATTAAAAAAATAAATAAATAAAGTTAATTATCATTTGTTAACTAAAAACATACATATAAAATTTGCCCATTTCCAAGGATTAGAGCGTACATACACACAAATAGACTTATCACTATTAAAATCAATTTAGTATGCCCTGGTCAGTGTTGCTCATTGGTTATAGTGTTGGATTGAACACCAAAGGGTTCCAGATTCAATTCCCACTCAAGGGCACATACATGGGCTTTAGTTTTGATCCTTAGCCCTGGCCTGGTCTGGTACATGTGAGAAGCAATCAATCAATGTGAGGTGTGCCTCTCTTACATGTTTCCCTCCCTCTCATCTACTCTCTCTAAAAATCAATGGGAAAAATATCCTCTGGTGAGGATTAACAAAATAATAATTTAGTATTTATTTGAGATTTCTTAAATATTTCATATTACTAGCATTGTCACTATATGGTACTATCCTATTTAGTAAAGAGGGGATATGCAAATCGACTGTCACATGCCACAAAGATGGCGGCACCCATAGTGGTGCCCAGTCCTCTCAGCCCCGCCAGAGTCCCCCAGTCCTTTCAGCCCAGCTAGAAGGGGTAGGGGAGGAGTGGCAGGTGCATGGTCCAGCCAGAACCGCCCTAAGCCCCCCAGCCATCCAAGGCCGGGCTGAGGCGCAAGCAAGCTTCAGATGGTGGCTGCCCAGCTGCACGGGCCACCGGAGGCTACAGTAACCAGGGTCAGCCGAGGCTTGTGCTGCCTGCAGTGGCAGCAGCATGGGTGTGATGGTGGCATTGCTGTCCCCTGATCACTGAGTCACCTCCCACTCACTGAGGGCTCCCGGACTGTAAGAGGGGCAGGCCAGGCTGAGGGACCTCCCTCCAGTGCATGAATTTTTATGCATGGGCCTCTAGTCTATATTTATAAAGGCTAATATGCAAAGTATCCCTCCGACCATCTGACCAGTCACTATGACGCACACTGACCACCAGAGAGCTGATGCCCAATGCTGGAGCTGCCATTATGTGCACTGGCAGTTTACAAAGAAACAGGCACCACAGACATGGCAGTGACAAAGCAACACTGGGCTTCACTCAAGTGGGACACAGGCCCTGTCCTACCCTGGAGCGACAACCCACCAAATCACAGCCAACGCTGCCAAGACCCCATGGTGCCAAATGCTGCCCACAGCCCAGCCCAGTCTGGAAATGATTGCTGTGGGGGCCGGTAATGACGTCATGTAGCAACGCCCTGCTTCCTCTCCCTAGCAACTAGTCTCCTTAGTTTCTTCAGCCCAAGAACATGACTTGCTTTATAACCAGGTGCAAATGTCTGTGCCTCATCTCATTTGATCCTCACAGAAGTCCTGGAGTAGGCAGATAGGAGATTCAGTAGAATCCTATTTTCTTTTCATTAGCCAAAAAATGGATATTTTATTTACTTATTTTTAAAATATATTTTATTGATTTTTTACAGAGAGGAAGAGAGAGAGAGAGAGAGAGAGAGAGAGAGAGAGAGAGAGAGAGAGAGAGAAACAGTTAGTTAGAAACATCGATGAGAGAGAATCATCAATCAGGTGCCTCTTGCACACCCTCTACTGGGGATGTGCCCCCAGCCAAGATACATGCCCTTGACGGGAATTGAACCCGGGACCTTTCAGTCCTTCAGTGCTCAGGCGGACGCTCTATTCACTGAGCCAAACTGGTTTCGACTGAAAAACGGATATTTTAGAAAGTTTAGAAACTCAATCCAACTGAAAAGAAGAAATCGTGGACCATGAAAATGACTTGTTTTCTCGCTGAGCAGAATATAGTCAAACATTGTGCAGTCAAATATTTTACCCTTTTGTTCTCCCTGAATGACCTACAATAAAAATCTGCTTCCTGTTGATAATTATTGTTATGTTGCTGACAATTACCTGAAAGAGAAGTTGGGATGCCTTAATGGGCTGTTAAAAGTTTAGCTAAATAAAAAAACAGGTCTAATTAAGCAAGTTTGTTTATATATATATATATATATATATATATATATATATATATATATATATAGCTAAGTTGATTTGTGCATGTGTGATACACATATAAAGTTCTCACTGGCACCCGTTGGACATGTGTGTTTCGATCTATCATTGTTGATCATGGATTTGGTTGACACATCTATTATAGAGAAAGGGTGAATAGCGATATTAAAATATTTCTTCTAATTAATTTCCTTTCAATGTGCACAAATTCATGCACTGGGCTACTAGTATATTAATAAAAAATAAAAAAATCAGAACTGTTTATGATTATAATCATGGTGTTACTACTTAGATCTTGGACATACACTAATTCATAAACTTCATAAAGAATTTGTTATATAAAACATTTGAGCTTTTAAAATGGGAAAAGTTACTTTCTTAAAACAATGATTTATATATTTATCAGCTAAATTTCTGAAGAGGCAATATTTGCATTCTTCTTCCACAGCAGTAATGAATGTTAAAATGAAATACTCTGAAATCCGAAAAGTAAACATACAAAAGGTGCCGGGGTTCTTGTCCCGGCATTAAGAAGGGTTCAGCAATCTGGAGAAAGGCTGTGTGTAACTGAAGTAAGAGTCCAGAAACGAAAGGTAATTTTGAAAGGCACTGGGCGTCAGAGGAGAAATCAAATTCCCCTTGCCTTTTATTAACACAAATTGTCCTAAGGTAAGATGGAGATATACACTTCAAAGGGTAAGGTTTCTCTACAAAGTCCATTGTCAGACTGGGGAATAGCCTATGTCTGTTCAGGTGTTTGGACAGGAGGCAATAACATGTAGATTAAGATGCCCTGAGCTGTCTTGCAGCAATCAATCAATGTAATGCATTCTTTTCAGGTTTGGGGAAAGGCCATTAGCTATTCCCAACAGGCGGTAACATATGTGATTCAGCCCTTTTTGAGTCCCCAAGTTCCATTAACCTTTCAATGAAACTCTTGCAATTATGGCATGCTGGAACTGGATTCTGGCAAAAAGTCTTATGCTGTCAAGTGTTGGTTTTGCCTCTAAGTGTACTTGGTCCTCTATTTCCTGAATTATCTTTTTCACACTTGCCAGACAGATTAGATTCAGAGAACATAATTTCCAAATTACCCACCTTCTCACATCACCAAATATATGACTGTTCACCATTTTACATTTGCTCTAGTTAGCAGTTTTGGTGGAGAAGTAAAACAAAATTCAAAGTTATTACTATGATGTCATAAATCATAATTTGGAAAGTATTTAGAAAGAAATATTTTCTGCTACTTAATATCAAAACATTTCAATTGCAAGAAACATTTCTGAGGAAAATGTCTTCTCAATTTACAATGAAACAGCATATCTGTCATAATCCATGTCTATTTTTCAGTAATAGCAATAGATGCTAGGCTATGCTTTTAATGGTGGCTAATGCTTTCAAGATTATAGAAGGATTTATTAATCAGTCTTAAATTAAAATACATCTTCTGAATTAGAATTAGCCCTGAGACTAAATTTTCTACACATACATAATTTACATATAGCAGAAATAAGAAATTAGAAGATATTAAGAGTCTGACTTTCAATTATTAAAGAAACAATGTTTACTTTTCATCACCAGGAATTCACCTAGGTATATTAAGATTCAAAATATAATAACAATTATTTTAATACAAAATTCTTGTAGTGACTGACTCACTACCTTACTAATTACCACCTAATTTAAATAACCAAACCCTAAAGTACAAATCAAGCCCCCTTAATTCTTACTCCAGGAAAGAGGCAGGTAGAAATATCAAGTAAAGCACTGAATTGGTGAGTTTAAGCAATGGGACTTTCAGCTGGCCTTACCTACTGATTGAATTACTAATTAATCCTTAATCTTTAGTAACAATTTCTTTGGTATCGTAGCCATTGTTAAGTAATTACCTTTCTCCTGTATAAGTTCTTGAAATGTAATATTGCCTGCCCTATCACTGAAGTTTGTTATATTAAGAATAGATCACCAATTATGATTAGAAGCCAGTAAAGACCTTGCAAAATCTAAGAATTCTTGGCATGACAGTCACTTAATATGCAAAGTTATTAAACATCACTCAACACTTTTCACTGGGGTTCTGTTGCTCCCTATTCCATGTGTTTATGTGACTAGCAGTCACAATGCCTAGCTGAATGTGACCAAAGAGGATCAGAGTTCATCAGGAGACACAAAGAGAAGGCTACCCTCTCTCTTTTTATGACTGAACGCTATAAAGATGCTGTATCTTAGTCATTTGGAAATTGTCTGAGAATAAAACTAACCTAAAAGCAAGGAGAGCTGAAAAAATGGAGAGACAGGGCAATTACCATTGTTCAACCCTCGGGTTTTTTGCCTAAAATTAGGATCCAACATTTGGTATTCTTTATCATGAAAGCAAATAACTTCTTTTTACTTTAGCTCAGTTGAATTAGGTTTCTTCAATTTGTAAGTTATAAACAACTTAAGCATTCAATATCATCAAAAGTCTAAAATTATGAACACAACTGTTAAATTTAATATTTATATAGGCAAAACAACCCAATAAATTCAATGAAAATATAAAAGTCTAAACCCATATCTAGATAATAAAAAATGATACTAAATAAATTTTAAAAACATAATAATCAGTTAAAATTAGGCAGTTAAATGCTATTCCAATTTTACTCATATTGCTCTGAAGGTTAAATGAATGGTTCTAAATAAGCAACAGATAGAATAAACTCAAACTTTTAAACATCTTATCACAGAGAAAAATTCCATAGCATGTTCTTTTCAGAGGGCAATTTAGAAGTTAATTTTAAAATAAAAAGTATAAATGCTCTTGACTAAGAAATCATACTTTGAAAATTCTATCTTATACAAATATAGCTATAAAAAAAGTATATATATGTTTATAGAAAAGGAATGGATTCTATGGTATATTGGGAAGTATGAAAAGGCAAGTTGCAAATCCATATATCTCATTAAAAAACCTTTTTGTACACACATAAATTAGTAAATAAACTAAGCACTATATTAAATACTTCTTTTTAAGTTTTTTAATTCACACACATACACACATTTACAATTATACCAGAGAAGGATAAATACTTTCTAAGGGTTCCCTCCGGAGAATGGTATTTTTGTCAGAGTGGTGAGATGGATGAGAAGCATGTGGAAAAAGGATTTGCACTTTTTACTAAATATTGTTCTGTACCATTTTGATACTTTATAATACATTTGGCTTACCTATTTTTGAAGCTTTTAAAAACAGAACAAAATAAAGATTCCTTTGCAGACTTTAATATAAATATGTGAGATTAAATATAGAAAAAGAACTTCTAGAGTATAAAAGCTAAAATACTTTCATCTTTAAAAACAGGTCTTTATGAGTATGTTGATAGTTTTAAAAATAGAATACTAAGATTATATTCATCAGCAGTCTGTTATACACATTACTTTATCTAGTGAAATGATGTCAGGAGGCAAGCATGGCTGTGTGACATTCACATGGTTATAGGATCACATCGCTAACACCCTCTTCTCTCTCTTCAGACCTTAAAAGGAGGTTTAAAATTCTAGAGATGAAGTCTAACCCATACAACATTTTAGCCCGATGATCTACTAAATTAACTTAATCCTAAAAGCTATGCTTACACTTAACCAAACAAATGCTAAAACAACAAAAACTCATATTTAAAAGGCAAAATTTTCCTAATGCAATATATAATATCTTTAATTAAATACTTGTTATGTGCCAAGCTTTGGGATAGAGAGATATATAAGAGTAGAAAATAAATAATAGCTATAACACATGTTTAAGAAATATAGTTTAATAAGGCAGTAACCAAATAATAAAAGAACAGATAAAATTTAGTAGACACATATATAACCTGTTATGAGAATACAGAGAACTAATTAACAAGCTTCCTGGCATCATAATTATTTTTCTCTTTTTCTTTTTTTCTTAGTCTTTAGAGCTATTCTTACGAGATTTCTGAGAATTTCTACATTTTACTCTATAAGGAAATAACTTTTTAGGAATACCAGGTCTTAAATATATATTATTATCATGACAAATATTGATAATATATTTATTAATCTAGCTCTCCAACAAAATGGAATTCAAAGACACACTATTTTATGATTAAACTCAGTAAGCATTTATTTTGTGCTAGGCATTTAGAGAAAATTTATAGACATTTATTTACATTTATTTACAGCAGTGGTTAATTCTTTCAGAATCCTAGTTGTCAAAAGTTGTGAAAGGACATATCTAAGTATCAACCTAATTATGACAGAAACCATGAATTCAAACAGGACATAAACCTCTATTAATATTTTTAATAGTTAAATCTAAGCAGGTGGTAAAGACTTATTAGAGCTTAGTGAAAAATGATAAATAAAACGGAAATTTAATAGAAGGGGAGGAACCCAGGAGATGCAATTTGTAACTCTGGAACAACTTCAGGTCTTAAAGACTTGGCATTATCTGACTAGAACAGTGAAGGAAGGTATTTGGAGACTTTTCATCACATTCATAAAAATAAAAACATACATAGGGATATGTTTGAAATTCCCTTCTCAAGCACCTAGTCAGTGTTCTTGAAAGTTGTTTATAAAAAAAATCACTTTCTCATCTCTCATATAAAATAAGTTTTTCATGTTATATAAAAATAAATGCCAGAATATTCCAAAACTTCATTAAAAACACACACAAATGTACTTGCTCCCCTATGAAAAAAAAACAAAACTAACCTATTTTTTATTTATCGCACAACACATATTGACAAAATAATTTTGTTACATAGTAACTATATACTTATCCCATTTTACTTCTATAAAATCAAACCAAATCCAAGCCATCGTCTAATTACTAGATAGCAATAAATAAATAAATAAATAAATAAATAAATAAATAAAGATTTTAGAGGGTTAAAACAGTGCTGCTCAAACTTTAATATACACAAAAATTCACCAGAGAATCTTTATTAAAAACAAAGATTTGATTTTGGTTCTGTGTGACTGATTCTGATTCTGGGGCTAGAAATAGTGCATTTTAAACAAGCTCCAATGTGAAGCCAATGCTGCTGATCTGTTATCCTTACACTTAAAATTGAGCAGAACAACTTATATTTAGTAAACTAAAATGGAAAAATAAAGTTTTCCGAAAGAATCCATTCTGGTTTATATTTATGGCATCACCTCAAATAATAGGCATTTCAATGTTTCCAAAAGTTGGCTCTCCAGAATTACCAAACTCAAAAACATGCCAATCCATTAAACTCAGAATCTTGGCTGCTAATAGAAATCAAGTCAATATTTATTTGGGATGAGGGCCCCTGCATTTATCTTAGGCTCTGAGATCCAGAGAGTGGGAATGAAGTATCAGGGAAAGAGAGAGGAAGTTCTAGTATTTTTCTGGGGATTATGATTATGTCTGTAAAATGCAATGCATACAATACTTATGTGTAAACATATTTATCATATATCATCATATAAAAGTAAGTATAAAAAGGCAAAAATAATACATCACTATGTGTGAATAATAGTGAAAACTGGATTATGGATTTCTCAGTGATTTTTTTTTCTTTATTCTTTTCTGAACCCACCAAATTTTCTACAAGCATTTGAATAATATTTCCATTATTCAAATACACTTTTAAATTAGAAATCACATGATAAAACCCTGAGAAGCATTAGAGGAAAGCACTAATACTGGAAGAATGCTCAAGAATTCTTACACACCCATGAAAATCACACACGGTATCAAATAAGCCAAAGGAAAATTGTTTGGGCAAAAATAAAAAGGATCCCAAGTCAATTTTATAGAAAAGATTCCTTTATTAACTTTTGGATTGAGAATATGTTTATATATTTTCAGAAAACTACTCCAAGACCATGGGGATTCCTGCAACAGAGAGTTGTTGTCAGATCTGCTCCAGCCACGAAAACAAACGGGGAAACAGTCCAGAGACGGAAGATGCTGAGGACGCCCGGCCACGCTAGCAGTCAGCAGCTGTGCGTTGCTGCAGGTTGCCCAGGACCAAACCAGAGAGGGTCAGACCTGCATTTCTACCATCTGTCCATTATCCAAATATCATTGCTGACATGTACATATAAGGAACTATTTGACACTGAAACTGGGTCTCAGAACTGTTGGACATTGAAATTGGGATTCAAACGCTTTTTGTTATTATATGTTTATTTCTAGCATGCAGTTGCAAGATTTTTTAAAGAGAAGAAATGGGAAAAAAATAGTTATAGAGCTAAAGAACCATTGAACAGACTGTCAAACTATAGCAGGAAGGCAAGAAAGGTTGGGGGGGCGGCTGTAAGAGATCAATCGAATGACTTGCAGGCATGCATATAAACATAACCAATGGATACAAGACACGGGGGGAGGGGGGAGGTGAAGGCATATGCGGGGGGTGGGGGGTCGGGGAAGCTGGGAGGAGGTCAAGGGGGAAAAAAGGAAATATATGTACTATTTGTAATGCTTCAAACAAACAAACAAAAAAGAATTCTTATTAATGATAATTAAGAAGCATCCAGTAAGCATAATAAGGAACAAAGAATTGTAGATGATAATATTAATATTCAAGTTACTTACCTTAGTAAAGTTATTCAAATGGCCCAGCTTTCTCATATTTGAAACCCCTTGCAATTTGGCCACATTTTGGAGAATCTCCCTTAAGTTATCAGAAGGTTCTAGAAGAAAAGACAGATAATTTAAAGGAGTATTTTCCTAACCAAATAGATAAACATACAGTATTAAAATATCACAACTTTGGCTTTTAATTTAAATTCTTACTCTCCATCTCAAATCCATCACCCAGGTCACATCAAAGTCCATGTGGACGAGTCATCCAATGACCTTTACATTTATATCCACTCATATCTATGGTCCAATTCTGTGCGTCATCATCTGGATTTATTCAATCACTAAATCTTAAGTTGCAACATCCCAAATTTCACTTCTAGCTACAATACAGAAATGGACATAAGAAACACTATCCTATTTGAACTACAAAAAAAACTGTACAAAATATAGGAAACTATAGTTCAAGAGACTGGGCATCAGCAAGTAAAGAAAAATGATCCCTAAGAAATGAGAAACAAAAAAGTGTGCTCTACAGCAGTCCCAGTTTACTGCCTAATCTATGCAGTCTGCAGGCTTGCTGCTAGGAGAAACCTAGGCAAAATGAGTTGAAGAGAGAGAGCTCATCTTGCAAAGGGACCCCTAAAGTAGCAGTATAGCAATGATTGGTACATGTATGTGAGTGAGGAAATTACCACTCAAAAGAATTAAAGGGAAGAGTACCTTGCATTCATACAGGACAGGGAGCTGTGCTTGTTCCTAAAACCAAATTGAGAAGTCTTAGCTCAGTGTGGGTAAAATCAGATATAGACTAAACATTTCTTTGATCCCATTTAACAAATCTTCAAATATGAAAGCTTTAAACTGATTCCAAGTAACTAAACTATGTTTCAAATAAAAAAGATTTTAGGCAGAGAAAAAATATGAAGCATATAACAGGACAAAATTTACAATGTTTATCATCCAATCAAAAATTATCAGGCATGCATGGCAAAAAAGCAGGAAAACATGACCCATACTGAGCCAAAAAACAAAACAAAAACAAAAAAAAATCAACTGAAAATGCCCAGAACTGACATGTTAGTACTAGCAGAAAAGGACATTAAAACCGTTTTTATAACTGTAGTCTATATGTTCAAAAACTTAGGTAGAAGAGGCATGAAAGGTTTATAAATGCTCTCAAACTATGGGTAGGAATAACAGTCTTTATGGAAGACAAAGCAACAGAAAAATAACCAAAATATAACAAAAAGAGAGAAAAAGAGCATCAGTGAACTATGGGGATTTCAGGCAACTTAGTATAATTAAAATATGTGTAACTAGTCCTCAAAGGAAAGAAATGGGGAATATATATATATTTTTTTTAAATAACAGATTAAAACTTTCCAAATTTGATGAAAATAAGCCAATAAATCCAAGAAGCTCAACCAATACCAAACACAAGAAACAAAGAAAACTAGACCAAGCTACAACTTAAATCAAATTGCTCAATATCACTGGGGGGGATGGGGGGGGACTAACTCTTAAAAGCAAAGAAATGAAAAAATAAGACAAATTACAGAGAAAAGAACATGATGACAGCTGATTTCTTGTGGGACAAGCAAGTGAGAAGATAGTAGAACAACATATTTAAAATATTTAAATTAAAAAATGATATGACATGTATAGAAACCATTCTTAGCCCACTTGCCCCAAAACAGGCCACAAGCAAATATGCCCCATGGTCAGCAGTTTGCCAGCCACTGGTAGAGACGGTCGATTTCTTCAGGCTGCCATACACTATTTCTCTATTAATATACTCAGCATTATATTTGTTTGAAAGAAAACAAAAACACAATCTAAAAAGAAACTGTATTACATTGCAGATATTTTAGGGTAAAAGCCATTATGACTTCCATTGAAATTTTTACATAAACCTAATACCAAGGAATTATTTGTTCTGAATTAGTGTTTTCCTCAGCAAACGGAACTCTTTGCACTGTCCTATTTTACATTTAGCTTGCATCTGCTCACATTCTGTTCCACTGGGTGTTAGCCATGACCAACACAAATTGATCATTCATTTAATCTTAGAGCACCTCCTATAAATTTTGGATGTTTTTTAACTCTAATAAGATTCTACCTCCTGAAAATTAGTGACTGAGAGTATCTTAAAAGTGAAATGAAAACAGCTCATTATTGGGTGGGATCAGACCTCATTAAAAAGAATTGCAAGGTCCCTATTACGGGTGAGGCAATGATGTTCAAATGATTTAACTAGATATGAAAACTTTATAAAAACTTTACAATAACTTTTACGGTAATTTAGAACCTGCAGCAATTTTCAGTCAGATTTAAGGATCTTTAGAGCCATTGCAAATTTTACCTAGTGGAAATATACACTGAGTGGACAGATACTGAGTGGACATCAGTACTTCGTTGGGCCACCTTTTGCCTTCAATACTGCAGTGATTCTTCTTGGCATTGACTCCACGAGATGCTGAAAGGTGATGTGAGGAATCTGACACCATGCCTGATGAATGGCACTGTCCAGTTCTGTGAGATTTGATGGCTGTGAAACCAGCAGTCTGATGGCTCTTTTAACTTCGTCCCACAAAAGCTCAGTTGGATTGAGATCTGGTGATTGCGGGGGCCACCTGAGCAAGGTAAAATATTCCTCATGTTCTTGAAACCACTCCTGCACAATATGAGAGCCATGGCATGGCACATTGTTTGGTTGGAAGAAGCCATCTCCATTGGGATACACCATCAACATGATAGGATGAACTTGATCAGCAACGATACTTAGGTATGTAGTGCTGTTCAGACGTTGTTCCACACGAATTAAAGGGCCCAAATCATGCCAGGAAAACATGCCCCAAACCATAACACTGCCCCCACCAGCTTGAAGGGTTGTACTCATGCATGTGGGGTGCATGCTTTCATGCTGCTTCCACTAAATTTTCACTCTGCCAACTGCATGATGCAACTGGAAACGTGATTCATCGGACCACATAACTTTTTTCCAATGCTCGACTGTCCAATCCTTGTGTTCCTGTGCGAATTGGAGATGTTTTATCTTGGTGACTGCAGACAGCAAAGGTGTTCAAACAGGCCTTCGGCTTCCATATCCCATACAATGCAGTGTACGGCAAATTTGCCTACAAATGTCAGGTAGTCATAATAATCTGGCCACTCAGTGTATAACTTAACCATTTTACATCAATTTTTAATTAGGATGTCAGGCACCAAACAAAAGGTTGCACTAAAGTGATGACTCTTACTACAATGTAATGATCTAACAGGATAGTCAAGATGATTAGTCTGAAAAGATAGATACTTCATAAAGGCTTGCAAGTTTTAATTATTGCCTATTTTCTAGGTATGAACTAATTGCAGGGTGTTTTTTTTTTCCAAGTACAAATCATGTAACAACCATCTTACACAATTATATTCAAAATAAAATCTCATATCTGAGTTCATTCATTAAGTATTAACTGAAAAACTATTATGTCAGGAACGTTTTTGGTTGTGGGAATATATCAATAATCAAGGAAAATCCTTCTTTAACAAACCTTACATAGAAGTGAAAGGAAAAGAATAACCAACACAATAAAAAAAAACATTAAAAAAAACCCACATGTACACAATTTAAAAACTGACATGTAGTAAGAAGCCAGCACTGGACCAAATGTTTGTCTAATGAATAATAATATAAAATGAAGTTAATATACTAGAATACAGATGTTATCATTGTCAATACAAATCAAATGAACCAGCCTTTCAACTTCCTTTCCCTCCTCACCCCCCCTTTATATAATCCTACTAGTGCCCCAGTGCATGACATTCGTGCACTGGGTGGGGGTCTCTCAGCCCTGCCTGTGCCCTCCATATAATAAAAGCTTAATATGCTAAGTGTCCAGTAGACCAGTCAGTCTTTCAACCAATCAAAGCATAATATGCTAATGATATGCTAAGGTCGCTCAACCACTCACTATGACCATCATGGGGCAGATGCTCCAACCAAGGTTAGCTTGCTGGTGGGGTCTGGCTGATAGGGACTGAACAAGACGGGTTGGACACACCCTGGAACCCTCCCACGATTCCTGCTTGGCTGGCCAACCTCCTATGTCCCTCCCCAGTCCTAATAGTGCACCAGTGTGGTCCTTCGGCCTGACCTGTACCCTCTCACAATCCAGGACCCTTTGGGGGATGTCCAAGAGCCATTTTCAGCCTGATCCCACAGGCCAGGCTGAGGAACCCCACTGGTACACAAATTCGTGCACTGGGCCTCTAGTTAATTATAGTAATTATAGGACACACATACCTCATCTTCCCTCCCACCCCCCCGCTCCCCTTATGGAAGAATTTCAAGGTTTCTTCATGATATATTAATTCAAAAGAGTATTAGGGCCATTTTAGACATGAAATACTATAATGCTCATGTGCTACAATGCCCCCATGGTAATGAAATGAGATATCCCTAGTTTCTTCCTTACTGGAGTCTGTAAACATTTCCTATAATGGTCCACAGAGTATTTTATTAGAATTTGCTGGTCATAAGGTCTAATTAAAATTATTCAACTTGCAGTTGTATCAAGAAAGCGATCATAGAAAATACATAAATGAATAAATATGGGCTATGTTTCAATAAAAAGAGCTTGGTTCGAGAGCTGTAGTTTGCCAAATCCTATGCTAGATAGTCGGAACTTAGACCAGGAAAAGTAGTGAACAGCTGAGATCAATGTGGCTTTTACTGGGACAGGGAGAAATGAGAGAGAGAAAAAGAAATTTAAGCAGAGTTTATCTTTTTATTTCTTCCTACTCTATTTAATGCTTCCAATTTAGCTTCTCTGAAACTGTCCCCATTATAGTGTTTTGTGAGAAGTCTAAAGCACAATTGAGTAATCTAGGAGGACATTCTCTGAACCCCTGAAGTTTAGGAAACCCCCAGCTGAAAGGAAAAGAAACTGCCTCGCTGGCTATGATGACCAATGCAAGGAAGCAAAGCACAAAAGAACTACTGGAATTCTAATGGCTCCTTTTCCTCTTATTGTGTAACTCCTTAGTTCCTGATGCATCTCTCTGGATGTAATAAAATTACTTAAGTCAACGCTAAATATGTAGCAAT